GGGAACAATGGGCACGACTCAAAGGAGGATTCAATTGCTACAGGTGATCTTGTAAGAGTGAAGGTGGGCGAGAAATGGAAAGAGCTGAAGAAGAAGGGATACAAAATCGAGGGGGGAAAGTTGCTCGGTCCGGATGGCCAAGTATCAACATTCACATCTTCATGGACAACAGTCCAGAAGAGAAAGTCCAGCAGGTAATCGTGGATATGTATTCCTCATTCCCATATTGTGTATTTTGTTTTTGTTTTTTTACTTTTCTGTATAAGATACCCATGCATGTGAACTTAACTGACGACAATCTACATTATCATTACACGTTATGCCAGGAAGAAAATGAGGGTATAAACTTTTTTAGTTTTATTCGTGGCCTCATAGACCAATCTTATCCCCCCATGGCTCTCGCTCTCAATCCATACAGACGTCCCAAGCGCGACACACAGACTAGAACCGATCGATCAACTGGGCAAAGAAACAAGACATGTCAGGAGCGACACGCTTATTCCTCATCCTCCTCAGCCTCGTCGTTGACGACGTTGTAGAAGCGGAGCTCGTAGACACCCTTGGAGGTGGAGACGACGCGGAGCCAGTCACGGAGCTGCTGCTTCTTGAGGTACTTCTTGGTGCTGAGTTGCAGAAAAGGCAATGGTCAGCAAAACTATAATCCAACGTATGGGGAATCATTCCGGGAGATAGATAAACTCACAGGTACTTCAGGTAGCGGCCGGAGAAGGGGATGTGGGCAACAACCTCGATCTTGCCATCGCCGGACTGGGAGATCACGACGTTTTCACCGAGGTTACCGACACGGCCCTCGACCTTGATGCGGTCGTGGAGGAACTTCTCGAAGGCAGAGACATCGAAGATCTTGTCGCTAGCGGGCTGCGAAGCGTTGATAACGAACTTCTGGGTAACCTTCTGGGCCTTGCGACCACGAGCCTATATACCACATGGAATCAAATTAGCCTACTGCTCCATAATGTCGAGCCCCGGTGGTAGTCTCGCAAATTCGTCTTCGACATGGGAGACTCGATAGATTTTTCAATACCGAGTTTCACAGTCTTGTCGAAGACGAACCGGCAGAGACTCCGGTGGGGGGAACAGCAAAGCGATTTGGACTTCAACGTACAGCAGCGGGAGCCATTGTTAATGGATTGGGGGGAGACGGATTTTGGAGAATTGGGAAAGGTCGCAAAGAGGTGAATATCCTGCGCCGGCGAGAGAGTGGTCAAGACTACTTCCTAAATTTCACGGTGGAGCCGATTTGGTTATCAAAAATTCACGGCCAGAGGTGTGTCGCACTAGGCCTGATTGGGATATAGGGTAGGGCAACATTTGGTGAGTCAGCTTAGTAGTGAGTCAGCAGGTCGCTTAGGCTCAATGAGGGTTTCCTACATAGGTAACTACGGTCCGAACTTTGGAAAGTCCCGGAGTTAATAATTATTCCCGATTGGCTCGCTTAATTGGGCTAGTGGGAGAGACCCACTTTCCTCCTGGTATAAGTAGGCCTGCCTGCCTTCCGAACTTCCTCTTCTTTTCTTTCTTCTTTAGCTCTCTTTGCCTATTGGCTTAGATCAAGTGTAGTATCTGTTCTTTTCAGTTTAATCTCTGAAAGTTTCCGTCCAGGAAACACTTTGATTATTCCTATTTTTGGACCCCGCGACTTGGCCCCTGTGCTTGCGCATGCCTCGTTGCACAGTGTCATTGGGCTTACACTACCCCCGATCGACGCGAACTCCTTTTTCATCAATTGTTCGGCTTGTCCGGGCGCTTGGAGAAGATGTCTGTTCATCGTATGTAATGTTTTGGTCAGTAGATTTAATTCTGTAGTATCGAAAATATCACAGTTAGTCCTTCGGTGGCAATGTCCAAAGTGAGACACGCCAAGGCTGACCCCTGTACCGAACAACTGAATAATTAATGGCCTACCCGTCGACCTACCTCCAGGGCTTGGTAGCTGTCATATCATATCGTAGATCGCGTCCTATAACTAGTGTACTTTTTTGGTCGGATACGGAGATGAGGTCATCCACAACTTAACCTTCCCAGGTTGGAGTCATCACCGTGATGTTTATAAACATGATACACTGAGAAGCAGACCCGTGGACCAAGTATTTTGGATAATATACCACTACTAACTAGTACGCAGTACAACAATTAGTTATGCAATATTGCCATCGTCGTTCAAACAGCCAAAGCGGTCACATGACGCAACAGCTTCGATCGCGGGGGCCCAATCGATAAGCCTTCCATTTTTTTTCCCACTCCGCATACTCCAATCTGTCGACACAAAACCAGCCGTTGCGATGGGTTCGATCGTCCTCCCTCACTTACAAACAGCTTGGCATGTGGACCAGGCTATCCTCTCTGAAGAAGAACGCCTGGTGGTGATCCGATTCGGGCGAGACCACGATCCCGACTGTGAGTGCCACCCGCATCTATTGTCAGGGTCCCATACTAACACATTCTCCAGGTATCCGCCAAGATGAGCTCCTCTACAAAATCGCCGAGCGGGTAAAGAGTGAGTGGCTGAAATACCCCCCAAAGCAAACCGAACAGTAGCTTATAGACCTACCCCCAGACTTCGCCGTCATCTACCTATGCGACCTCGATCAGGTCCCAGACTTCAACCAGATGTATGAGCTTTACGACCGGATGACGATCATGTTCTTCTACCGCAACAAGCATATGATGTGCGATTTCGGCACAGGAAACAACAACAAGTTGAACTGGGTGCTGGAGGACAAGCAGGAGTTGATCGACATCATTGAGACGATATACAAGGGCGCCAAGAAGGGCCGTGGTCTGGTGGTCAGCCCCAAAGGTACATTCAATCTCCACTGGAATAGAAACACCATTCGCTAACAGCCGGTTTCTGCAGATTACTCGACCAGATACAGATACTAAGCATTGCCTCTTTCGCCGCCGCGTGATCACCCTGGCACCGGCCAGTGTGTGGATCGCTTCCTTACGACATTTACGACGATCACAAGACTTGATCTGGCGACAATAACCTGCAAATATGGTCATGGTTCTGGCGTTTTTTGTTTCTGCGGAGGAGTCGCTTTTGCAATCATTTTGATTGGGGGTTGAACACAAGTCACATACAAGCCTCGTTTTTTCGAGATCCGAATTTCTTGATAAGCAGCTGAGAATCATCCATGTATTAGAGTATTGAAAGCTTTATCAATCATTCCGTGAGTGGTGCTGTAGGCCAGTGTCGTAAATCACAGTAAAAGCGCCTGATATAACCTTCTGAGAGAAATTTCATCTTCAGAAAGTAAAACATATTTCAGGAGGTGATATCAAGGCTCGTCATATAACTTTCAATTCAAACAAAGAATTGTGGCATGTTGCGCAAGCTATCCTCTTTTTTTTTAACGCTGATTTTGACGTAACGCACTTCCAACACCACACCTCGCGGATCTGTCTTCAATTCCCTCAAATACCTATCTACAACCACAACCAAGTAACAAAATGATTGACCAACGCATTTTCGAGAATCTCCAGACGAAGATCGACGAGGAGAGCACCGTCCGGGATGTAAGTCATACCAACGCGTCCTGAACTTGGTGAATTCTTTGCGCGCCAAGCCTACACCAGAGCAAGACCCTTGAGCCAGGAACACCGACAGGTAGCTAACGATTTTGGATAGGAGCTACATGAGATTGTCCACACACTCGCTAGAAGAGGTATGCTCTGCAATTCGCAATTTCGACCAGGACTTCCAGGATGCCTTGCCCTGCCGGGGATGGCACTCCTAGGTTGAAGTCGCAGGTCGAACATAACTGATGTTGAATGATACAGGGCGTTCCACGCAGGCTATCCTGTCGCGGGCTCATTCCACGCCCGCTGATCAGTGTAAGTATCTATTATCTATCTCGGGTGATCTGGCGAGAGGATTGGGGTATAACTCCATTCGATCTTTGGACTCACTGCTTGATCACTTCTCTTTTCTCTCTCTTTTCTTCACCGTATAACGTTCAAATTCCTACACTTTCCCCCAGCCAGCATTCCACACTATTCGTCTATTCTTCATGGACCATCTCGCTGATTCTGCGATAGTGAAGCCCGTGCTTGATGATGTCACCAAGGAAATCCTCGCCCAGAAGGAAGAGGTTGCTCGCCTGAAGGCCGTGGCAGACCAACATCCCTTCTACAAGTACAACGGGCTATGGACCCGTGAGCTTCAAAACCTGGTTTGTTTTCTGAAATTCAATGTCCGAAGACTTCTGCTGATCCAATCTATCAGGTCGCCTCTATTGAGCTTTGCGCATGGCTGGGAGGACTGCAAGAGCACAAGGGACCCAGCTCAACATCTTTCATGACCATCGAGGACGTGGGCAAGTTCCTGGACAGTACGTTTTGCTTATCTCTATATATGATGAGCACCCCGGGTGCTGTATGGATACATTGATTCACAATACTAACTGGCATTTCCTTCATTAGTCCCTGTCAACCTAAAGGAGCAGGATGCCTTCCACCTGACGATTGAGGAGTACCTGCTGGCAGTGATTGCCATGGTTGAGGAACTGGTTCGTTTCCCGAAATCTCGGAGCTTTTCTGTCTGGCCACAGCTAATTTGTTCCCAGGCTCGCTTGGCTGTCAACTCAGTCACTCTGGGTGATTACACCCGTCCCATGCAGATTGGCAACTTCGTCAAGGAAGTGTTCGCTGGGTTCCAGCTCCTGAACTTGAAGAATGATATCCTGCGCAAGCGCAGCGACGGTATCAAGTACAGCGTATGTTAAAATCATTGCAACGTCTGTTTCACAGTTTTAAATTTCTAATTTGTGTGGCACTACAGGTCAAGAAGGTCGAGGATGTTGTCTACGATCTGTCGCTACGGAACCTGGTTCCGAAGGGTGGTGCCTCTGCTTGAATTGCGGCATCAAGGACTCTCGGGCATACCGAGTCAGGCCTCTAATGTTAAGGGAAATGGATATGGATCCAAGGAACTGATCTAGCGACTTTTACAAAATAGGTATCCATGAGCTTTGAGACTGGGATATGAATTACTATTACAGCTCGGTATAATTCCCATCGTAGACTGAAATCGTAAACCGAAAAGAAGGAGTATATCACAAACAGAAGCACCGGGATATAGATACAAGAAAACAGATGAAGGTATCACCACAATCATTCAGAAAAGAACACCTCAAGCACAGCCTTACGACAGCTTAGCCTGCTCAGCACCAGCGTCACTCTTCTTTAGCGAAGCAAGAGTGCCCTCCTTCTTCGCCTTCTCGATCTCCTTGATAATGGTATCCTGGAGTCCCTCAGGCTTGGTAAGAGAAGCCCAGCGGTTAACAACCTTGCCATCGGCGGAGACAAGGAATTTCTCAAAGTTCCACTTGACGCGCTTCATGCCCATGATCCCAGGCTGCTGCTCCTTCAGGAAAGTCCACACAGGTGCAGCATTAGCGCCGTTCACATCCAGTTTACCAAGCACTGGGAACGTGACGCCGTAGTTGAGCTGACAGAAAGACTGGATATCATCGTCCGAGCCAGGGTCCTGGCTGCCGAACTGGTTGCACGGGAATCCGATGACGGTGAAGTCGTCGGGGTACTGGGTCTTCAGGTTCTGGTAGAGTTTCTCCAGACCTTCAAATTGGGGCGTGAAGCCGCATTTCGAGGCTGTGTTCACGACTAGCACGACCTTGCCGTTCAACGAGGAGAGAGGGAAGGGTGCGCCCTTTTCTATTCGAATGCGGGGTTTGGTTAGCGGTTAGGTTCTTCGGAGCTTATATTTGGATGTGATGAGGGGAGAAGATAGGCAGGTACACCACGAGGATTACACGTACTATCGACAGGCTCAAAATCGAAGAAAGATGTAGCAGACGACATGGTTGTTATTTGACGTGGATATGCGAAAATAGGAAACTGTCTCTGTGTTCGCAGGGATAGATATAATGACGTCGTTGACCGGAGAGTTGACCGGAGAGACTTGGCAGAATGTGATACAGGGGAAATTTGCGAACAAGAGAACATGACTCTCTTCTTGTATTCTTCTGATGATCTGAATCGACCTCGGTTGATTCACCTTCTTACCAATTGGCCAAGGGCTGGCCACGGGGTATCCAGAGGACCCGACGGAATTGGAGATTGTCCGAGCTGGCTTTGGTTTTGCTGTCTCTTAATTGGTTCACGAGGTTGCTTAATAACTACCCAGTACAAAATATATACACACCTGGGGGGCAGTGCATAATTATTCCAAATCATTGCTGACTGTAATCGATTTCAATCTAGCCCTGAGGATCCATCAATGAGGCCATTTTTTATTAGGTCTCGAGATCATACCTACTGAGTCGGTTTGTCAGCTTCAAATCCCAGGTTGGTGTCACTAGCAGCCATGAATTTCAACATGTGATATATATTTGGTCGGATATATTATAGGACTTGTATGACCTGCGTGTTCTATATATGTAGATGACCAAAGCTAGCGCGATGGTATTGCTCGATTAAATATGGGTACACCTAAATGGATTCGAAATATATATATCGAGAAATACACGATAGTCCCACAAGAAGCATATATTTTTCATTTAATAATCTCGAGACACGTAAAAACAATAAAAACAACCAATAGGAAATGATACCTAGGTAGGTGTCACCTGAGATCATGCCATTTGGTAGCCCTGGAGCTAGCTCCTTATCACGTCAGCTATGTCGATGAATACTATGTAACCTTGAACAAGGCATTGGAGGAGAATCCACTAGGGATTATACAATTAAACGCTGCATAACAATTTCAATATGCTAACCTTGGCTTTGAGACTGGATCTATGTAGTTGGATATATTCTGACGTTCAAGACCTAGCAAAATCAAGATTACACCCAAAAACAGATCGGTCCCTGCGTTAGAACTATATCATGGTGTTTTCGTGGGGAAGTTATCTAAAAGAGTCTAATTGAGCTAGAACTCCTCGCGACGTTGAGAACAAAGTAGGAGTCTCAGGTGTAACGCGTTTTTCAAGATCCGGAAAACCAATGCGGCAAAGAATAAAACATGAAATTGTAGAAAGGCTGTTCCTCATTACCCATTTGGAAGTCATATAGAGGTAGCAAAACACCCCAGAAGTAATGTACACGAAAATTCGATCAATCATAAAAAATCCCGAAGGATGACCCACATGTGGGAAGAAACGACAAAGCATGAAGTATATCGCAAAGACTAAGTGTGACCAACAGCGTTCTCTGCTGTTCCAGCGGCGCCAGAGACAAGGCTTTCACCGGTACCAACGGCACTGCCAGCGATGGAAATACCGCTATTGGCAAGATTGGGCATGGTCTCGACGGTCTCACCAAGTGCGGCAGATCCATCGCGCTTGAGGGCACCAGCCAGGCCTCCAGCTTTGGCTTCTTGGATAATGGCGGGAACGGCGCTTCCAAGAGTGCTACCAACGAGGTCGTTGAGCTGACGCTTCGCGGCGGATCCAGCAACTGCATTCTCGGCAGTACCAGCGGCGCCAGAGACAAGACTCTCACCAGTACCAAGAGCACTGCCAGAAATGGCAACAGCGCTGTTGGCAAGGCTTGGAATAGTCTCGACGGTCTCACCAAGTGCGGCAGTATTGTCACGCTTGAGGGCACCAGCCAGGCCTCCAGCTTTGGCTTCTTGGATAATGGCGGGAACAGCGCTTCCGAGAGTGCTTCCAACGAGGTCGTTGAGTTGACGCTTCGCAACTGAACCGGCACCAGCAACGGTGTTCTCGGCGGTACCAGCGGCCCCAGAGACTAGACTCTCACCGGTACCAACAGCACTGCCGGTAATGGTAACAGCGCTGTTGGCAAGGCTTGGGATGGTCTCGACAGTCTCACCGAGGGCAGCCGTATTGTCACGCTTGAGCGCACCAGTCAGGCCGCCAGCGGTGGAGGTGATAGGCGCAACAATGCTGGAAACAGTACCCTGGACATTGCCGAAGACAGGAAGAGCGGCAGAGTGGCCCAAGCTAACAAGGGCGAGTGAAACGGTCAATCCAGTGAACTTCATTGTTGCGATGTTTGTAAAGTCTCGAAGGGTTGAAAGAGTGACTTGGTGAGGAAGACGTGTACAGGTAGAAAAAGAGTGACTGGAAGTGAATGAATGACTTGTGTATGGAAAAGAACCCAAAGTTGCTGGATCTAAAGGCCGCATTATATACAATTCTCTGGGTTTGTTTTGGCAGTGCTCCGCACGGTCATCGAGAGCCCCCTCGCATTTAGGATTATCAGGGGCGATGTTTTGACTGTGGTTGTTATTGTCCATTAAGTTACTGAATTATCACGACCGGCGCTAACGAGCTGCAATCCATGAAGCCGCGCAGGTAGTTTCATCTTAGCGGAAATTGCGCGAAATAAGGGATGTATGTGCCCACATGGTCTAAAATGAGTGACAGGTTTCAAGCGGTGTAGTTGGAGCAAGTCTCCGGCAAGTTTGTACCGGATAAGCAGGCTAATAAATTGTGGAAGCTTGTTTTGCTTTGCTGGATATTTGAGGGTATCTCGTATAGCCTCATATAGAGAAGATTGCAACGTGGGAGATTTAGCATGGTCTATTCGAACTTGTCGAACAAAGTCAAATATTTCTCCGCCAGGATAAGAATCAAACCAGCCAACAATCGGGATACTATGTTGTATCTCGAAATTCAAGTAAGGGTTGTAAAATAGCGCATTCACCGTAAGCTCAGGCAAGGGTCGTTATATGCGGGGCCCCAAATTTGGGTCGATCAGCGCTTTTCCAGGGGGACTGAACGTGAGTTTGACCAAGTGGAACATTTGAACTTGAAACAAAACAGTTCGCCATCAGACGTCCTTGCATTGACTCCGCATGAAATCCAGCCTCTACCGAGATTGCGGCAGCCACCCTGCCCTTCGTGTTTAGTGGCATGTGGAGGCGCACTCCATTTCGAAGTGGAAACCGAAGACCGTCCATGCTGTTTTTGTTTTTGTTTTCTGGTTCAGCAAACTGTCTTCAGCCAGAGAACCAGACCATTTTATTGGGCATCATTAGGGCAAACTGTGACCCCAGGATCATCGGGAATGGCCAGTCGAGTGTTGAATCGCCACAAAATCATTGAACATGATAGGCACGATCGAGGAAAGTCAACGTGGAGCTGGAGCAAATTGCAAACAAGCCGCTGTATGGAACATATTTATGTTAAGAGAATGCAGCTCGGAGTGGCCAATTGTGTGTTCCGTACCAGACGGGTCACACAATGTCAGGCAGTGTTGGAGCGCAGCGGCTTGAACATCACCTCCCAACTCGATAGTACGGATAGTCAGGTAGATACTGCAGTGACTGTCGTGATCCGAAGGTGATATACTGGCCTTTTCTGTATGAAAGGAAGCAGAGGGGCGCAGAAGGGCGTTATTCTTTACCGACATGGATTGGAAGCGTATGTAACTATGAGAAGGCAGCCTTCCAATCAATTATTTGCAAAAGACATGGTCTATTTTGGGGATGAACGGAGTAATGTGCCATGGGAATGTGCAATCGGGAGACAGAGTTCAAAGCTGAAGACTGGGGCGCGAATTCGGAGTGGAGATCTATGAGATGTATGAGATGTGAGCTACGAGTGATGTTGATGTTGATATGGTTTGTATTGTTTGTATTGTTTATATGGTTTGTTTGTTATGGTGCTGATGTTTTGGAATGTGGAAGGCAAACGGGTTGATGCCTGAGGCCACAACGTTGTCACGTCAACGGCCGCCCCTAGTCCCAAATAGGTAAGGCACAACATAACAGTGGCATGGCAGCTGCCCCAAACATCATGAACTCGGACTTTGTGTTGATTTCCTTCTCCTCTAATCCCCTCATCTGTACAGGCTTTTTGCAGGCTTTTCGCAGGCTTTCATTTTCTCTTTATCCTTAACATTCTATACTCATAGATCTCCCTCAGTTTGATCATGAGCGTTTAGGTCTTACTTTTACCGCGACTATTTTCTTACCATTAGCTTTGCTATCCTCCGAGTCACACCAAAACAACAGGACCTGTAACGGTTGCCATATCGATTTGTCTTCGCTGTTTACCAGTGTTACACAATCACTCCAGGTCTAGGCGGCTGTCAACAAACAACCCTCAATATGACTACCGACTTCAACCACGGCGGGCAGATGATCGAGTACATCCAAGGTTGGTACAATGTTCTTCGACAATTTGAATTTCTTTCACCCAGAATTGAGAGCTAAGACAAACCACCATATAGACCGCCTATACCTTGCATCTTATGATTCTGCTCCCAGCTCCAGAACCCCGTTTCCCTTCCATCTGGACGCACCCAAATCCCCAAGCAAGCGGGCACGTGCCCAGCCCGCCACTCCAAGCAAGCGCCGCTCTCCCGTGTACTTCACTATCGATGACACCCTTCTTTACAATGCCTTTCACGCTGATTTTGGCCCACTCCACATTGGCCACCTCTACCGGTTTGCCGTGCTTTTCCATGAGATACTTGGCGATCCAGCCAACAGCGACCGCCCGGTAGTCTTCTATAGCAAGACCGATGCCCGGAGTCGCGCCAATGCGGCCTGCCTTGTTGCATGCTATATGGTTATGATTCAATCCTGGCCACCTCATTTGGCTCTGGCACCCATCGCACAGGCAGACCCTCCTTACATGCCTTTCCGCGATGCTGGATACAGCCAGGCAGATTTCATTTTGAACATTCAAGATGTCGTTTATGGGGTGTGGAAGGCCAAGGAGCAGTCTCTTTGCGGACTTCGCGACTTCAATCTCGAGGAGTAAGTGACACTGTTTAGACTGTCAAAGATTGAATGCTGATTTTTTTCAACAGGTACGAAAAATTTGAGCGAGTCGATATGGGTGACTTCAACTGGGTTACGCCAGATTTCCTTGCTTTTGCATCCCCTCAGCAGCAGCCTGTGGCACCCATTCCTGTCAACACCGCTGAGTACAACGCATTGCCCGCAACAATCTCGGAAATCTCTTCCTCGAAGCTTCCTATGCCATTCAAGAATGTTCTCGCCCATTTCCACCAGCGCAACGTCGGTCTCGTTGTACGACTCAACTCGGAGCTCTACTGCCCGTCTTACTTCACCGCAATGGGAATCGCTCATATTGACATGATCTTCGAGGATGGCACGTGCCCTCCCCTGCAGCTTGTCAGACGGTTTATCAAAATGGCTCATGAGATGATCACCATCAAGAAGAAGGGTATCGCAGTTCATTGCAAGGCAGGCTTGGGCCGTACGGGCTGCTTGATTGGTGCTTACCTGATCTACAAGTATGGATTCACCGCGAATGAAGTAATTGCCTTTATGAGATTCATGCGACCGGGTATGGTCGTTGGACCTCAGCAGCACTGGCTCCACCTCAACCAGGGTGCCTTCCGTGAATGGTGGTTTGAGGATAGCATGCGCGAGAAGCTAGCACAGTCCACACCCGTCACTCCCCGAGTGTCGACGAAGAAGCGCACCAGCAATGGAGTGGTCTCCACCCCTCCAAACAACAGCCACTCCAAACGCGCAGCCCTCGGAGAGATTGATCACAATGAAACTACAGCTTACCCAGACCAGGATCTTCCTGCACCGACCCCTGGCCAGCCTCGCAAGTCCCACCGAAAGGACTCACGCCACCACCCTTATTCCCGAACTGCCTCCGGATCCATCGCTGTTGAAAACGAGCAGCGCAGCCACCGCAGCCACAGGAAGAGCAACGAGAGCAGTGAGAGTGAAGAAGAGATCCAGCTTCGCCGATTAGCCCAGCGGTCATCTAGGTCTCCTGTTGCCTCACCCACATCACGGTCTATCAGTTACTCTGCCACTGTCACAGCCAGCTACACCCTCGCAGAAGACAACCACAAGGATCAAGAGAACTGGGCTGACCACTCAGTACCCAAGACTCCCGTGAGCCGCAAGAGTGGCGCTGCCCCTATCTCGGTCAGCAAGGTTCGCTCCAGCCCTCGCCGGGCAACGGAAAACACCCGTAGCGAGTCTCGTGGTGTTCGCAAGCCTAGTGGCCGTATTGGTAGCAATACCATCAGCCCCGCACGGGCAATTAAGACCATCCACTAAAGGTCTTGCTCTCTTCTTTCGTCCCTAGGAACTCTGCAAGTTTCCTCGGAGCGCTTCTTCTTCCATTCTTCTCGTCCTGCTGGGACAATACTTCTGCATACCCCTTTTCCGTGATGCATCTGGATGCTTTTTAATGTTTGAGTTTGCAAATCTCGGTCTGTTGTTGTTTTCTGGAGCGAATACTGGTTATTGGGCATGTTGTGCACGGCGTTTGGTTCTGTTGTTGATTGACGAATCGTCAGATGTCTTGTCCTTGGGTACCGATTCACCTCGTGCCACATGTTGTTTTGTCTGCGGGTTTCGCTCCTGTATGTGTCAATTCTACGTCGATATGACAATGCTGTTCATGAGCTCGCTCAATATTTCCATTTCCCTCAACTCTCTTAGATTTCGTATCCTTTGGTCTAGATGATCAGTATTATTGAAGTCAGTCATCTATATGCTTGACCTCGTTTCTCGGCCATGCTTTAACAGTGTACAATATAACATCACTCATACAGCACGCTCTGCATGGGCTAAATATGGGGTAGAAAATAGTGTGAATAATTCATATCCCTCATATGCTCACTATTTCATAGTTCCAAGAGCGACACCATAACCAGCCCCCACTCAACTCCCTAATTGGCAGCCAGAAACTGTATGCAGCGTTAGCACTCTTTCCATTCCACAATAAGAGACCAAGCCTCACCTCTTGAGCCTCTTCTTCGTCAACAGCCGAGCTATCCACCTCACTCTTCCCAATAAGCCCAAGCTTTCCCTTTCTCACAAACCACCATAGCTCCCTCCGATCCCCACCCAGCTCCTCCCGCAACATCTTACCCTTCAACTGGCGCACAAAGTCATTATACACCGCCGGTTCCTCATAATCTACCAGCTCTTCGCGCATAGTACCGAGACCCTCGATAACGCGGTCGTAATTCGAATGACCGAGACTGTGCGTGATTTGGGTCTCAATTATTTCAGCCATTTGTTGCGCAGCGTCATGGATTGCGTCGATGTTTTCTGCGCGGGAAAGTGTTTGCTTGAACTCTGGGATTGCATTCTCGGTGGAAATTTTCGTTCGCTTGGGTTCGAGGTTGAGGAGGGCGTCGACGTCCAAACCTGAGAGGGGTTTCTCTGTTTCACGTTGGCGTTTACGGCCTTTTGTCTTTGGTGGAACTATATAACGGAAGGCGTTAGTGAGTAGGGTTTCTTTGAATGTAGTTTGAGAATCGGGCTTACCTTTCTTAACATCTGCCGTAGAAATCAATCTCTCAAGATGGGACTTAGAATTCTTGACCATGTCTTCCGATGGATGTGCGAATTCGGTGAGCCGCTCTGAGGGGTCGAGGACAGGATCGTTGGGATGCACAGCACGGTATCGAACGGCTGATTCGATGCGGTGCAGTAGTGGGGAGAATGACTCGTCAATTGGGAGCTCGTCAGTGGGTTCCCTGGCTCTTATGATTAGCCGGTTGACTGGATAATCAAGTGAACTCTACTTACCCTTCATCATTCGTGGTGACAAAATCCATGCTGTCCACGTAGTTACTCATCGCGTCTTTCAAAGCGGCGCTTGGGAGGTTTCGGTGTTCAGTTACGACCTTGCCAGAAACAGTGATGATCTTATCCAAAGGTGGGAACCGATATGACCGCACGTCTTCTGCAAATGGAAGCTGTACTTCGATCAAGCACTCATAGTCTGCCTCAACGGACGGAGCTAGCAACACGAGCATCGGTGGTTTGGATTCTTTGGTCACCAATCGGGCAACCGCATAGGACTCCAATTCGTAGAGTGCATGAATGAGAGAAGACAAAGCAAGAGACGCATTGTCATTTGCACGCTGAGGAATGATGATATTCGTGTTGGACATGTGCATGTACCGGTCATACTAAATGACAGGATTAGCTGCTATAACACTTGGGATTGGTATGGAGACACACCTGATCCTTCTGAACAAACCCAATAAGTCCCATGCCCGCAAATGTTTGTAGATTTGCGACATTCTCATCAGTTTGCTCAATAGGAACTGCTGTACGTCCGTACTCGTAACCCTTGGCGAGGTCATCGCGTTCAACGTCGATTTTACCTCCTGGTGCGGACTCGTCTGTGATCTGATATGTCCGTGATGTTCGCACTGAACTGAGAGCATCACCTTCACCATTGCCTTTGACCGGTGCTTGACTTCCGGGTTCGGTACCGGATTGTGGCACGAACGAGCTCGCTGAGATCGGTTTGGCGACGTAAGTTCGGAAGTATCGCTCCACGGGTATAGTGATTGCTGTGTCATACTCTTCGGGATTACCGAGCATGAGGTTTCCTTTAAAAGATGGCATGCTCTTGGTCACTTTGATGCGCGGAATATCCAATTCCGAAACAGCTTGCTCTAGCGTTCCATAAACACCTTCGCATTCCTCAGTCAGGCTTCGGAGAAGCGTCTCGTTTTCAGCCTGAGGAGAACTTGATTAACATGAATATTGGAAAATATTGAAGACAGGTTAGTACCTTCCGACTGTCTTTGTCTTCTTCCTTTACACCAAACTCAGCGTCATCAAAGTCGGCACCACTGGATGGTATTAGCATAAACCAAAGTGACATCGGCAAGAAACCATACATGATCACCAACTCAATGTTGACTTCTTTCATCTTTTCGATGATACCTTCGATATTATCATCACTCATCACACCGGTACCATTGGTTACCAGAACGATCTTGCGCTTGTATTTGTTTTTCTTGGTGTACTCGATGATCATTTGCATGGCAATGACAATAGAAGATATGGCTTGTATAAGATCAGAACTAGCAGGTTAATGAGACTTCAAATGCCACATACCATCGCCTCCGTTAGTCTTGCTAGGTTTGATCGTTTCTCGTAGTTTCCGGATATCAGGCATGAGGACCCTAAAAGATAATTTAGTCAAGTGACTCGACATGAAACAGTCAACTCTTCAAGCCACACATACTGGCCAAGGCCAAATAGGACAGAAATATTAGAGAAGTTCTCTTCTTCCAAGTCGTTGATAGTTCCTGTTCCGAACATGAGATAGGCTCCCAACGGGTGTTGACTGGTAGGCTACCACTCACCATCTGTCCTGAGCCCAACCACGCCAACCGTAGCCGTCTTGCGACCGGTAGCCACCTGGAACTGTCAGTACTCTGGCGTTGAACAAAGTCAAGTCACATACCGTGGCGGTGATTCTATCCCAGACATACTGCATGGCCCATTCGAGATCTGTCATAGGACGGCCATGGTGGCGCTCGCCCATAGACCGTCCCACGTCTACAATGTAAACTGTAGCCTCTTTCTCCGCCATGATGATGATGATGTTGGGAAAATGGCAAGTCGAAATCGCTTGAGGAGGCTCAAGACAACAGGCAGACGCGTGATATTCCACTTGCGGTTTAGACCGAAATGCGAAGGCACATGACATCACACGCTGTGTTTGTTGGTGTTTGGTGGCCTGTGCGTCGTTAGAAGTTGACTCCGTCTGACTGGCAGTGGAAATAAAGATTTCATTAAGAATTAGGTCGTAGCGATAACTGCCACTTCCTTCTTTCCCCCAACCTCGGGATGCAACTTGACATCAACTTTATCGCCAACTCAACTCTCCAGAGGTCATAACATATCCAAAATCATGGATCCTCGCCCCTATCATGTTCTGAGGTTTGTTTATTGACAAAAATCATGGCTCATGTACTAATAAATGAGGTAGCTACGGCACCCTTTTAGGGACACAGTTCTACCAGGTAAGATCGATATCTGAACCGGGCGCATATGGAATCGTCCTCTCCAAAAACTTTGTCTAACAAATCCAAAGTCTTTTGTCGGAGGCTTCGTTGCTTTCCGCGCCCTTCCGCGGCCACAGTTCGCTAGTCTGCAGACCGCCATCTTCCCCATCTACTTCTCACTGCAAACTGCGCTGCCTGTAGTGGTCGCCTTGACTGCTTCCCACGGCGGACAGGTATTGGGTCTGTCTGGTCTCGCTGCACCTGAGAACCGCCTTAACACCCTTTTGCCTCTGGCAACTGTGACAGTGACTGGGTTGGTGAACATGTTCGTGTTGCGTCCCATCACCACCAATGTGATGCGCGAGCGCAAGCATCAAGGTACGTTAGCTGCCGGCACTATGCTTCGGGTAAAAGTCAATGGAGCATTCTAACCTTCGCAGAATCCCGTGATGGAAAGAGGAGCTACGACCCGGCGCCTCACTCCAAGGAGATGCTGGCCCTGAACAAGAAGTTCGGCCGGGTGCATGGCATCTCAAGCTTGGTCAACTTGGTCAGCCTGGTTGCTACGATCTGGTACGGTGTCGTGCTAAGCAAGAGACTTGAGTAATTTGACAACAGCAATCAATGGCGATACTCAATAGGAAGTTCGATGCATATAGCCCTTGTGCACATTCCGTTCATTTTCCCCCTCTTGTCTACTGTATAAATGAAAATACATGATCCGTTTGACACTTTAATGGTCAGCTGAAGAGCTAGTAATTACATTGCCTGGCATCATATCCTGTCCACAAAGCCACAACTCAATGATATGGCAAGCACATCCCATAATGAATTTAAAACGTACCTGTTTGTCCGAGAATACCAGCTGCAGCCACTATCTCACTACCCTCTCTTCTATCTCTGCAGCATCTAGTCATTGTTCATTCTTTCTCCTTCCTTTCCTGCCTTGGACGCTATATCACCTACTTCCGCAAGACGCTCAACGCCTTGGTAGAATTCTGGCAGAGGCTGCAGCTTCTGGCGAAGAATCCAGACACGGAAATGCCACAAAGCATTCTTGATCTGGTATGATGCATGCTTGCGAGTCGAGACGGAAAAGACCTGGTCCAATTCTTCCAGAGTAAGAGCTGAAGATAAAGCATTAGCCCTGTCAATCTCGGATAGGTCATGAAGCTTACACTTTGTTTCAGGTACAAACAACAGGACCAAAAACCAGCCGATTATACACCAAGCAGCGTACCAACCGAAGGCACCCTGTGGTTTGAAAGAATCGACCAGATGCGGCCAAGTGAAAGATAAAATGAAATTAAAGCACCAAGTAGTTGCTGTCGCCCACGACATACCGACCTCGCGGACTTGCAGCGGGAAACATTCGGCCGAATACGCGAATGGTACGGGCCCTTCTCCAGGAGAGTAGAATATTTCAAAAAGATACATGCCTGTGGTGACCATTTCAATCCTCTTTTTGCTTGTTTCATTCCCCTCCTCAATCCAGAAGGAAAACCCAGTACATAGAAGGGTAATAGCGAGAAAGGGGAAAGTGAATAGTGGCAAATTCCGCCGACCCCAGGTATCAATCGTGAAGAAGGCTGGTAGGGCAAAGACCCAGTTGAGAATACCGGTTCCCATGGATGCCAGTAGCGCGCTGGTCAGACTGTAGCTTGCTTCGGTGAAGACAGAGGTAGAATAGTATGCAATGACGTTGACTCCGCAAAATTGCTGCATGAACATCACGATCCAGCTAGCGAGCGTGGCACGGCGGTTGCGGGGAATGGTAAAGAGCTCAATGAACATTGTGAAGAAATTTTTACCCTTGTTGATCTTCCGTTCAAGCTCAACGCCCACATGTGCATAATACAAATCTCTTGCGGCCTGAATATCTGTTGGGCGGAGGATACGGAAATTGGTATAGGCCTTTTGGATTTTGCCGTGCTGGATCAGCCATCTTGGAGACTCCGGGCAGAAGTAGACTTGAGCGCAGACAATCAGTGGTAGTACGACAGTGGATCCTAGCATGAGACGCCAGCTGATGTCTCGGTCTAAACTCATGAAAGCAACACCCATTATATTGCCAAGCATGATACCAAAGGCCGTCCACATTTGCCACATCATAACGAGAGCACCTCGGATTGGAGCGGGAGAACATTCTATTGAATTAGCAATGACGACAAGGAAGTCATGCGACAACACTTACCCGCGGCATACACAGGTACAGTACTCGATTTCGACCCGATGCCCAGACCAAGAACAAAGCGAGCAATAAAAAGATTGACCCAGGTGTTTGCAACACCTTCCCATACCGAGGCAACAGCTGCAATCATGCATGAGATGAAAATTGTACCACGCCGGGCAAATAACCGATTTAGGGGCTCAGTGAGCCAGCAACCGATAATCGCGCAAGCCAAGTATGGGGCACCAACAACGAGACCTTGAATGTTTTTAGAAGTGATGTTGAGTTGCTAGAAGAAAAATCAGTTTATGCTAGTACAATTAACAATAGCGAACGTACGTCTTTGGCAAAGTAGATAGCCTGGGCACCATTATTGACAGTTTCATCCATACCTTGCACAGCCGCAGCGAGAGAGCACATTGCTGGGGGGAAACCAGAAGTTAGCCTGGGCCAATGGATCGGTTGGATTCTCACACATACATGCCGTGAAACGGCAGCAATGTACTGAATTATCTATCTTCTGGACGTAGCCAAGTCAGCTGGAATTGTTCTCGCATAAAAGATCATAAGCAAGAGGTAGGGTGACCTAATCGCAAATGTGCCGGTTATCGCAGCCTATCAAGTCAAATCTAGAGCAATAGCGAGAATAGCTTCGAGCTTCAAGGGTGGGGGACTAAAGGGGACATGCTTGCTTTATAGAAAACAAGCATCTCTTCGCCCCCAGTTTTGAGAAACGCTAAATCGTTGAGGTCGCATTCAGTTCTGGTTGTCTTCCACACGGCATCAACAGCTAGGAAGTATAGAGTGCCTAATGTAACATGATTTAGATAGGTAGCCCACAATCCGTCAAAAGGGCGGAATCATTGGATATTGAGCCCTCGAATCCTGGGCTAGAAAATTGCCGAGCGACCCGAGAAACAGGGCATACATAGCATTGCACACAGAAGAAAGAGACACCCTTCCCTGTCACTGGACATTTTCCAAACGCGGAGGTTGCCCATGGGGGTGGAGTAAAGTGGTGAATCATGTATCATTTAGTGGGTCACCACGCGAATGCACACCAATGACATCTAAGTCACGACCCAGAGAGTAAGAATATGGGCACTTCGATCCCTCTTTGCCTAGCACACTCGATAATTAGAAGCAATAGAAGCAATCGAAGCAACACGGGAGCAAGAAATGATCAGCGCGAGACCAACCAATCAATGGGCCCGCGGGCTGTTTATGGGTATTTATGTCATCGCATACAACTTCCAGAGGTTGGCTTTGTATCCCTCTTTGTACACAAAGGACCATGCGGGAGAAAACGAGTCAGGTCCGTTCAAATACCACATAGTTGAGTAATCTACATGGGTTGGACGCTGCTGGCGGAATAGACCGAAGCCTCAAAGCACCCTTAGTGTACAAGTAACATGTCATGACAAAGGATGCCGGACTTTTGTTGTTGAGTCGCTAGGTGTAACCGGCCTGGTGGCCTGATGTTTGAACACCCATTTGCTTCATTCTACTAGACAAGTCATGAATTTGGGGTTTCTACTGATTTCTTCGCCGTCGGTAAGCATGATAAGCATAGTGGTTGCGAGACAGAGGAACGAAAGACGGAATGAGATAAATGGATCCATCTTCTGCAGGTTCGCTTTTGAGGTTCCTCATGGAGAGGGAACGTACAGCCCTCAAAGGGCCCCCGTACATGCACCCAACGGGGAGAGCGCCCCGGCTTTCTTCCGAGGTCGTCCTTTGTACATCAAGGAACATTTGATGTTTGAAATTCCCGAGGTCCGGAGGTCACCTGGGCGGGTTTATATCAGCGGGATCCGGAGAATTCTAGGCTAACCAACAACTGCCATTTTCGCCCTCGGTGATAGAGTGGTCCCTACCGGGGATTAGCTGCTTCACCGCCTATAAGCACTACTTAGAAGTGGTACATTGTATAAAGGTCGTGGGACAGATGGTCGCCGCCAGGTTGACCAAGGGCTGTGATGACCAGACTAGGGTTGTATCGCACTCTTGGGTCCCTCACAATGCGCCTTGGAGTTATCGTTTCGGGCTAGGTACATATGTAGCCTTGGGCGTTTTCGCGATCACCCGTCTCTGACAAGATACATGGATACATGTAAATATCACACTCCTAACACATGCTAGTGCCTCAAACCAAAAATTCGAGTTCTAGAACACTGGGGATATGCATCCCTAATGTTGTACAACCGGCATAGGTATGCACATAACCAATAACTTACATACCAGGCCGCATAAATGCGCTACGGATCAAAATTTCTGAACTTCCGAAAATATGGAGAATTGGACCGAAGCGACTATCATTACGGAGTACGGAGTACTAGGTACGGTGAGTAGAATGAGTCCCGGGGTCTGTTCATCCCTTCCGCTTCCTAGTGGCGAACGACCAAACTCTCGGGACCGAGCGTGTCAGTGAGCGAATTGAACAATTTTCTGACATGGATACGGGGATTTGGGCAAAAGTACGCGGTACTTTACAAAAACTTACGGTGTCCGCCCCACTCTAGTCCTGGAGGATGTGGTCACTGCACGGAGTTGGTTTTAGTAGGAGTTCGGCTTTGCACCCCCCCGAGTCTCAACACAAGGTATTAAGATGATACTACATGTACGTATAAGCTATTGCTAGATTCATGGTACCGAGAACATAAGTAGCATATCATTCAAACCAAACGGGGGCGTGGCTGGCATAAATTACACCTGTGGGCCTCAACCCGTTACCCTGCACCCCTGATTGGCCGGGAATCAGCACTTTGGCCCTGTGGATCATAACACAGCAATGGGCTAATCATCTCAGAGCGATCAATACGCTAGCTGTTGTCTAACCACTTAGAATATCCAACAAACGCCCATTGAAAGCCGCTGCACGGGATATGGACTCCAAAAACTCAGGAAAAGGCACTCCGTACTTCCTGCAGCAGCCTTCTTTACTCAAAGGAGCACTGATCCGGCTGACGGTACAAATGATCGTTTGATACAACGTGGTAACGCTGGACCCGACAAGTTGGGACGCTAACAGCTGCCTTGAAGACAGAGGGGTCATAAGGGGGGTCATAGGACTGCAGTCTGCTTGCAGTTTTCACTTTCCACTTTTTTCTGATCCCTTCCATCGCCAGTTTACAACGAGCTTCCCTGCATTTCGTGCGCTGTCTTGTAGATCGGAACTATCGAAGATGGATCAAGATACGCACGATATATCGACCCCGGTCGAGCCTGACGTTAGTATTTCATGAAATCTCTTTTGTGCGCATCTTTTCCTCTGCTTATTCAACTAACATCATTAGTCCGAAAACGACGGCGACTCATTATACTCTGACTCGTAAGACCACATAGTGGTGACTTGTGATGCTGTGTATATCCTACTGACCATGATAGACTTGACAATGCCAGTTATACCACAAGTGTGACATCGAGCGTGCTAGACTATCAGTATGTTAATGTGGCTGGAATCTCTGTTCAATGGTTGCTAATAATCGCAGATATGAAGTGCGTTACAACACTACTTGATCACGAACTGTGCTGACCAGATACAGAACGGTCGCAGATATCATTCATACCATGAAGGAGAATACATTTTGGTACATGACCCTGTCAACGTTTAGTCTCTGTCCCAGACTAATGTTCTAATAGCCAAATGATGAACGGGAACAAGATCGCCTTGACCTGGTTAGTTTTCACTTGTTGATTCCGACGACACAAAATTTAACGAGCAACAGAGCCACCACATTTACCTAATGCTTCTCAAAGGAGAATTGTTCCGAGCACCAATCAAAAATCCAAAGCGAGTACTAGATCTCGGGACAGGAACAGGTTTATGGGCAATCGAGTATGCGGAGTAAGTTTCTTTTTCAAGAGATATATCAAATCTACCCTAACAAGCAATATAGTACAAACCCAAACTCACAGGTGATTGGTACGGGCATCTGTCTCAAACTCGATCAAAATTTTGGCTAATTGAAATAGGAATTGATCTAAGCGCTATTCAGCCATCATGGTACGTACCACTGCTACTATGCTGGCTCCTTGTATAATATTGATATATGTCTAGGGTGCCTCCAAACTGCCGCTTCGAGATTGATGACTTTGAACAACCGTGGTCATATAGCAAACCATTTGACTATATCCATGGGCGCGAATTGGAAGGTTCCATCCGTGACCATGACCTTCTCTTCAAACAGGCACTTGACAACCTGAATCCCGGTGGATGGTTTGAAATTGCGAGTTTCGACGTTAACACCTATTCGGACGACGACACTCACCTCCGCGCAACCAACTTCATCTTAGCCATTAAGCACATGCACGAATCATCGCGCATGTTTGGCAAGGACATGACATCGTCCCCATCCTGGAAAGGTCGGATGGAGAAGGCCGGGTTTGTGAATGTCAAAGAAGAGGTTTACAAGGTATGTTCTGCCATCCCTTTTTGATGAAAATGGAACCCCATACTTATGGGTGAATAGCTGCCCCAAAGTCCATGGCCCAAAGACCCCAAGCTCAAGGAGCTTGGTCGGTACCATCAACTCAACATGCTCGAAGCTATGCCTATTTACACATATGCGTTGTTTTCAAGAGTGCTTGGATGGACACGCTCCGAGATTGAGGGACTGTTGGCAGGAATCCGAATGGAGCTGCGGGATACATCGCATCACCTGTACACGAAAGTGCGGGTGGTTTACGGCCAGAAAGCCGCAGGACCTGTGAGTTCCTAACCGATGTGAACAGAAAATTTGTGTCCCAGTCATTTTCCATGGACCCTTCTGAATTTAGAGTTAAGCGTGTGGCACGGAACTCGGGAGTTCCCGGGGCAATAATCTCTCCACTGTTAATGCCTCGATACTCAGGCAGAGATTATGCACTCAAACAAACTTTAAGCGTTGTGAGCAAAACAGGACATATTTTCCATTTGGGGTGTCTATCTCCTAGCTAGAGGCTAGTGAAAGCAAATTTCATATTCTTCCTTGTAGTTGGCTTCGTGTCAGAGCAGCTGTAGAATGTGCATCTCCGTGCCTTGTCTAGCTATGTATACAACCCCTGCGACTTAACATCCCTCGTGGGTGGTGGGTGGGCTTTTAAACCGGGTAATGGAAATAATTATGTTCATTTTCTGCCTCCATTCTTCCCTTCTGTCATTTATTTTCTGTTTTCTTCCCATTCTCTTACTTGCTTCCCCTTTGAGATCGAAATGCAGATAGAGATGTACCAATACGAAAGAGAGGTGTACCTAGGTAATTAATATGTATTAGGATATTATGAGTTATGAGTTATCGAGAGAGAGATGTATATCTTGGAGGAAACTGCAAAATCCTCAACATCCCAGGAAGCCCGCCATCACAATGTGACCGAAACAAGGGTAGCGCCATGTTGGAAAATAGTCCCCGCCCATGTTCCGCAAAGCAAACGCCATATTTTGGAAGTGTTCGTCGGTATCGTGAAGAAATAAAATGTTTGTGGAACGCAGTCGGGGGGTCATGTTGATAGTAGGAAGATCGCATATCTTGCAAGGAATGGCGTTCCTTGGATCGAAGAAAAGTTCCACTCTTTGGACGTCTTGGCAAAATACTGAGTCCTGCATGTTTCTTCAAAAAAATATTAGATAACTAACAACTTCGAGCATGATGTATGTGGTAGACTGCAAAATACTCACCATTGTCAAGCTATCTTTGCCCAGAATAACGGCCCGGTGGGAAAGTATACTCGTCGTACAAGTCCTCTTTGGCCGCCATGAGAGGTCCCCATTCCTTTTTTATCTCATTCCATTGTTTCTTCAGGCGTTGGAGAGGTGAAGGATGTGACTTCTGCTGGGTGGCGTTGAGATCCTCGACAGAAGAAGACTGTGACTTGCTTGTTTCAGGAATAAATTCTTGTGAATCAATATGTTCAGACATGATGTGTTAATAATTTGCAAAATTATCGATTGCTACTTCGATTTGTACTTGCGCGGCGATTTTGCACTCTTTATATCATATTTCTTGAGATAAGGATGACATCTCAAGTAGGGGTTCTTTGAAAATTGTGAACCGAGTCTCACCCGACCGATTACCGAGATATTACCGCCGAGGTATCTCCGCGTGCCCTATCCTGAGGCATTTTGGTTGCATCATGAATGCAGAAGTCTCCTGTAGGACTAGAGTGATGTATAGAAAAGTTCTGATCTGCGGCGCAGTGGTTTCTCAATATATATATTTTAGAGGGTTGTAGGGATCGTAGAAAAGACACGAAGCCAATGACGTCAAGAATACTTTCGACTTTGGGGTGTATAAGGCGGATCTAGCGCAGAATCAGACCAGCTTTAAGCAATTGCCCCTAAATTTTCGAAACTATTTCCGAAGAAGAGAGAGAAAACAAGAGGACAAGATAAGGTAAACTCTGGCGTCGCCTGGGCAACTTTGCCGATGCTTTCATTTTTCAACGTGTTTCGACTGACGCCTGACCACATTATTCACATACACAAGTCGCTAAACAAATGTTTTATCTGATACTGTCAGAAATAGGCGCCTGATTGAAAAAAAAGGCTCGTCAGTCTTAGTAGAATGGCCGTTTGCGGACCGATTCAATTCTTGGATAGGTAGCGACGTCAAGTGACATCTTTCGCACATGATAAGAATATTATCTGTAAGTACCCATCATTGATCCCGGGTTTCACAGATAGTTATAACTTGTCAAAACCTAGCGTGGTTCATGCGAAGATTTTATATTCACTTGCAGTCCGAAAACTGTTCGTTCCGCAAAAAAATCTGGACGCGAAGATGAGACCCAGTGAAGTTGTCATCGACGCGATCAAGCCAGTGGCACAGTACGTGAAAGTAATTGCGCGAGTGATTAAGGGGAATCTTAAGCGTATTTTGGCTCTGATCCGCCTATATGGACTCTCTGGGATGCTTGTGGCATTTTGCGGAAGTTCGAATGTTTGGCAAGTTGAAGCCAAGGTCATTGGTGAGCTAGACGACGATCAAGCAATTGAGTTCAGGAAGTCTGTACAAGACGAATGTTCTATGATAGCAGTAGCGGTAAGTTTACCAAATAAGCACGAGACCCGTTGATACTAAGGTAAATAGGCTGCGCTTGTTGCTCAGATAGCGATTACCTCACTATCTTTGAGTGATCTTAGCAAAACTCACTGGGTTGCTCGTGGATTATTTGCGCTTAGCTTGATATCGTCCCTGAGTGCCGTCACCTGTGCAGCTACTCAGCATATCGTTATGACACCTCTCTTGTCCGGGGATCAAATTCGGGCGTGGATCAGGGGAGGTAATGTTACTACATATCTTGACCCGGTCACATTATTTTGTGCTCTTTTTGAGTCGATGATGCCCGGTGTGCGTGCCGTCCGCGCACCGATAATCTGGGCATTTTGGGTATCACGAATTAAAGTTTTCCAGCCTTGCAGACCTCAAGACGACGATGTTCTAACAAAGCTCGACCACCGGAACACTGAAGTCTTCGACTACTCATTAATGAGACTATGCTTCACACCAGGTGTTATACCTGTCATCACGATGTCAGCACCTATAATTTTACTCGCTATATCTATTTTGTCAGTAGTCATCGCTTTTGGGATTTATTTTGGCTTTACTTGGACTAAGAATCTTGATTCTGATGCTGGTTTACACGATAGCCGGAACGTCTTCATTTTATATATTGTTGGCCTTGGGCTGTGCACTTTGGTCTACTTGGGTTCGCAGCTAATTCAGAACGAAAGTCTGGGGGATGAGTACCAGACCGTTGGGAAATATTCACGGCAGTATATGGAGAATCACCCAGAAAGAGATTGGCGGCGTCCAGAACCAGTTATTGTACCAGCGGCACCACCAGTTTGAGAATGCAAGGTGTCAAGGTCAGTACAGCTGTCTTGATGGTGACCTTTGGTCTGATGCAAATGTAGTATGCAGGAGCATATGGCGGTGCTGCACATTGAGAACATGCGACTCTCTCACCTTACGCTTGCAACTGCGGCCGTCGCTATCGCTTCCCCACTCACCGAGAGCGAACTCCGTTACGTGTTCCAATGGACACTAGACGCCAAAATGCTGCCAGCTTCTGCTTCCTGTCAAAACACAAGGAAGATCGTTGATATTGGAGTTGGATGTGCAACCTGTACGCAATGTGATCCCGTTTCTGTATCAACCACTTTAATTTCGGCGACGCTAACTGGCTCCATAGTGGGTATCTCTTGCAGCGGTCAAACCCTATGCTGCGATACTGAGAATTTGGGTCACCAACATTGCATCGGTGAAGTATAGCTAATCGAGATTTAGTTTTTGATTGATATTCTCAACGTTTGCGCTGAGCCTAGCGGCAGAGGTACTGGTAGTGATGGTGGTATTGGTGGTGGTTGAATTCCCCCCCCCCCCCAACCTCTGCTTTTAAAGTCTTGGTCACTTATATTTGTCATTGTTACAGGAAGTCCATGGCTGTCGAAACTGAGAAATTGTACAATTGCAAATTTCATACGTTCACGGACTTACTGAACTACCAAATCTGGATCATGCCTGTACTAGCTCATTCGCATTTACACTGTTTGTAGAAGCTGATGCAACTTCGACTGCTTATGTTTGCTTTATATTTCTTCAATAGCCAGACCCGCGTGCCGAAAATGGCCTCTAGCGCTATCTTCTTTTGTACCAACCACCTTGACACAACATTCGAGGAAGGCATCGAATCCTTGGTCGGGGTCGGCTTCATGATTGCTCCAGTTACGTTTAATAGAGCATTTAAGCTCAGCGAAAAACTCTTCGATTGGATTCAGGTCCGGTGAGTAGGGCGGCAGATAAACCAACTTCACCCCGCGTCAGCACACAGTTGCGCAATCTTCTCGAAATGGTGAAACGATGCCTTGTCCATGACTAGAACGCATCTGGGCGCCGGCCATCTTCCAAATGTCCCTGGAGAGTCTGCTGCAGGGCGCCCGTCTCCGTGTCCCAGAGCCGCACTGTTAGATCGCCAGAGCCGGACGCTAGCAGCCGGCCGTCGGGCGAGAAGGCCACCGAGTGAACCGAGCTTGGATGGCCCTCGAGAGTCTGTAATTCTGCACTCCATTTTTTGTGAACTTGTGGGAACTGGCATATCCAACTAAGAAGCTCTGACTTGAACTCTCTACGAATTGTTGCCGTTCGAGGTGCAAATATCAATCCTGTGCAATAAATCTGAAGCGGTGCTTTATCGGCTATCTGGATTTTTCAGAACAAAGCGCTTTGCATCATCTGCTTACTGAATGAATGTTCTTTTCAGATTTAGCTCCATAGTCGTATTATGATTATCCACCGGTCGTTGAAATTACTCTCCGCCGCGATGAGGCTCTCAATTAGAGTACTTTGACCAATGAAAAGCGATACCGCTTATCCCCGCTCATCCCCGCCGGCCATGCCGCCAATCGGAGCCCCTCAATCAGCCCGCGGGCAATGGACCGCGGCAAAGTCCGCGGTTTAAGTCAACATCTGACCATATAATGTGAAGAACCGCCCTGGATTTCAAAGTATTTAAAGTTCTCAAAGGTAGCGGACAAAGGGCAAATAAAGAAGCTATATTTCACTCAGGGTAAATAAAACCACTCGAAAATATGAAAAGCGAATCTGTAGTGATCATCGGGTAAGTGGGATCCAAAACACGCGATGACTGTTTCGGAGAGTTGATACCGATTTTTCTAAGGGCCGGCGTGATCGGACTGAACGTAGCTCTCGTTCTCGCTAAAAAGGGCTATGGCCAGCATACAACCATCATTGCAGAACATCTTCCAGGAGATACTTCGATAAATTACACTTCACCATGGTTTGTTGGGACTCCTACTGCTAGTTCACATTCACAAAAGATTAACCTGAGTTTAGGGCTGGTGCCAATTTTTCTGCTATTTCTGCAAGCGACCCGAATGCGTTGCGATGGGACAAACTTGGATATATGTATCTTCTCAATCTTGCAGCCAAGGATGGCAAGAATGCGTTTGCGAAGGAAACACCTTCGGTGGAGTATTGGGACGAGCTACCATCCCGTGAGAAGATCGACTCGATGGCCGCGTATCTCAAAGATGTGAGTTATGAATGACTTCCTTGCTTATCCGATATGCTTATCGATATTGCCATTAAAAAGTTTAAGGAGATTGCCACACAAGACTTGCCAGCGGGTGTTGCATTTGGCATAGAGTTCAGGACAATAACGCTCAATGCACCAATGCACCTTCAGTATTTGTTCCAGAAGCTCACCCAAGAATATGGAGTGCGAGTCATTCGCAAAAAGTTGCCCCAAGTCTCATCCGGCTATCTCAGCAAGGATACGAAGGTGGTATTTAACTGCACCGGAAATGGAGCAAAAGAGTTGCCGGGAGTCCAAGACTCGAAATGCTTTCCCACTAGAGGTCAGATACTACTTGCAAGAGCATCTCATGTTCAACAAAACATCATGAGACATGGTAAGGACTATGAAACCTATGTGATTCCTCGACCATACTCGAATGGAAATGTGATCCTTGGTGGATTCATGCAAAAGAATGTTGGGTAAGTAAGTTTTTTTCAGCCCTTTGTCAGAACAACATTGGTACATTGTTGTTTTCTCTTGGGTGTTCCATATGACAGTAACTGAACTATATCGATAGTACACCGGATACCTTCAGAGAAGAGACAGAATCAATTCTGACTCGAACGGCGGCTTTGCTTCCAGCTCTAAACTCAAACGAGACTGAGATTCTTGGTGCGTTTGCTGGGCTGCGCCCATCTCGCGAGGGTGGCACTCGTGTTGCCAGGGAAAACGTACAAGTAGGCGCTGCAGGACGCTGGGTTGTTGTTGTCCATAACTATGGCGCCGGTGGAACCGGCTACCAGGCTGGATATGGAATGGCGGTTGAGGCAGTTGACACTGTGACTGAGGAGATTAACGCACTTGATATTCAGTCGCGTCTTTAGATGTTGTTCCCAGTGTCCACTTTGGGTGTATTTTTGGGTGGGGTTATTTCTAGATTTCATTGACCAGACAGCCCTGGAGCAGGATTGGATTGACATAAGACAAGCAGTTTGCAAATTGGGAACTTGGTGTAACATCTAGAACTAAGATTTTTATTCGTTATTCGTGTGGTATCGTCATAGGTTACATAACAATCATATCGCTCCTTATCCAACCTTCGGAAGCCATGTAGTGATGCAATCACCGTAACTCTGCCATCCTGTTCATACCACTTGCATCGTAGCTTGGGGGAGGACTTTCATCGGTATGGGAGTATATCTCATTATCGTCATAATCACCATCATATTGTGTCACGATGATTTTCGGTATAGGTCGCTCGGTTTTCAAGGGTGACAAGCATTGAAGCCCGAAAACAGATATGACACTCGTCTCACATGGAAGTTCCGAAATTGGAGAAGCGACTGTCGAAACCTTAGGTGGAGAGAAAAATGCTTTATCCTTGCCCAAAGTGGTTTGTAGTGAGCCAAGGTGGCTAAGAACCGTCCTGAGTTTGCCATGAGAAAGAAGCATGTGGGATTCCTTTTTCAGGGCAACTTCATAGTCACGACGCTTCCAACCGCTGCGGTTTTGGTGGCTGATTTGTTTAAATTGATTCGCAAATGCAGCTAAATCGTTGGCGGCATTTTCGGCATCGTTGATGGTCGAGTTGATCCACTCAAGCTCGATCTCGCCCAGGTCTGTTCTTTTGTCATCACGCAACTGTCTTGTCTGCTTCGCCGTGGAATTGACGAGTACAGTTGCTTCGTAAAACTCTTCGATCTGCTCCTCCGTAGATAGTGAAGGTCCAGTGACCGAGGCAGATATGATTGATTTCACTTTTGCGGAGGGTGACGTAGTCTTGGGGTTTGGAGATGAGTTTGTTGATTGCGAGTTGAGTTCCCGTGAGTAAAATCGTGATTGTGGGGGGTTTGCTCTTGGGTTTGCCCATCGCGCGCTGGAACATGCTGTTTCGTGTCTTCAATACGAGCGACTCGGTGTAACTGATCTGCTGATTGATTCCATTTTGACACCGATCGATAGAGCATCAATTTAACCGACTGATGACACCGATCCTTCGAACCATTTAATGAGTCTGCTGATTTGTGCCATATTTCCATTGTCGATTGATGGTAGCGATATTTTGAATTATCCCACATGGCTGTTGAACGACCGACAAGGTCCCTTGTCGATCGCTGCAGTTTCCCTGTCAACTGGCCTTTACGCCGATGTGCGAAGTCGGTGGATACCATTTTCGGACAAATGCACTTTTAGTGCTTGGAAAAGGATATTTTTGTCTTGGATGTCTCGGAGAAAGGTGAAATCTGAAAGGCAGCTTGAATTCCAATGAGAAAAGTGCAAGAAATCCAAGGTAAATAAGTTTCCCATATTAGCCCAGCCCTAGGCTACACGGATCACCGGAAATTAAATATAGCTTTCTCCCAATCAATCACTTTCAAGCATGTTGGATGCCAGCAAAACATGGCGATGCTGGAAGGCTGTGTGCTGATAGGCAACGTAATTAGCACTGGAGTGGCTGGAGTGTAGATCCACGATCATCATTGGTCAACTTTTTAGGCATTGCTAAATTTGACTGTAGAGGGTGGGGGCCAAACTGCCTGGGGCTTGTGCTGCCCAATTGGCATGGACTGCAAAAGTTCAAATTTCAAAATATACCTAGGTAGTGTGGTCGATACGAGGTTATCCTCCGATCTTTACGGAGTATAGCCCCCTAGGAATCCATGCTCAGAACTCAGATTGGGTACGGAGTACGGAGTAGTGCTTCCAAGGTTTCAAGGGCACCTTTGAGATGGTGTTCCTCACCATGTGGGATCATGTGATATCACGTGGTATCTCGGCAATTGATGCCGTAATGTTGACATTTCCCCGGATTCTCTACGATGCCCGTAATTGATGGAAATTCTTCAGAAGAAATACCCTCGAATTAGTCCACAATAAGGTTAATTCCGGTGGGATAACCCCGGAGTACTATATACTACTTTTAAAAATTGACTGTAATTTTTGACGTCGAGTTATAAAAGCACCATAATGCTGCCAATGAAGATAGAATAGTAGTTAGCTCCAGCATACCAAACATGAGAATCCCACAGGTTCTTGTTTTTGCTGCAGCTGCGGCTGCAGTGACAATTCCGCGCTCCAAGCACTCTTCTCCTACCTCGCTCACAAATGTGACCATCTTCTCGCCACCCTCCGACTACATCGTTCCACGGACGCTTTACCCACGTAACGAGCAGCTTCCCAACGGCGACCTTCTTGCAACATGGGAAAACTACTCCCCAGAGCCACCGGCGGTCTACTTCCCCATATACCGCTCTAACGACCACGGAAAGACCTGGAACGAGATCTCCAAGGTCCATGACACTGCCAACGGATATGGCTTGCGTTACCAGCCGTTCCTCTACTCCCTGCCCGAGCGCGTTGGCTCATTTAAAAAAGGCACTCTACTTCTAGCTGGTAGTAGCATTCCGACTGACTTGTCGTCCACACACATCGATCTGTACGCGTCACAGGACGATGGCGTGAATTGGAAGTTTGTTAGCCATATTGCTGCCGGAGGAGAGGCGCTGCCTAACAATGGACTGACTCCTGTATGGGAGCCATTCCTACTCGCCCAGTATGTTCTTCTATTGTGCCTTGAAATAGCTTGCTAACTCCCTTCACAGCAAGGGCAAGTTGATTTGTTATTACTCGGACCAGCGGGATAATGCAACCTACGGACAGACAATGGTTCACCAGGTCTCAACTGATCTGAAGAAATGGGGACCTGTTGTAGAGGATGTCACCTACCCGACATATACCGACCGACCTGGCATGCCAGTTGTGACTAAGGTGAGCTACACCGAAAGCACCGGTTCAATTGTGATTGGTTTGTGCCATGCCCAAAGAATGCTAACATTTCCAGCTCCCGAACGGTCAATACTTCTACATCTATGAATATGGCTCTTTCTTCGGTACTTCAAGCTACTCCTTCCCTATATACTACCGTCTGTCGTCCGATCCCGAAGATATCGCCTCCGCCCCGGGCCGGCGTCTGGTTGTCTCGAGTGGTACTAAGCCGACATCTTCGCCGTACGTTGTGTGGACACCATACGGTGGTAAAAACGGCACTATCATCGCCAGCTCCGGCACACAGAGTACTTTGTTCATTAACAAAGCTCTTGGCGAAGGAGAGTGGACAGAGATCGCTTCGCCCGAAGAACACGGCTACACGCGGTCTCTGCGGGTGCTGTCGGAGGCTGGAGGTCGATACCTGGTCGTGAATTCTGCTGGAGTGCTCTCCGGCACAAATAACCGGGTCTCCGTAAGTGTGATGGATTTGAAAGAAGTATTGTAAACTGAAAAACAATTTGTGGCGGACTTCTCATATTAGACGCGTCGTTTAATTGCTGTTTATAATATTTGATCGTTGTGATTGGTGTGATTGATGTGACCCACCTGGGCATTGTTGGTTGTGTGTGTGTCCCTGGTATTTGTCGAGAAGAGATCTTGATTTTGGTGAAACTAGAGATAATCCGTGGCCTGTGAATAACCATTATTAGACTCATGCCATGTACAATCAAATCTCACGTTGAGCCTAGCCCAGAGTTCGGGGGGATACGGGTTGAGATGACTGATTCACCAATGAGTCACAGAGACATGCGACAGAATAAGGTGCCATCAATTCGAAGAATGCCGGTAAGGCGGGTTCCAGCCCCAGATAGCGTGAGTCAAAAGGTTCCAGCCCCATATTTTAGGCACCAGCGATCTCCCGCCCTTGCCATATTTACCTTGGTACCTCTCCACATTAAGCCTCATTTCCACACACACAAATTCCCAGCAGCTATGTTAAACTGCTCTGCCGAGGAGGACGTTTTTGGCCCAATTGTCGCTCCTTCTTGTCTGCATGGATTTGACTTCACCCTTTTGTTTGAAGAGAGTATTCTCACACTAGGGCCGATCGGTGTTGTCTGTTTGGCAGCATCCATTCGCATTTGGAAGCTTTCGGGCGTCCCTGAAAAGGTCAACCGGTCATGGTTGTATGCCACAAAGGAGGTATAAAGTCCTCCAAGCTCCAAGTTCTTGCATATCCTCACATTCCTCGCGCTAACCAGCATCGTGCAGTTATCGTGGCTGTTTTACATAGGATGCCATATGGTCCTGCTAGCTCTCTGGTGTCAACCAGCCACATCCAAAACAAAAGCAACTGTGCTTACATCTTTTATGACTGTGATTATTTCCCTTTTTCTGGCCTACCTATCTCATCTTGAGCACCTCCGCTCCATACGCCCATCTACAGTGATCAATGTCTTCCTCGTGTTTACCTTGCTCTTCGACCTCGTACGCCTTCGAACTCTGTATTTCATGCCCACTACTCAAACCGTGACCGTACTTTTTGCTATATCATGGGTCATTAAAGCAACGATTCTCGGTTTGGAGGCAACGGAAAAGAGATCTTTGCTCAAGAAGAGATACGAAAATAGCCCGATCGAGTCAACCAGTGGCGTGCTGAATCGTGCTATATTTTGGTGGTTGAATGAACTACTTTGGCGTGGGTCAAAAGATATTTTGACAGTTGACAGTCTTCCTGCTCTCGACAATGACATCAGGGCTGCTTCAAATCCTCAGTCTCTCCTTGAAAGATGGAAAAAAGGTGAGCTTGTCACGACGTCTTTTATCATACCACGAATTAATCCAGATTCCTAGCCAACCAATATCATCAAAATGCACTCTTATGGACTTTCGTATCTCACTACAAATGGGCCTTTCTGGAGGGTGTTTTACCCCGGCTTGCATATACGGGATTTTGCTTTGCGCAGCCATTTCTCGTCGAGCGTGTACTCAATTTTATGACTGAACCAGAACATGTTAACTCCGCCAACTATGCCTATGGACTCATCGGCGCCTACGCCATTGTATATCTCGGCATCGCCGTATGTAGCATTCCATGTCTTGATGGAAACTCTACTGATTCTGATATCATCCATAGATCTCATATGCTGCTTACGAGCACAAGACATACCGCGTTATTACTATGGTCCGAGGAAGTTTAGTCACGCTCATCTTCAACAAAACTCTGCGGATGAGCACTATCGCTATCTCAGATACTGCTGCCATCACATTGATGAGTACCGATATCGAACGAATCGGAAGTGGTCTCAGAGAGATGCACGAGTTATACTCCAACTTTACTGAGGTTGCATTGGCCTTGTGGCTGCTCGCACGACTGCTGAATGTAGCGACAATCGCTTCCACTGCGGTTGTTGTCGGTACGTCCTTACAATATTCTTCTTTTGAAAGACCTTTTGGTTGACTTGGACATAAATTAGTATGTTTGGCCGCAGGTGTCCCGCTGGCAGTCGCTTGTGGGAAAGCACAAGGCATCTGGCTCGAGGCTGTCGAGGAGCGGGTGACCGTTACCTCAAAAGTTCTCGGCGTTATGAAAAACATCAAGATGACAGGCTTGACAGAAACCATCTCCTGCAGCCTTCGGGATTTGCGATCCGCGGAGATTCATGCTTCGTTTCCATTTCGACTCTACGAAACATTGGGGATTACACTGGGTATGTTCAGCTCCAGCTGTGAGATTATAATAACATCGCTAATTATACAGGGTATGCCTCTTCATCCTTGGCCCCGTTGTTTGGATTTGGTGTTTATGTTATACTTGCCCGAGCAAATGACACAGCTACACTGACAAACGGCCTAGCCTTTTCTGCGTTGACACTCTTTTCATTATTGGATCAACCAATGGGCTCTATTGTGAATGGCTCAGAAGATCTGATGGCGGTGGTCAACTGCTTTCAGCGGATCCAAAAGCACTTGATGGAAACAGAAAGAGTTGACTATCGACTAAAGCACGATAATCCAGGGTCCCAATCAGCGCAAATTTCTAGCATAGCGCCTCTGATTGTGACAGATTCCTCGGCCTGGGAACATTACGTCGAACCTTGTGCTGTCATTCGAAACGTCTCTGCAGCTTGGTCAATTGACACTGAGCCGGTGCTGAAAGATCTAAACATTGACATCCAAGAGTCCAAGGTTACAATGATTGTTGGGCCTGTGGGTAGTGGCAAGTCTACTTTTTTGAAGATGCTCATGGGGGAGATCCCAGAATGTTCTGGCTCAATCTCTACCAGCTTCACTCATGCCGCGTATTGTAGTCAGATGCCATGGATTACATTCGGGACAATCCAAGAAAATATTGTTGGTGCATCGCCATGGGACCGACCCTGGTACGACCAGGTTACCAAGTCGTGCGCTTTACAAGCGGATTTGCTACAACTTCCTGCGGGAGATCAAACAAAAGCCGGTGTTCGAGGTTCTCGACTTAGTGGCGGACAGCAAATGCGCGTGGTATGTGACTCTAACCCTGGGCATGAGAAGACTTGAAATAACAAAAACGTCTCTAGGCGCTTGCGCGGGCTCTTTACTCGAAAGAGCCAGTTCTTGTTTTAGATGATGCTCTAACGGGTCTTGACCGAGAAACCGAGAAGATAATTATGGAGAACTTGTTCGCTGAACATGGTTCCATCAAGCGTTGTCGGCAAACAGTAATTATGGCAACAAATTCAGGTATGTATATGCCCCACATCTGTGCAAGCTATTCAATAGGCTGATTATCATAGCGCATCACCTTGTCTATGCCGATGACGTTATCGCGCTGGATGAGGATGGAAGAATTATCCAACACGGGTCGTATAGTGATCTCATGAGTTCCGGTGGCTATATTGAAATGCTTTCCGATGGTGTTCACCCAGTCAACACTGCCCGAGCCTCCGATGTTGTATTGGACGACGAAACATTGCGAGGATTGAACTTGGATGAACAACATACGGATTTAAGTCGACGAACCGGCGACTGGACTGTCTATCGCTTTTATTTTCAGAACATTGGCTGGCCTCTTCTTTCGGTCTTCCTTGCATGTTGTGTTCTCTTTATTCTCGGTCTCAGCTTTCCTCGTGGGTCTCAACAAAGCTACCTAAACATCTGATTCCACGCGTTGCTAACAGTTAGACATACAGAAATATGGCTGCAGTGGTGGACTCGTGCCAATGAGCAGCACCCCAACGAACATGTTTATTATTGGTTAGGTGTATATGCTGCACTTGGTTTCTTCTCACTTCTAACTACCTTTGCTGGCACTTGGTATGGTTTCAATGTTGTTTTCGCCCAGGTGTTCTTCTATGTCTAACGCTATATAGGATCCTCATCATGATCATACAGCCTAGAACAGCCCGTCGGTTCCACGAGATTCTTTTACGAACTACAATAGGGTAAGAATGGACAACAAATGTTGTGTGTTACTTGTTTTGACCTTTGATTCAGAGCCACCACATCTTTTCTTACCTCTACGGATATCGGAACCACCACAAACAGGTCAGCATTTTGTAAAAAAAAAGTTTCATGAAGTTTGCTCGTTTTATTGATCCGGTTTCTTTTTTATAGATTTAGCCAAGACCTCGAACTCATCGACGACGAGCTCCCTTCAGCCTTGGAGCTAACAATCAATGCTGCGCTAAGTTGTGTTGTAGAAGGATTTCTAGTCTTTGTCGGCTCTTCTTATGTCACAGCAGCAGTGATCCCAGTTTGCGTCCTGGTGATATACTACGTGGCAAGATTCTACGTTCAAACCTCTCGGCAGATGCGCTTGCTAGACATCGAAGCCAAGGCACCTCTATTCTCGCAATTCTTGGAGGCCCTGAGTGGCCTCCCCAGCATTCGAGCCTATGGCTGGGCAGAGGATTACCACCGCCGTAATGAAATCGCCCTCGACGCTTCCCAACGCCCTTCTTATTTACTTTATTGCATTCAGCGCTGGATTGGTCTTGTGCTAGATTTGATAGTGGCATGTATTGCTGTCATCGTCATTGCTGTTGCAATCTCGATGAAAGGTAGCCCTTCCATGAACTTATTGGGTATCGCGTTGTTCAACATTGTCAACTTCAGTGGCACCCTTCAGACACTTGTGACATACTGGATTGGATTGGAAACCTCCATTGGAGCCGTTTCTAGAATTCGATCATATGCGCAACAAGCCACTATGGAGGATTTAGATTCCGAAACAGAGGCCGTTCCCGAGAACTGGCCTCAGCAGGGTGGGGTTGATATAGCCGGCCTTTCAGCATCTTATGAGTATGCTCTTGGATGTTTCTTAAGTTTCTTCGGATACATGCTGACCGGTATTTTAGAACCTCTTCGGAGCCTGTTCTTGTTGGAATTGATCTCGGAATTCAACCCGGTGAAAAGATTGCTCTCTGTGGCAGGACTGGCAGGTTTGTGTTATCCCACATCATGAATTCGTTGCGTCAACACTTACTGATTTGTATTTTAGTGGGAAATCCTCCCTTGTTTCGGCAATTCTGCGAATACTGGAGCTGAACAGCGGCACAATTTTCATTGATGGCATAGATATTTCAAAAGTCTCCAGAGCACACGTTCGGTCCAGACTCAACACCATTCCGCAACAACCCTTTTTCCTCCATGGCACGGTACGGCTAAACGCCAACCCCGAGGGAAATGCAACTGATGACACAATCATTGAATCCCTACAAGCAGTCAATCTATGGTCTTACATTCAACTCAAAGGAGGTCTGGATGTCGATATGTCTGATGATTTACTGTCTCATGGCCAGCAGCAGCTTTTCTGCCTCGCAAGAGCACTTTGCAAGTCCAGCAATATTATCATTATGGATGAGGCCACTAGCAGGTATGTGGAAAAGCAACGGATATACGACCTTTTGCTAAGAGATCTGGCAGTGTGGACGCGGAAACAGATACGCTCATGCAAACCGTCATTCGAACGCACTTCAAACATCAAACTGTCATCGCCATTGCGCACAAACTGCATACAATTCTAGACTTTGACAAAGTTGCTCTCATGGAAAACGGCAAAATTGTGGAATTCGATACACCAAAGGCGCTTTTGTCAAAAGAGGGATCAGCATTTAGAACTTTGGTGGAGGCTTTTCACGACAGTTCCAAAGAATAGACAGGGGATGGTCCTTTGCATGTGTTTTGAGACCGGAGATAAGTCCACAAGGTTTAAAACCCAAAAAAGCCCCGAGTTATAGATCAACAAGAAGAGTCGGCCGCTTATGCGGCCTAGTCAAGTCTTTTTAGGTGTCTTTTTATGTGTCTATTTTATCAATATTTTCTCGCCTTCTCAGTTTTATAGCTAGACGGCAGAAAAATGCGGGAAAAGGTGTAAACCGTGAAGACGACTTTTTCTACGTATAACCTTTGATATGCAGTATATAAAAATCCGACAGATGAGTCAATCACTCTACTGTCTCACATGAGTTCCCAAGGTAACAGCTTTGGCGTGAGGCTAGGAATATATCCGATGCTCTGTTGTAAATTGTATAGGAGAACCTCATGGAATGGTAAAGATCTTTCATTATTGGACCTAGCTACCGTTGCCAAGAACGAAGAATCACATACTAACTACGTTTCCTTAGCTACATCCAAGCCTAAATTCTATATAACACGCTCTAGCCCTCATATCTTCTCGTTTTGACTTCAGCTGCTCCAACGGAGTTGAGACCTCCGTTTTAGTCCCATAGCTCTACCCTTTGTGGCCGGTCTGGGGATCGAATCCCGCAGCTTGAGCGAAAATTTTTGCCAGCATCGAAACAATCTCTTGCGAACTGAGCGCCCATTCGTAGGACTTCTTGACATACTAGAAAATGTATTAGTAATATTATAGCAAATATTTCACCAAGATCTCTCACCTCCCCATTTGGGCGAATCCTGATAAACACCCACTCGAAACTGTCCGTTGCGATTCCATACACTGACGTGTCTGGAACGTTGGCCTGCTTCCTCGTCTTGTGGATCATTGCTATTCATATTAGCACTAACCCACGTATAATGTAAATCAAAATCACTTACCCATGTAGGCAAGACACTGGAATACGCCCTGCTTAATTAAGTGGGGTTGCGTTGCCTCGACCATGGCCATATTAGTGGCGTAGTCGTTAGGCATACCATACCAAAGCGAGTAGTCAACGATGCCGGCAAGTCTCACTCGTCGTTTACCGCTTTTCCAAACGAATTTTATCTCGCGTTCGAATTGAAGGTGAACAGACTTGAGTGATGAGGAGGTAACGGAGGTACGGGGCTTTGCAAGAAACTCGCGCTTCATCTTAACCAGAGTTGTCAGGATAATCACATCAATGCGAGATCGTATCAGGGCCTCATTTTTAGGTGATCCACCGGTTGCCATGTCATAGTCTGCGAGGATAGAGTCTATACAAGTTAGGGTAAACACATATTCATATCAATAATCGAACTTACCCAGATGAGGAGGAAGGGAGGCCTGTTCGGTCTTGCTGGGGGAAAGTTCGAACTCGGTGGGCGGACAGTGAGTGAGGCTAAAGTGATGCGGAATTTCACTGGGATCAAGGTCGGTAATGGCGATTGTAGGCATCTTTTTCAATTTCTTCCGCTTGGCACGTACTTGGTTTTCGAGAGCTTTGTGCTTCAATTTTCGAGACTCAACAATTTTCTCCATGGCTAGGAAAAAGAGAAGTTCAACGGCTGTGAGTTGAAAGAAAGAAGGAAAAGATGTGAAAGTAAGTTAGAGGGAAGAAAATATCCTTGGATGCAGGAAGTCGGAAAGCTGGCAGGTGTCGACACTTTATGAACCTTCCTTCAGGGCTTCCAAGGTTCTTTGAAAGGCTTAGTACATCAGCAGTATCTATCCATGGATCTTTTTACTAGTAAGGTTCGTGGGACTATATTTGATGCCTTCAAGGTTATTAAATGTCTTTTTTTGATATCTTTATCGATATCCTTCTTCCCTTTTCTCAGTGTTATAGCTGGAAATATATAAAAAAAAGCACCAATAAGCATAAAACATATAGACGACTTTTTCATGTATAGCCAGGGATATGGAGCCTAACACCTACCTACATATATGTAAGTAATGGATGGCTTGCTAATTTTCTGTCTAGCTTCCGAGGTTCCAAGGTTACAACCCCCGTTTCTAGAAAAGGGAAAAGCACATGGACTGTTGAGTCATTTCACCTCCGTTTACTCCCTCTTCTCTAGATGGACCTTCTCATCTTCATCTCAAGTTGTTCTAGAATCCTCCTATTCAGTAGACCTCCTAGCTCTGCTCCTCAATTACCTAACTTTATTCAGCGTTTCATTCTTCAAGTCATTCCGTTGAAAATACTCTACACAATTCATTTGCAATGATTGAAAAAGACTGTGCAATGATCGAGACGACTGAGGGACACCAAAGTGTAGTGGAGGCCTTTGGCCTCTTGCCTACTAGGTGGTGGAATAAGAGGCAACTCAATGCAAGAAACACCTGGAACATCCCAGATTATCTCAGTGAGTTTCAGCTAATCATCCATTGGCTTTGTGTATTGCTTGCTAACATCTGATTAGCGTGCTTGTGGGACGATCTTGAGCTAGTCACCGCTCAGGAGGGTAGTACACATCCGTTGTTCCCAATGAGAATAGAATCACTTCTCCTCGCGCTTCTCGCAGACAGTATCAAAAAAGAGTCACTTGATCCCCATGGGCCCCTGAAATCGCCCCACTGGAGCTTTCGGAAGCGGATACTCATGCTAGAAAGGGAAGACGACAAGAGTCCAGCTCCAGAGGATATCATTGACTACATTTTGTGGTATGGCCACTGCTGGGAGCTGGAAACAAATATGATTGTTATGAAGTCTAACAGTCCGGTGTCTCAGAGCTGGGCTCTGCTTCAAAATATGTCGAGTATTCACCATGCTCGTAAGCTCGCAGAAAGGGACGCAGTTATCTACGGTGTTATAACTGACGGGTCAAAATGGGTATTCATACATCTGACCAATAAAAGTCGGGTAGGTAACCTTGGAAGCCTGAGCAAACTCTTTACTGACATCTCTTTTTAGTACACAATTAAGGTATTCTCCTGGGACAACGAGCGACACCGGATCATTGGCCAGGTCCAGAATATAATCGACCAGGCAGTTGCTCTTCACAGAAAGATACTGTCACGCGCGTCTTGGCCTACACCTACTGTCTATCAATTGAGTGGCTGTCAAATTAGAGAGCTGCCTGCTCCCTGCGGTAGCTCTGACGATGAGAGTTACCGTGTAACTGAGAGGAATCTCTATCATACGGCTACAATTGAGGAGAAAGACTATAATACGGATATAGGACCCTTGGCTTGGTAAATTGCTGAAAACTCCCGTTTTGTAACTACGGCGGGCACGTTGGACAATAGGAATGTTTGAAATCTCTCATAGTTCCGTAATCTCTTTATCGTAAATGACGCTTACAGTCCTTTTCTTTCCTCCCTTCTTTCACGGTTTCAGCCTTTCTAATGCAATTGTATTGCTTCATGCTTTATGGTCCCATCTACTACTCTACAATACGAGGAGTGATGTAGGTAATGCTGATGACTTCTCTCCGATTCAATATCCCAGCTGTGTACTCAGCTCCAATTTCTCCAAATCTATTCCAACGACAGCACCAAAATGTATTCCCGCTACTCGTACGAGATCCACAAGTGCAATTTGGATTGAGTGAATCGGAAAGTTTATTCCTGAGGCATCAACTCTTTACAAACCCCCTGTCCAATCACATGATGTCTACACCCACTCAGATGCACCTAAGTTAACAGTATTTCTGTCATCCTCACTCAACATAGAATACCCGTCTGGATGTCTGTTGCAACACTTCCCACAGAGCTCGTATGTGACATCTGCAGCTATCTGAAGCTGCGCGACTGGATTGCGTTTCGATCCACCTGCCTTGCAGTGTACACGAAGTCGCTGGATGCTTTCGCGGACCGGTATTGCAAGAGTGTCGGCTTGATCCTCACCAGTCACAGTCTTCGTCGATTGGAAGAGCTTGCCGCAAACGATAACTTCCGAGCACGATTTCAAGAGTTATGGGTTGTACCATCCTTGTTCGGGGGCTTTTATAAGATGGATATTCATGCCTTCAAGTCCTGCACCACTTCACATAGAGACAGGCCGCCTAAGACTGTCGCCCAGATCAATGCTCAGTACACTGCATATCAGGCCTTAGTGGCAGATCATCTCAACATCGTCAAATCCGATACTCTTAACAACGTCCTCAAAGAATGCGTGGCACGCTTTGAGAACCTCACTGTCATTAGAATGCAACTTAAGGACTCTGACTTTTTCCGTAATTCAAATCCAATTGCAAAGGCTGATGTCCGGTTCCTCGGCTGGCGCGGGTTAGAACGCCAGCTTGGATTCAAGCCATTCGGATTGAACGCCAGAAAACCCATACACAACCTCTGGAAGAGCAGGGCTAAGGACCATGCTGTAGCTTTTTCGGCTCTCCTAGAGGCAGCGGTTGCCTCGAACAGGAAACTCAAGAAGTTAGACATATGCAACGATGACCATTGTGCTCTGCCACCTTCAGATCTTACACTGAAACTCACTCACAAATCGCTGTTTTCCTCCTTGGAAGGACTAGAACATCTGCACCTCTGCATTTGCGTCTGGGAAGTACAAGCAGATGATTCTACACTCCGATATCTCATCGATATCCCTATAATGGTTGCACCAAGTCTCAAGGTCCTAACATTCTCACAATGGGACCGGAACGGTGCAATGAGCCCTCACTATTTCATCGACCTCTCCCAGCGTATCAACTTTACCCAGCTAGTGGAACTTAATCTTTATTGGACTGAAATCACCTATGATACCTTCAAGGCATTTTTGCGCACCACAATGCCAACTTTGAGGACTCTTTCCCTGCAGTCCTTGAATTTGAGGGGTGCAGCCCCAATGGACACCGACACTAGCCATAACCTGTCAAAATGGGACTCTCCAGAGATAAATAAGGAGAGCAACGCTGCTTGGCGAAAGATTTGGGGTTTTCTCGGAGACAGATTCTCGCTACGGTCTGTTTCCTTGCAACAACTCGGTTATCGAGGCCACCGTCTGCATTTGCGCGATAATTTGAGCAAGCTGAGTGGATATTCCGAGCCGAATTCGATAATTGTTGGCTTCGACGCTGAGCGAGCTGGTGTTTCCTTTAAGGAATGGGTCACTCAGCTACAGACAGAGCCACCGCAGGAACGGTGGATACGTTATGATAGCTTGCCAGGGAAAGATTATACTCCCCAGATGGTTTAACCTCTACATAGAACTACCACTGGCAGTTTTGGAATTGCTACAATACTGATAAGCTAAATTGTAAGCACAACCTTCCCTCGACCATCAAACCTCCCATTAGCATAATCATAGGCGTCCTTCACACGGTCAATCCCAAAACTAGCAGCAACAAATGACCGCAACTCCCCCCTCGCCGTCAACTCACTCAGCGCGCGCAAAACCTCAGCACTCCCCTCAACAATAAAAAACAACGCCTTAACCCCATCCCTCCTCAACCCGCGCTTCGCATGAACCTCTACAAAATCAAAGCTCGCCGAATCAACAGATACCAAAACACCTCCCTCCTTCACAACCCCCCAACACCTCTCCAGCACCTCCCCACCAACCGAATCAACAACAACATCAAACCGATCTTCGTGACCGCCCTCCAAATCCGCATACTCAACAACCTCCTCAGCCCCCAACTCCTTCAAGAACGCCCCATTCCTCGCAACAGACCCACTAGCCGCAACAACATGCATCCCAGCACGGGCAGCAAGCTGCACGAGAAAAATTCCAACCCCACCGGCAGCACCGGTAACAAGCACACGCTGTTCCAACTGACGAGCCTGCTGGTAATCCTGCTCCTGCTGACGCTGTGGTTCCGACTGCGCACGCCCGCCCGAAAGCGGAGGCGGAAGACCCGCATGAACAAAGAGCGCCTCGTACGCCGTCTGCGCGCTAAGCGGTAATGCCGCGGCCTCTTCCCACCCGAGACCCGCTGGCTTGAGTGCGACTTCGTCGGTCGTGACGAGCGCATACGACGCCCATGTTGAGGCGCGTTCTGAGGATGTCATGCCGAAGACGGCGGTGCCGGGTTTGAGGGTTGTTGTTGAACCCGGGGAGACTGATGCTACTGTGCCTGAGAAGTCGTGGCCTGGGATTGCGTAGGGTTGGGAGTATGTCTCGGGCCATGTGAGCATGTCGCGGATTATGGTCGTTGCTTTGATATGAATTAGGAGCTGGTTTGGGGCTGTCGGAGTTGGGATGGGGATTGTGTCGTTGTGGAGGGCTGTTGTTGGGGCGGGGTTGGTTGGGGAATAGGGTGTTGCGGAGGGTGGTGCTGGGTGGACGCGGATGGCTTGCATTTTATGGGTTTGTCGGTGTATTAATTTGTGTTAGAGATAGGTTTGGAGGCAGATTGAATGGATGACATGGCTTTTATGTCAGAGTCGAAGTATAGTTCTGCAGATAGGCTATTGTCTGGCGGGTACAGCCGACAGATCCACGTCATCGGGAGCACAATTTTATACTTCTATGAACAGATCGGATAAGAAATATTAATGGGTTTCATTAACTATGAAATTAGTCACAGCGGGCATGTCTTGAGAAAAAGAGAAGAAAAAAATATGTGCAAAAACGCAATGCTGGCTGTACAACCTCAAGAGAATGACTCATGTGGACATGTGTATCCTCCTATTTTCATTCCAGAAAAAAGAAGAATATTTACTCAACCGAGGGCAAGTCGGCCGAGAGAGGCAACTTGCGGGATGAGTTGCCGACATACACCTTCTTCTGGGCGTCCGAGATCACCCAGTTCTGGGAGGCAACATCCCAATTAGAGACATCACGGCGGGTCAAAGTGGTGGTCCACTGGAGGGTCTGGCCAGGGGCAATTGTGACTCTGTCAAACTGGCGCAGGACCTTTGAGGGGTCATCATCGCCTCCAAGGGAGACGTATAACTGAGGAACCTCGTCACCAGTCACAGAGCCGGTGTTGGTGATAGTAGCAGTCACCTGGTAGAGGTCTTCAAACAGACTAGGGTTGCCGCCGGAGTTGCCGCTAGAGGGGAGAAGGTCCTGAGGAGAACCATCGGTAGCCCCCTCAGGAATGTAGTCCTTAGAGTCCATGCCGTAGTCAGGATCACCGGACGAAGCACGCAGGTCGGTGGAGTTCAACCACGGGTAAAGGTACTGGCGGACGCGGGTAATCCCCTCGGGGAACAGGTTATCCGAGGCTTTACCAGCTTCGCCGAGAATGGGAGCCTTTTTGGTCTTTCCAGCGGTTGCCTTGTATTCGTGGTGTTCGGAGGCAAGAGGGGTGACCTTGAGATCGGAGAAGGCAAATTTGGTGTAGCTCAGACCATAACCGAACTCGTAGATGGGCTCATTGTCGTCCTTGTCGAAACGGCGGTAGTCGATAAAGACACCCTCCTCGAAATTATCCTGAGGAGCATCGGCACCGTTGTTGGGCACTGTGAGGATAGGAGGGCCGTAGTCCTTGCGAGTCTTACCCCAGGTGAATGGAGTCTTACCGCCGGGGTTGATGCGACCGTACAGTACGTCCACCAAGCTGCGACCGCTCTCCTGGCCTGGCAAGCCAGCCCAGACAATAGCGGTAATATTGTCATTGTCATACCAATCGCTAATCAGAACAGCGGATGTGCTGTGAATCACGACGATAGTGTTGTTGCAGTGTTGAGTAGCAGTCTTGATCACTTCCTCACCGTTCTTCCAAAGTGTCAGGTTTTTGCGGTCACCCTCATTGCCATCAACGTTGATATATCCCTCGCCAGAGTCGGCGTTCACGAAAACTAGGGCAACATCAGCCTGGGAGGCAAGGGCGGCCATCTCCGTTAGAGCCCAGTTATCAGTCACAGCGAAGACGTTGGTCCGCCCATTGCTGTATTCCAGGGCTTCGTTTTGGATGGCTTGCTCGGGTGTAATCAGGTAAGGGAAGTTGGCAGTTCCACTACCCCAGCCCATGGCCAAAGTTCCGTTGTCACAACCACGGTCGTTGCAGCCATTGGCGCCATAAGCATTAGAGCCTGCATCCTCTCCCAGAATGCCGATGAATTTCTCATTGTGGGTAAGGGGCAGTGCACCATCCTTGTTCTTGAGCAGGACAGTGCTGTCTGAGCCAATCTTGCGAATGATCTGGGCATGGTCACGCTGGACATTTACACGCTCGTTGACCTTGCCCCAGTCCTCGCTGACCATAGCGTGCTTGAAGTTGTACTCATCGCGGGTCCAGGAACTGAAGTTAGGAGGAGTGCGGAAGCGGTCACGTCCAATCTTGTAGTAAGCAGACATGATTCGGACAGCCATGTCATCGACGCGCCATTCGGGGACGGTACCGTTCAAAACGGAGATGGTCAGGTTGGTTCCCCAGTAGGAGTAAGGGCTGCCAAGAATGACATCGCCGGGCATAGACATATCCAGACCGGCCAGCGCAGATCCAACACCGCTGTGGTGCGCACCCCAGTCGCTCATAACAAAGCCCTGGAAGCCCAACTCGCCCTTGAGCAGCTTATTGAGGGAGTAGCTATTCGCGCAACCGTAGCTGTTGTTGATCTGATTGTAGGAGCACATGACAGAGCCAACACCAGCACGGATGGAGTCCACGAATGGCCAGAGGTACAATTCGTGCATAGTCTTGTCGTCAATGTTTGAGCTCACACTCTGGGAGATGTTGTACCCATATCCCTGAGCCTCGCCGGACTGACGGAAGTGCTCCTGTTCATTTCCAATGAAATGCTTAGCACAAGCAATGACACCAGCATCCTGTATACCCTTGATGGTTTCGGCCATCATCACACCAGTCAAAACGGGATCAGGCGAGAAACCTTCCCAGTTACGACCGCCATCGGGGTACTTGCCCAGAGGCCCAGCAACAGGACCCAATTGCACATCCACACCTTTGTCGCGGTGCTCCTCGCCCATTGCCATACCACGCTGGTAGGCAAGTCGCTTGTCCCATGCTGCGGCAACATTGACACCAGAGGGGAAGCCAGAGTTGTAATCACCTGTTCGAGTTCCATTAGTCAACTGCACCGTCAAGCTTATTCGGGGCAATCTTACTAAAGCGCACACCCAATGGCGAGTCCTGCATACACATTCCCCACATGCCAAGTCGGGGAATGCCCCCGGTCTCACCAACACATCGTTCTTGCTCCCAGCCAGCACCGGTTGTCAAGTTGACTTTCTCAGCCAGTGTCAGGTTAGAGACAAACTCGACGGCGCGTGTGTATGCTTCAGACCACTCGCCCGCGCCAGTCATCCATGGGGAGGGATAGTATGGAGGAGAAGAAGCCAGCGACTGTTTTGACGCAACTTGATTAGCAGTGATATTATTTAACGATTTAGATTAGACTCACATTCGCATTGGCCACTGAGGCCGTCAAGGTGGCCACCTCAAGCCACGAAAACTTCATTGCTGCGAAACTGCTAGAGAGGATTTCACAGAGACAGCACAAAAAGAGCTGTTGACAGAAAAAGGCGTGAGGAAGGAACGAGTCACAGATCTCGGAGGGGAAGACTGAGATCTTAAATGGTTGGTTTGCTGATTGCTCACAGGGGCTGTAATAGTGTGCATAGCGTATAATATTTTATTTTACTCCATAAAATTAAATCAATCGAAATCAAAATAATAGAAAATGGAGAAAAAGATCGACAGTGTATGCACTATCCCACTAATCACATTATATCGTGTCCTATTATTGGCTATGACTTATTTTTACTCTAAAGTTGGAGACACACTCATCCTTGAAAGGGGACATAAGGCACAATTGTGGCTGGTAGAGGGGACAAGGAGAAGCACAGGGTGAGAAGTCAACCCCCTTTCCCCTTGGAAGGACATCATCAGAATCACACCTGGGCAGCATTACCTTGGTACCCAGCCCCTCCGTCTTACATCACACAACATACACTCCAGCCCTGGAGGGCTTATTGATTCCCCTTGAATCCATCGCCTTGCTTCGATTCGGTGTACGAGGACGGCTAAACGTCGGCATCTCATGCCGTACCGCACCACCGCGCTCGTGCCGCTTCCCCGCTAATTCTAATTATCCGTTGGATATTGAAGAAACAGAACGGTCTTTGGTGACTTTGCGGAGTTCAACTTCATATGTTGTGGTATACACCTAGGCAGAGTACAACTACACATATTGGTATCGGCTGTCCCAACCATTCTGTAGTAAAGACCCTCCCCTGATCAATCTCACCTGATCAACTGAATATGCCCGTGGACAGAGACTTCCAAGATTCTAATCTGATCTGACCGCTTTCTCATGCCCAACAGATCCCCGCTTGTCCTGCCGAATGGGGAAACCCTTTTCATTGCGTCACTCCGAAAGTGTGGGGAAGCGGACCTGGACCATCCAGGGCGGCTTCTAGGTACCAAGGTAGCAATCCTAGGTAGCAATCCTAACCTAATTTTTGTTTTTTCATTGTGTTCCATGTTTTGCGGCTGCAAAACAACCTATGCTTTTCTCTAACATAATAATTGCTTTGTCCATTTTCATACACAAATATCTTTCACAACGGGCTGCGCCATCCGCAGCTAAGCGTTTTCGCTATCATGGAGACCGGAGTGCGGGAGACCCGCACTCCAAAGGGATGTCGACTGTCTCTGCTTGGGTGATTAATTGTGACTTGTTTTTTTTTCCAATCTATTTGTTGGCAAAACATTGCGTCTGACATATGCTTCCGATCGTAAGACTTCTTCGTGCCAAGGCGGTAAATCAATATCGGACTGATCAAAACTTGGCCAAGTCGGCGCATTCTCGATCGGACCAGTATTCTTTTCGGGGCATCAATACTGTTGTACTTACAACTTAATGTTCAGTAATGGTTGCCTAATGGAACTTCTAACACTCGTGTGCTGCATACCCGGTCCCCCTCCGCCGAAATATTGTCCCCCCACCGAGAGTCTCCCCACACTTACGCCCCGGCATCGGACGGAACCCCCGCATTCCCGATCTCTCGGCTTAGGCCAGACTGCTAGTCTAAGCCTAGGCAAACTTTGCTATCTCGTCGGCCATTTTACTTTATGCAAGTCTCAAACCCCGACGGCTAAATACTACTCTGTATTGCTACGCTTGAAAGTCACCGGCCCAAAGAGAAAGTCGGACTATTCCAGAACTCTACTGCCCGCAATATGGAGAACTTTATATGGAGAACCCGCTGATCCCTGACGGGATGCACCGCCGGGCTGTCATATTTTCCCTTTTTTCCGGCCAATCATCAGTGTTACGGCTTAATATTGTTGAGTTCCAACGCTAATGCCGGTTGGGGATTCGGCAGTCCGGGGGGTCGTGCGAGTGCCATTTTGCTTTGCGGGATATTAGCGTTATGGGCTTGTGCCTTTTAAGTGGATTTGATTTTAGCTGCGTGGTTCTCATTCATTCAGCAGCTATTTGTGGCCGGGATGTTACATCAGAAAATATGAGACGTATTGGCGTCATTGGCATAGCAAGTGCCATAGCTATGGGTCATGCTCTAGCTCGCAAAATGCGGGTCTCGTTCTCGGTCCTGCGTTTAGACCTGCAAGTCGGGGTATTGTTGCCATTTCCCCGTCTGAGCGTGGGGTCGGGCCGGAGAAATATCCTGCACGGGCTTGTTGGTGTAGAGTGGTCCCACATCTTGGGTAGGATTTTCAGACATAGAATCGTCCCATTCGGGGTCTGAGGCCGAGGAGCCATGCAACATAACAGAGAAGTTGTTCTAGTAGTCATTGGCGGGATCTGGACCGAACTTATTGTACTCAAGGCTCACTCTGCTGCAAATGACAAGATGACAGGGTTGAAAGCGATTCTTGGGAACAACTGTAGCCCCCATCCTCATTCCCTTGTTCAAATTCAAACACAGCTGGAACTAGCATGTCCACTCAAATACCAATGCCAAAGTCAAACATCACTGCTGATATCGTCTAGCACTTGGAACAGAATGTGATTCTGAACTCTGCAGCCTGTGCCATTTGCACCTGCTCGGAATCCAGACCAAATTCTTCGTCGAATCTCATCAACATCAATTCCTTTGGTATTGTATTGATTGATCATTTCTTCTGCAATAGCACACAGCGTCGAATTGAGCACATCTTCATCCGATACTGTTTCCGGATTTTGTCTCTCGGACCGGCATCCACACAAAGCCGGATCTTCTTCTTGTGGGGTTTGCTTCGATGACTGATCTGTTGGTTCTACCACTGTCGAGGCACATGTACTATTGACCGCTGTCGGCAGTTCAGTTGTCTCTGATTCCTCTTTGTGGACACGAGGTACTGCCATCGACAAATTTGATCTGCGAGTATCCCGACGTGATATAGACAGAGGATTGTTTCCTTCTGCTCGCTGAATAGCAGGGATAGCAACCTTCCGGTTGGTGTTTGCTCCCGTATCCGCTTCCTGTAGATACTGCTGGACAGAAGCACTCGAAACTCCCAGTGATCCCAGAAGATCCTTTAAATGCCGATTTTCGGCTTCGACCTTTTGCGTTGCCAGTCGGTGCTCGATGTCTTTTTGGTGGGCTTGTTCTTTACACACTGCGAGACGCTGCTCTAACTCATTCACATACTCCTGCTTCCGGGCTCGGCTATTGCGCTGGTTCTCACGCACCCGTGCAAGTCGCTCAACATTCTTCTAAGCTAGTTAGGTTTCATGCAGTGGCCGCAACTACTTAAACAGATGTGACTGACCTTCTGGTCCTTCGTTGAATTCATCAGTAGCTGACCCAGAGGTGTAGAGCATGACAGAGTTCCCTATCAGTCAACCTTCTCATTCAAAGCACTCGTTATAATGAGTGGTTGTATGGCAGATGTGGTGGCAGACAGTTTGACATTGCCCTCCTTTGAATTTCGAGTTCGGAGAAATGATGCTTCGCTTTGTTGCCTGGTTTTTATGGCTGCGATTTGGCGGTCACGTGGACCTTGCTATGGAGCCGAATCAAGTAGCATTATTTGGTTTCATAGAGCAATCGCGTTATTTGATTCCATATTAAATCTTCCTACGGTTATTGGTATTGAGAAATATACTTTGCTCACTGTGTGGTATTGTCGAATGTGTCAAGCAATGATGCTTGCCCTACATTTCTACCCACCTCGGTCCTAATTTATAGTTGTCTTACTTTATTATAGGGATATACACATTTTAGGCTTAATAGGAACCCATGGACTGGACATACAAAATGTACTTAGGTATGTATATACGACTCAACTCGGAATCCTCTTCTATGGTATTGATTAAGCATCCCGTCGATAAATTCAGAAGCGGCATTGGACTCTCTAGATCTTTCTCTCGTTTCGAGATATTGTCTGAGAATATTCTCTTGCGGTCCTCGGTGTGGTATTACCGCTGAATCGCTCGCCCATATCGAAATTACAGAACATGATACGTCGACCACTTTGTTCTCTATCAAAGCACGGATCTGTCCCAAGCCACCTACACCAGGTCTATACTTACGAATCCAGGATATTATATTTGTTAAACAAGGGAAAGGAGACTTGTTCGTGCCCGTTGACGAACCCCTACAAATCTTCAAAATCTGCTCCCACATGAATCGTTCAAAGATTTTGAAACTGGTTAGGCCTATTGTTACAGCATACACCACAAACAAACCATTCTCCCATTGAGAAGCAACTGCGACAAATGCAAGACAGATTTCGAACTTGCCATCCAAGAACATGGGGACAATGTAGCACTTATCATCACTAGGTGGTTCAACTTGGGCCCTGGTTTAACCCCGGATGACCTACGATGGAAGGCTCACGCATACAATGGGATATCCGAGGAGCCTGATACTCTGGACCTTGGTATAACTACAATCCCCCAGGTCTCCTTTGAAACCACTTCTAGTGGTAGTTCACCAGAAGACCTATCTTCACGCAATATTTCCTATCTAAAAGATGAAAGATATAAAAATCTGATGGTGGGATTTCCTTAGGTGTCCAATCTTACTTAGACCTTCCCTAGCCGAGTTTTAGTGATCTGGCTACTAGGGAGCAAAGAGAGAAAGTAGGAGGATCGATATGTTTCCCAATCCACCTCAAGTACTAGTTGGTGTATTTGTGCTTTCTAAACCGACGGAGAATGGCTACGGCAACGCCCTTACTGAGTGGGGAGTACGGCTCTGCGTTGTTTTGCCAATCTTTACCTCTCTTCCGACTAGGGCTTCAGATAGTATAGATGCTTGATCTCTATATCAAGTCAGGTATTCCTCAATCTGGGTGAACTTAGTAGGCATGCCAGGGCAAAATAAATAAAACAGAGAGTTCCAAGTTTGTTGTCTGATGGTTGTCTGATGGTTATAAATTGGAAAATACAACATAAAAGCAGAAAGAACGAGTGATGTATCTATCCATCGGGCCCAGCTTCAGGCATGTTACCTACAGGTACATATGTACTGTACATTAACTAACTATTTAACTAGTTAATAATTTATGTACACTCTACATATCTCAAAAACAAACATTGCTACATACATACTACATATGTATTTACCTAGGTAAGAGGTAACTATTCATAAGCTCATAGGTAAACGTTTAATTAAATCTTCCTTGTATCTGGAACAATGTTCCGATCAGGTCCAGTAACAGGCAGAATGTATACTATGTAGAGATTGGCCACTAAGTATTAGAGCCCATTTCGAGGGGATTCACGGAATTTACAATGCAGTCAGTTTTCTAACTCACGAAAGCGAGCGCGAGAGGCAAATAATCGGTTGCAGATCGCAAACGGTCACCCTCGACGTCATTGGCCGTCAGTCGCGCCTGAGCTGTACCCCCCGGCATTCCTTCTCTGCGCCCAACTTGTAGTTTCTACCTGGACATTTTCCCCCTCACAGTAAATATCATTAGAATTGCATTCAACTCCTCACATTACTGTATCGCAAACCCTTCCATCATGGTCTCCACGCGACACCATCCCCGCGAATTTCCCTCCCCCGAGGCCGGGAAAGAGCTGTCCAAGTTACCTCCAGCTACCACCAGCGCCAATTCGCGCAAATGGACCCATACGCCTGCCGCTGCACTGACAATCTGGCTCGTTGTTTCAGTTCCCTTGGTCATCTGGGACACAGGCTATGTCTTGTTGCGACCACATAGCATGCCCGGTGGAAGGCTGCACTCTCCTATCTGGACACCTTACGCGCTGTACGGAAAGGTCGACTATATCTACGGCTGGCCCGCCTTCAATGCGCATAATGGCTTCACGGCTGCGACGACTATCCTCAATATCCTCGAGACTATCGGTTACATCTACTATCTCTGGATTGTCTACCACTATGGATCGACGGTTGGGAGAGCTGGCGGATCGCAGAAGATCTCCAAGGGATTCACCTGGTTGCTGAAGGGGGACAAGGTGGTCGCTGGACGCATTGGTGCGACCGCGCTTCTGGTCGCCTACACAGCGTCTGTCATGACCCTGAGCAAGACTATCCTTTACTGTAAGCTACATTCATTGCCTGAGATTTGTGTTTTGGATTTCAACTTTTAACACAATAAATAGGGCTCAACGAGGTTTTCTCTGGCTTCGAGAACATCGGTCACAACGAACCGCTCACTCTCTTCCTCTACTGGATTGTCCCTAAGTAAGTTCTGTCTAGTGCATGTTTACACAAAACATCAGAAAACTAATTTTACTTAGTGGGATGTGGCTCGTGTTCCCCGGCTACAACATCTATATTCTCGGAGGCGAGATTTTGAACTCGCTTGAGCTCGCAACACCGCGCCAGAAGGTCGGCCGCCCTAAATCCACCTAGGATCAGTCGCGCAAACTAGCGAATAGCTTGCGTGCAGAAATGCGACACGTGCAATGACGATAGCGAGCTTGCTTTATAAAAAATTGGATGACTTCGGCCTATTTATGGGTAGGTGGAATTTAGAGATGGCTAGTATGAGAGAAAAAGTAAGGTCTGCTTCCGTAATGCACTCGAGATGATCAATGAATACCTTATCATATTCCAAGGTTGGCTACTCAGTAAGGCTCCCCCTGACATGTAGCTGCATGCTAGTCCTAGTCTCCTGTCAAGCTTCCGGTATGCTAGCCCAGATGTCAATCCGGCTGTCCTGTTGTTCTACGTGTTCGGGTCCGTTTTGGAAGAGCCGGACATTATAATACGAGTATAACCATGAAGGTAGTATGAGTCTCCTTTCGATATTCATGACTCGAGGGGAATTAGGTTTCAGATATATTACTAGACCTAGAACTATATGGGAATAGTATAAGAGCTCAAGGGTGATATAAGGTTGGGGCGAAGCCTCCAGATCCGGCATGTAACCTCAAATCGATTACGTAGGTACTTACTTGCCTCTACTTCAAGGGTTTTCGATGAGCTAGAGCAAACTTCATTAGTTCTTCATACTCCAATATAGAAAGGTTGTGAATCGAGTCTCCGTAATATCGGCGCCGCCAGTGGCCGAATTATTTGCCAAGCCGCCATTCGCCGCTGAACCTTTCCCCATATTCGGGGCCTTCGTTTCACTTTGTCCTAAATTCTGACTCTCCTCCCGCTTCCTCGCCCTTCAAATCTCACCCCAAATTTACCTCCTCCCGAACGAACTCGCGCTCTATATCGGAAGCGCCTTCTTTTGTTCCCGACCGTGCCGAAGGATGCTTCGGGCCTGGGTCCTGGGGTATCCGCACCCGTCATGATCCAACCCGATTCCGACGAATCGCCATCGAAAACCCCTGCTGTCAGCTTTGATCTAGGCCAGGAGGAGGCGGCAGCAGCTCTCGAGGACTTCGATACCCAAAGCCATGCAAGTTCCCGTGATCCCGGTAGCACACAAACAGTCGACCCCGCGGGGGGCCCGGACAACGGCACGCTAGACCAACGAGACGACGCCGGCAACGGCCAGTCCAATTTTGAACATCTAAACGACGACGATAAACCGGCTTGGAGCGAGATGAAGACCAAGGCCGGGAAGGAGCGGAAGCGCCTGCCGCTGGCATGCATCGCATGCCGTCGCAAGAAAATCCGCTGCTCGGGCGAGAAGCCTGCCTGCAAACATTGCACGCGCTCGAGAATTCCGTGCGTGTATAAGGTCACTACACGGAAGGCGGCGCCGCGCACGGATTATATGGCTATGCTGGACAAGCGCCTGAAGAGGATGGAAGATCGCGTAATCAAGACAATACCCAAGGAGGAGACGAGGGATATGCTTTCCATTGGAAGATCGGTTGTCAAACCTTCCGCCTCGGTTCAGCCGTCAAAGGCACAGAAGAAACGAAGTGCGGAGGAGGCATTTGCGGCAGAAATGGATGAATGGACACGTGGGAGCGGCCGCCCACCACACGAGACGTTCCCAGTGAATCGCGAAGTCAAATCCACCGATGGCACTGGGCTTCTCACCGAAGGAGCTGAGTTCTTGCCATCGTTGGAGATTCAGGAGCATCTTGCGGAGGTGTTCTTTGATTGCGTCTATGGGCAGTCATACCTCCTATTGCACAAACCCAGCTTTATGCGACGGCTTAAAGCCGGCACAATTCCTCCTGTCCTAATCCTTGCTGTCTGTGCCGTATCCGCGCGATTCTCCACACACCCTCAGCTGAACTCAGATCCGCCATTCTTACGTGGGGAAAACTGGGCTAATCCTGCTGCGGCCATCGCTCTGAGCCGGCATGACGAGCCGAACATTACCATTCTTACAGTCTTCTTACTCCTTGGTCTTCATGAGTTTGGAACCTGTCATGGTGGACGAAGTTGGTCTTTTGGAGGTCAAGCATTACGGATGGCATATGCGTTGCAGCTCCATCAAGAGCTTGATCACGATCCATTACTCAGTCAGAAGAATGGCAACGGCTCACAGTTGAGCTTCACTGATCAAGAAATCCGCCGCCGGACTATGTGGGCATGTTACTTGATGGATCGGTATAACTCTTCTGGAAGTCAACGGCCGCCTATTGGAAATGAGAAGTTCCTACAAATACAGCTCCCTATCAAGGAACCTCACTTCCAGATGGAGATACCGGGTCCAACCGAAGATCTTGACGGCGGTGTTATTAATCCCGTACCTGAAAATGCAGGCCAATTATCTAATGCTAAAGAAAACATGGGTGTCTCGGCGTATATTATTCGCGCTATCGTGATTTGGGGGCGCATTGTTGACTACCTGAATCTGGGTGGAAAGAGAAAGGACGCATATCCACTTTGGCATCCAGAGTCAGGGTACATGCAACTTAAGCGGCAAATTGAGGATTTCTCTGCGTCTCTTCCGGTACCTTTCACCTTCACCTACGAGAATCTTCAAATTCATGCAGCGGAGAAGATTGCAAATCAGTTCATTTTCCTCCACATCATCATGCATCAAAACATGCTGTTTCTCAATCAGTTCGCCATTCCCTTGTCTCCGGGGGGCCGTCCACCAAGAGATATGCCCAAGTCCTTCCTCAGTAATGCAGGTCGAGCCGCGGTGGAAGCGGCGCATCACATTTCGGTGCTTTTTGATCGAGCTTCAGCCTATCCCCTCACTGTTCCTTTTGCTGGGTACTGCGCTTACTCGGCAAGTACAGTCCACATCTGGGGGATCTTCTCGAAGAACGTCCAGCTGGAGGCACGGTCAAAGGAGAACCTCCGGCATACGTACCGTTATCTCAATAAAATGAAAAAGTACTGGGGCATGTTCCACTATATGGTTGAGAGTGCCAAGGATCGGTATCGGCAGTTCGCTGATGCAGCTATCAAGGGCTCTGTGGCAACTCAGAATGGCGCATCGCTAACACCCATGTTCCAATATGGTGACTGGTTCGACAAGTATCCCCATGGGGTGTCAAGAGTGCATTGGGAGGATCCCGATACTCGACACAAAGAAACTGGCGAAGACGCAGTCATGGGCCAGAAACCTGACCTCCAAAGCGTGGAAGATTTCTTTGCCGGCCTTTCTCCTACTCCACAGCCAAATCAACCCCGCAAATCGCGATCCCGCAAGAACAGCAAGCTATCAGATGGAGCTCCAGGCATGGACCAGACTTCACCGCCATCAATGATGGAAGTGAGCATGGGAAACACCCCAGGTGTTCCAGGCAGTGCATTCCCACAGCCATCTATGTTCCAACAATCCCGGCCAATGTCATTCGGCCAACCACCATTCGACTTCAGTATCCCGCCAGACCAATTACCGCAACTAGACCGACAATTCGTCTACGGTTCATTTTCCGAATTCGACCCCACCTCATTCGTCCCAAACAACCCTCCTATCCCGCCGCTCAGTGGCGTCGAAACACAAAACCCAGATCAAACACTGTTCACCGGCCATCTGGACCCAAGCGCCCCTGCTGGAATGGGCGAGTTCTACCAGCCCAGCGCGTGGTTCCTACCCTTCAATCTTGACCCTGTCGGCGGTGGAAACCCACCATCACAAGCTCCGCCCTCGGCTCCCATACCTGGGGGAAGCAATGGCGGCGGCACGCCATCTGGGATCCCCTCTGTGGATATGTCTGGCTTCGGGGGTGCTGGGGGCATGCCTTTAAGCGCATATGATCTTGGTTTAACCGGTTCGAGTATGAAAGTCTCACGGCCGTGATCAGGTCGGGTATTATCCATTGGCCAATGCCTCTCGATGACTGCTACGTGGTGTTTGAGTTTTCTTTACAAGTGATTGCAAAAGGTTGGAGTCGGACTTTTAGGGCTGGGGTCTGTTACTTTTCGCGCTGCTGTTCGTATTATCACCCCATTTGTGTTGGTTTGTGTAAATATTATTGTCTCATCTCCGACATGTATATATCCCTTTCTTTTTGAGCAAGTTCCAAATATCCATATTTAATGGCTTGATTTCCTTGGTTAGTCATTACAATCCTTGTAAAATGTTCCGATACTCTAAGAGAAAAAAAAGCGATTAACTTCTTTCTCCCTACGACAAAAGAAATCAGCAGGAGCAAAAAATAAATTGTTGTGCATCATCCGTGAATCGAACACGGGCCTCGTCGATGGCAACGACGAATTCTACCACTAGACCAATGATGCTAGCTGTATGGTTAGGTGCGCGTTGTGGGGACTATGTTCGCTTGCTGGTTCACGGGTATGGTCCACATTGAAATAACATCAAGTACAGAGTAGGTATGTGCAATTGAAGTTGGTAGATGTAATGCGACAGGCTAATTCATAATTTAGTCCCGATCCCGTTCACATTTGAACAACCCTGTAAGTCAATATGAAGGAATTGAGATGGTATGTGGTCCCAAATGCGGATATATATCCAGCCCACCTCGGGAGGCATGTAAACAGTTACAAAATATGTTGGATAACAGGGAAAATATTTGAATCACAGATAACCAGACAAGGAGGAAGGCCTCGGAATTCATTGTTTGAACGACGTGAGAAACAAAAGTGGCCATAATTGCCACTGGACGAAAAGGAGTGTAGGGAAAGGGTATGGGAAACACAAGTCGCTATAAGACAAGGGAAGCCAGAGAAAAGAAAGCAAAAGCAACCATCCACTAATCATCCCACTCTTCATCCAGTTGATCTATGAGCCTGTTCTCGGCATCCACGTCACGGCTCTGACCGCGTCCACCCCGTCCTCCGATGGCGCCGATAAAACCACCGCGGCCATTTGAGTCCGCACGGGTGTAGCCATTGCCCGCGGGGGATCCCTTGCAACGGAGGAGATTTCCTAGCGAGGAAAAGATAATCACGAACATGTCCTGTTGGTGCAGAAAGAAAGAAGTGGTCAGCGTCATGTTCCAAACAATGAGGCTCGCAACTGCAATACATCATCTAAGTACAAAGTACATGCAGTAGAAGATGCGATCCGTCTAATGAAACAAGAGGAGCAGTGACTATGCAGGAGCTGTCTCCCAGGGACCCCGAAGATGAAATGACAAGTCCATTGACAAGTACCCAAGGGACAGTCCACTTCACAAATCAAGACATCTTGTCAAACATATGAAAATGTACATGCCGTGATCAACACAGGCGCTCGCAGATCGAAAGGATCAAATTCAGCGGGAGTGAACATGCCCAAAAAAAAAGAAAGAAAAAAAAGAGATCTATGCCTGATAAGAAACAAGGAAACGAATGGAACAGGCCAACCGCAACCGCATGTCCCGAAGCGATTAGTCTCCAGACCAGCTAGAGTGAGTTCAATCCATCCTTGAAATAGGTAGTCCTGCCCCATTTGAATCCCGGAACTTATGTGACACGAACTTGCCATATCTGAATTTGCGACGAGGCCAACATGGGATCAATGCTAGGATACTTACTTTGACAAAGTCGAAAACGCCAGCCCACAGGCTGAAGTTCGGACACTGGCGCCAGCCACGTTGATGCATGACCGTTCGCTGGTAGGCGCAGCCACCAATCAGATATACAGCGATGGCGATCACCATACTAGAGGACAGGGTCAGCATGTATTATATCTAGGTATTGGGTGTTTCCCCAACAGGCAGAAAGTGGTGCTTACATCACACCGAATACGCCGCCCGGTCCCAAACCGCCGGCATTGGGATCCACGGCGATTCCACCACATGCCGCCGAGCTGCGGACTTCGAAGAAGTACGAGCATTCATCCATGGTGCCGACGAAGGAAGCGGTGGCCACGTTTGGCGCAGCGTCGCGGTCACAAAGGAAAGACATGACAGTCGACTTAGTGCGTGTAGAGACATTGGAACTGCCCATGTTATAGTCGGCTGGACAAGGCGAGCCATTGGTATAATTGAGGACGAGTTTGCGGCCGCGGAAGAAAGGTTGAGATGCTTGTTGTCTGTAGATGACCGAGGATAGTTAGCACAGTACGCAGGGAATGAGTCCAGCTAGTGCGACCGGTTGGGATGGAGGTCTGACATACCCTATGGAGTATCTTTTATTATCCCGCTCGTAATATGCACTGACGTTCTTCCACCGCGACGACTCTATCCCGACCACGTCCGTCACGTTCTCAATGACCGGCGCGCAGATGTTGATTGTGAAATTGGCCGGGTAGTCATGACCCTTGGCATACCAGCTGTTGTTCCGCGCATCTTTCGAGAGTTTGTTGCCGTCCTTCATTTCGGGAGGGGATAATGAGATCGCATTGAGGTCGAAATACAACCCGGTGGTCGGGGAGCGGGCAACACATGGAGCGTCATCATCCAAATGGGAAGAATATGATGCGCTAGTTAAACCGAGGATTGAGGATAGAAGGAAAATGGAGTAATGAGCGGAGCTGGTGAGCTTCATGGTGGGCTGTGTTGGGGTCAACCCAAGGCAGTCTTAGAAGAGAAAGAAATGAAATGGGACAAGGAATGTAGAGAGACTAGAGAAAAGGATAGAAATGACTTTGAATTGGTGTGAAGGAGGAAAGTGTATGAGTGTAGCCGTGTCCAGGGCTGATAGAGAGAGAGGCTTACGTAGCATCACCACCGCTGTGATTGGGGGCAATGCGGAGCAAATCTCGCGGAACACCCACCATCCGACGTCGTACGCGACTTGAGGCTCCAGGACTTATTTAAGGATCTCCCTCCCCCACTTGGGCAGTTCCTGGATTATTTCTTTGTCTATCCATTGGCTCAGTCATTACCTCAATATGCCCACCAAAAAGGACTCCAAAAAAATATCCGTGCAGCCAGTGCCGGAGAAGCGTGGTTATGAGTTTGGTGGACCGTATGTATTTTCTACTTCAATTGAGTTAAGCTGAGCTGACATTTGCAATAGACTAGGTGCTTTCGGTATTGTATTTGGATTGCCGATCCTGGTCTATCTCTTTACTTTCGTCTGCAACGATGTCTCTGGTTGTCCCGCGCCGTCGCTGCTGAATCCCTCGACTTTGTCGCTCGAGCAATTGAAGCGTGAAGTTGGTTGGCCAGAAGAGGGAATCACTGCGCTTTATGATACCAATGTTACACTGTGGACACTGAGCTACTATGCCTTCAGCCTGTTCTTGCAGGTCTTCCTTCCCGGTCAGGAGGCAGACGGTGTTGTGTTGGCCTGCGGAGGACGGTTGAAGTACAAATTCAATGGTATGGCAATGGCAGTCCTTCCTCGCACATCATATTCAAACAAGGGTTTTTTTTTTCTGACTCGGTTCATTATATAGCATTCTCCTCTGCCGTCATTATCCTCTCGGGCCTCGCCGGGGGCACTTATCTCTATGGAGCCGACTTTGTGGTGTGGACATTCCTATGGGACAACTATGTTCAGGTCATTACAGCAAACTTGTTGATCTCTTCTTTTGCTGCGTTGTTCGTCTACGCGAAGAGCTTCACAGTTCCAGCCCCAGGGCAGGCAAATCCAAGCCTACGACAGCTGGCACCTGGCGGCCATACGGGCAACATGCTCTACGACTTCTTCATTGGCCGTGAACTCAACCCTCGTGTGCGCCTGCCCATTCCATTTGTTAGCGAGGCATCGCGCACCATCGATATCAAGGTGTTCATGGAGATGAGACCGGGCTTGCTTGGATGGACAATTCTGAACCTGTCCAATGTGGCCCACCAGTACCGAACCTATGGCTACATCACTGACTCGATCGTGCTGGTCACCGTTTTCCAGGCATTCTACATTCTGGATGCGCTGTACATGGAGCCCGCGATCATGACTACCATGGACGTAATCATGGACGGATTCGGGTTCATGTTGTCTTTCGGCGACGTGGTTTGGGTGCCTCATGTGTACAGCATTCAGACCCGGTATCTCTCTGTTTTCCCTTACGAGCTCGGCTTGAGCGGTATGGCCGTTGTTCTGGGTATCACAGCCGTTGGATATGCGATTTTCCGCGGCGCCAATAACCAGAAGAACCGTTTCCGCACGGATCCAAATGACCCCCGTGTGAAGAACATCAAGTACATTGAAACTGCCACTGGATCCAAACTGATGATCTCCGGCTGGTGGGGTCTGGCGCGTCACATCAACTACCTGGGTGACTGGACTATGTCGTGGGCCTACTGCCTGCCAACTGGTGTTGCGGGATATGTTCTCATCGAGAGTATCAACCCAGCCAGTGGCGATGTCCAGAAGCAAGCCGTGCAGACCCCAGAAATCCGTGGCTGGGGTATGATCTTCACGTACTTCTATATGATTTACTTTGGTGTCTTGTTGATCCACCGTGAGATGCGTGATGAGGAGAAGTGCGAGAGGAAGTATGGCGCTGACTGGAAGCGTTATACCTCTATCGTCCGCAGCCGCATCATCCCTGGAATCTACTAGGAGATTTCCATCAAGAATTTCTTTCACAGGCCTTTGAGTTTACTTTCTATGCCTTATTTTTGTATATTAATCATCCCTAATATTTTGACCTGCGAAAACCTTTACGATAGGCTTGCACTCTTTGGATTGCAATCTTCCAGGGTTGGCCATCGTTACTTCTGTTGTTGCAGGAGATTTTGACAAAACAAGAACAGCAGATACAAATTCTATGTACTCTGCAGGTTCTTACCAAGAGACACATGTATTTTTTCTTCAGAACTTACATCGCATTCTAGACTTGAAAGTAACATTGAAAGCTAAAGCGAGACCGACGTACTAATTGAAGATCTGGATCGTATTACCTACATCAAATTAGTATACTATTTGTCTCCGCTATCCATTGCGTGCCATGATAAGAACTAAGATCTTTGAATCGGATATGGGACTGTCTGGAGGTGATAAATTGTAACTCTTGAACCGTTCGCTGTGAAAGTCACAGATGATTTTGAGTAACCAGGTAGAAATTACTTGAATAAAATAGCTTGCTCGTTACGATCATCTTCGAGTTATTCCTCGCTGCTATTCTCACAACAATACTCATAATGCAGAGGAGCTAAGGGGACAATTCTTCACATAGTTGATATTAAGAGTGAATCACAAGTTTAAAATCGATCAAACGACTGAACAAATACATCCAGCTATGAACCTCTCCGTTGGTCTTCAATCATCTTCAGAATCTTCAAAATTGTCACCTGTCTTTCTCATGGAATCAACCATGTGAGTTTTGAGTTCATTGACGAAGCGATCAATCTTTCCCTGGTAGTCGGTGCCAGAGCCCACAAGGAAGTTATCACCCACACTCATATAAATGAAGACGGCAAAATGGTGACGGGTTAGTCGTTCTAGTCGCATATCCTGCCGTTGTGCTTTTGTTTTGTTGAAGACATGAAGAGTTGACAAATAGTCCAAGTCCTTCGTCTCGCATGCGTCGTAAATCTGTGGTCCATTCAATATCCGGCATTTGTTGTCAATAAAGTACTTGACAAATGGAACAAGCACATCTCGGAATCCATATTGACAGCCTGTTGTATCGATGATCCATGTTTCATTGCTCTCGATTCGTCCTATCTTCAACACCGAGTGTGGACCGCCGTGCAAATCGGGACCAGGAACAAGCCTAGTTGGAACCCGTGGTCTTCCGATATTGACGACCATGGTCTCAATTTCCAAGGGTATGCCTGCTTTGTTTTAGCCACGCCTCGCTTCGGTATGTAGGGGTTAGAAAGGCCTTTTACCTCTAAGAAGTTTTCTGGTCAATGGACCCAAGAGCGCCATGGCTGCTGTGGATTGGCTTTTGACGAGAGCCGCTTCCTTGTGCTCGATGTTGTCGGTCATGTGGTTTGGGAAGGGACCACGTTTGGATTGAGACGAAACCGATCTTTGATTTTGATGGAGATAGAGGACCCCATCACGATACTCGATTTTGGTTAGATCCACATCGTATACAGTCTCTCTGTATGCTAACATAGCTGCCTTCAGTATCTGGGCAGCTCGGAGCAGTATCTTCCGTTGCTGCATGTCCCTGCAATGGCCTTTGTGATTTGGCCAGTCCATTATCTGACACTTGTGGCTGCAGTAAAAAACAACTCGAGAATCGCCAGTTTGGTATTCGGGTGCATGCGAGCAGCCCAAACACATTGTCTTAGTTTTTGTCCCACATCTTGCGCACTCGACTGGCGGACTCGGAGCCATCTTGAAGACAAAGCTGGCGGCTGCAATCAAAGCTATGTTGAAGAAGCAGGATATTCCATCGATTGTTGCTCATGGGAGTTGAGATGAGGTGTGTGATATGAGGTGTGAAGTTGTAGGTTGATGAGACTGGGACCAGAAAGCAGAGGGGAGGAAATAGAGTGGTGAGAAGAGCAAGACGATCTAACAATCACAGGCACCTGAGCAAAGTCTTGAGACATCCCATTGTTGACAATCTATTGGACTCATGGAGCTTTCCCTCAGTGCCTGGTTGATTAGGCCGCGGTTTGTTGTTTGACGCCTATAAAGAGCTGATGCCAATTAGGAAAAGCAAACCAGTCCCATTCTTCTCTCTTTGATAACCCGAAGATATCTTTAAACCAACACATGGCTCCTTTTGTCCAGACACGAAGTATCTTATATTTTATGGGGATCTTGGAAGGGGGATACGATGGGGTTACTATACATGGCCCAGAGTAATCTTCAGCAATCTTCCATCCTCTGGACACAATCAACGCTTTCGCTTCTTGGGGTCAACCAAAACATCCAAACCCCAAGATTCATCTCCTGCATTGGGCATCCATCCCTTGAGAACCAGTTTCGCATCCCCGATGGCCTGCATACGGATTTGCAACGGGTCTCCTAATCTGGTAGGATTTTTGAAATCCTGGTAGGTGGTTATATCTGGCACGTGGTGCTGAACTGTATCGACGTGCGGATTTTCAGCCTTTGAAGCAGCGGACGGCGATCCGGCTGGGGAGACATCGGTTTGATAAGTATGTGGAACAAAGGCAGGCGCAATTTCGCGAAAAAGAGCCCAAAGCTTAGCTCGGGATAGAGACGAGGCCCCACGGGCACCAGGTGAGGATGCCCGGTTTCCTTGCTTCACTCCGTTGATGATGGTCTCATACAAGCCGGTTTTGGAACGGCAAAGAGTTGGCACTGGCTTGCTGCCGGTATCCATGGTCATTGCCGATGGGTGATGATACGAGGGAGCCAATACCCAAACGGCGCTCACATTCCCTGGCCTGATCTTTTTAAGATTTGCACTGGAGCTCAAAGGGTCTCCTTGCTGCTCCAGAGAAGTTGCAGGACAGGGCACAGCTTTCGGCTTCGCAAAAGGCCAAAGCGCTGCCACCTCTTCACTCGGCACCGAAAGAACCTGGAATGGCCGGAATCGATACCCCGGGGTGTTTTCTTTGACTTCTATCTCCTTGGGCCAATATCGCCCACCCAAAGCCTGCATTCGGCCATTCTCGCCAAAGGAGCGGTCACAGCCAACTTGGCTTATTTCGTTTTCGGGAAGAACCAGACCTGCCAGATAGGCGTTTTCGGTGGGAGCAATGAGGCGACTGGTCTCACAGGACAGCAAGGAGGAGACTTGCCGTAATGCAAGCTTGTCTGAGCAGGACTTGCTGCGCGTTGACTCGGCGTCCATGCGGGCTGGCTTTCGACGCACGACTCCGAGAAGAGAGAAATGGGCCCGGCCATCTAGAAGGGTCTCTGTAGCTGGGACCTCTGCGTCTTGGATTTTTGGCAAAGGACCTTCTTGCTGTAAGACTTCCCACGGGGTCGCATCTTCTTGGGCTGCCATGCAGAGCTCCATGCTTGCGTCGCCGCATGGAGCACATGTGCAATACATGTAAATCTTGATATCAGGCCGAAGCTTAAAAGGCGGCCATTCTGTGGGTGATGTACCAATACTATCTTCATCCTCTTCATTATTTCTCCTTTGTATGAATGGAGAATCCAAGACACTTTGATTATCAAGGGTAGAAGTATCATGGCCATTCGGTAATTGCTTTTTTCGGGATATGACACTGTTGCATTCTGTCAAAAGCCAATAATTGAATGCTCGGATGGCCAATATCTCGGCATGACAGTCATGTAGTACAAGACCCCTGCAGCGTGGGATATGAGATGCCGACAAGCATTTTGCGCCACTCCTACATAAATATAAGTTTTCTTGAATGTAGGTCGCTTGCATATGACTTGATCAGACTTGTAAGTGGGGAGTTCAAAACTTACGTGACAGATATGCAGGTCAGACTTTCCGAAGGTGTATCTTTTCCTATAAGCGAAGAGACAAAAATGTTACTATCGAACATCGAGTGACATCAAATCAAAAGAAAGACATGCGAGGACGAAGTAAAAAGCGAAGAATGGACCGATCCCTTCACTGTACATACATGGACGAAGGATGATGACTCGCTCATGAATAATTTATCAAAGAAACATACCTTTGACAACCACAATACCGGTCATTGGAATCCATTCCCTCGATCCATCTGGAAATATGGTTGGTTTACTGCGCGTTGGCAGAGCATCGAAATGTGCATGAACCAGCGATGCTATTCGGGACGATAATGAGAAACCAGATGTATCAGCAGACATTTAATATGATCATAGTCCGAATGTCAATTTCCTAAACAACCAAATGCTTTATTAAAGGCAAAGACAGGATCGAAGAATCTCAACATTTCCGTACGATCACGTGAGTTTATATAATTTATGCCTGAGGCGTCAATGGTTCCCTTTCTTCTTTCAAGTTTCCCGTCCTTGTCAATCCAACGTCAACGTCTATACTATCCACCATGGCCGACAAGCTCCGCACCATCCAGAACCTTGAGGCTCTCCAGGCCCGTTACATCGGTACCGGACACGCCGATACCACCAAGTATGAATGGACATCCAACATCCTCCGTGACAGCTACTCCTCCTACGTCGGCCATCCTCCCCTGCTGTCCTACATGGCTGTCGGCATGGGCGAACCAAAAGAGAAGGTGCGCGCAATGATGCTGGAGAAAATGGTCAGAGGCGCTGGTAATCCGCCAGAGGTATGTGGTGTCTTGCAGAGTTGCTCAACATAATACAGAGATGGGTTGGCTAACATGTGCTCTCCAATGATTCAGACTCAAGAGTAAAACTACTCAGTGTGGTCTATTCTTGTTTTTCTTGATACCCGTTGTCACGTCCTTGGCTTTTCCATACAGGAAGGCAGACCCTCCGATCCTCCGATACTCCGACCACCCTTAGTCCAGCTCAGCAACCTCGCTGACATGGGATAATCCCCTGATGTACCGGTTTCGAAACCGCCAAAGACCCATTTTCTCGAGATTCCCCCTCGATTCCTTCGGTGTGGAATAACATTTCCAACTCAACATACGAAACGCTCTATGCAAACAAGGCCGATAGATTTCTCTCTCTGGCGGTTGGTATCCCCTAGGGATTGCTCGTGTTATGGCTTCCGGAACTTAAAGAATCCTTGAATTCTTGTCATTGAGGGTGAAAATTTGTGGTATACTGTCTGCCACATGAAATTATGCGCTCAACAATAAGTCCCCAAGTATCCAACCAGCATCATGGCCTGTGGATGGCTGATATTGCTCGACGAGCATTCAGTTCCTCAACGGCATCCAATGCATGGGAGAAGCCGTTCCAGAGCCGTATCTCGCTTGATTGGTCATAGTCTGCAATATTACAATCAAATCATAATGTTTGAAATCTGAAGATAATCCATTATCAAAATTCATTCCGTAGATAGATACCTAGGTAACCATAGCACAGATCAGACCCTAATCAAAATCAAAAATAAACAAATAGAGAAGGGTAGATAATAAGCCACGTAGTATGTACAATTTATAGAAGTAGCGTATACCCACCAGTTAAGCATTATCCGACTTCGCCGCCAACTTCGTATTCTCCGCTTGCAACGAAGAAACAAGATCGACCCATTTCTGGCGCTCGGAGCGAAGCTGCTTGATCTCCTTCTTGAGATCATGTACCTCTTGCTTCAAGTTATCAACCTCAGACTTATTCTTGGACTTAGACTTCTTCGAGCGCTCCTCATCCTTTTGATGTCTTGCTTGGATTTTCGACGCAATCTTCAGCTGGCTAGCCTCGATCTTGTGCAGCTGCTTAAGCAGCTTAGATTCCCCATGGAGAAGTTGAGAGGCTGCTTTGGGGAGATGCGACGACGGGTCGGGGGTTGCCGTCTGCGCAAAAGATGATTGGTCTTCATTGTTGATCTCGCCCTGCGGTTGGCTTTGGCTCTGCTGCGTGCGAGTGCTGGCGGGACTGGAAGACTGATTTGTCCCTGCGCGCTTGCGCATCCTGCTGGTGTCGCTGTCTACCTCGCTGATGCCTTTTCCTGGACTCCCCGAGACACTAGGCGGTTGCGATGAGATCTGAAACTTGTCGAGTTCGGCGCGGACTTCGTCTAGCTTGCCCTCGACCTCGCGTTTGCGGATGGCTAGCTTTGCGAGCTCTTTCTCGTGGGAAGTGAGCTTGCCATTCTTTGTCATTTTGATCAGTTCCTCTGAGGACATGTTGTTGTGTGCTATCTCGTCGACGGCAGTTGCTGCTTTTTCGGAATTGGCTGAGGATAATGAAACACGGTCTTGCTCGCGGGATCTTGAGGATTCGGCGTCTAACGATGTTTCATTTTGTTGAACAATTTTTGGGCTTAGGTGTGCTATGCCATCTGCATCAGTGTAGGAAGCTTCGTCCCCGGCTGGGAGATCACCCGATACTTTAGTGTGGGCGCCATAGCCTAGAACTTGTGGTGCGAATCGTTCCAGCCCAGTATTGAGCAACCCAGTGACACTGGCAATCAGACCATGATGAGAATTCTCGCCGTCGCTGTCGAGTGATTCGTAATCCGAATCCGAGTCGTCTGCCTCGTTGGATTCGTATTCATTCGCAGACGCCCCAGATTTAGCCTTGACGCCTGCTATATTATTTGCAGCTCCCGTACCTGTGCTCTCTTCTTGCTTAGGCGGCTTGTCATCTTGAAGAGCCCAATTGACAAATTTAGCAGCATCAGCTCCCACGCTTCGCGGTGTTCCCTTGTCCACCATCCACCGCGGGATGTTGCCGCCCGGGTCACTCCTGGTGACCATGATCCATTCAACAGGATTCATTTCTTCGTCTTCGTCATCTCCATCTCCATTCTGCTCAGGTAGCCCCTCGGGGCGTTGCAGATTGGAGGATGGAGAATCACTATTCTTCTTACTCCTCTGACTAGAAGAGCTGCTCCCGCTGCTGTACTTCTTAGGAATCTCCCGAATGAGCTCGACAGACTCATATTGTCCGCGAGTATACCCGTGCTTATGCTGGACATCGGGGTGTTCACACGGCTTAGAGATCATAATCCAGCTGCGACCAGGCTGCTTAGTTCCGCCAGCTTGCAATCCAGAATCGGAATTGATGACCAACTCCACGAAATCGCGCGGAGCAGTAGGTTTGGGAAACTGCGCCGAGACATGGTAAACAATTAAATGACCCAGAACCGAACCATCATGGTCCTTGACCTCAATAGTCTCGACCTTTTCTTCGGCGCCGATCCCGCGGATGCTCTTGTCAGGCGTCTGTCCTTCCTCAATCTTCTTGCGGTTTACTTTGAGTGTTTCATCGTACTCAGTTGAGAGCTTCTTCCGCCACCGCAAGAATGGGAGGCCCTCATGTACACTCCGTCGGCCGAACCATGAGCCCCCGCCGTCATTCGCGGAAAGTTTCCACACAGTCACGTCTAACGGATTATCCTTTGGTCCGCCCATCTTGAGTGGCTTCCCCCATTCCCTTTGCAGGTCTGTAATCTCCGGATCGGTTTTTCCCACTCGTGCGGATGATGGGACTATTCGTCGAGTGGAGGAATTTGTCGTGTCGTCTAACCCGGGGTAGTCATCGTTATCGGAGATTGGGGGGTCTGGAAGTGACTCCGCTATCAGGCGGCTATTTTTGAAGATCTCGCGCACGTAGTCACGGAGCTCGTCGGGATCCTGGGGGACTTCGTCCCATGACGTCGGTTTGAGGCATTGAAGGGCCTCATGCAGAGAAGCCATATATGCGGTAGGAGGATTATTTTTGAAGTGCTAGTCCTCTGTGACGTAAAATCCAAGTTGTGTCGGTAGTGTAGTGATGTTGTTTCTAGTAGCGGGGGTTGTCAGCTCGCGGTTATGCCAGAAGCAGGCAACGGAGGTGGGATAAGCGGTGGCGGACAATTGGGCACCAAGATCTCCGGAATATATGAAGACTGCAATGTCCAACGACTCTCAGGTGGCTTGCTCAGGCGGAACTGTTTGTAGAAAGGATTTGGGTTATGAATTGATGAAGCACGAGCTGGTAAATCCCAGATAAGAGACAAATGCAACAAAATTACAACGCAAAGAGATAATAACACAAGTAAAACTAGATGTAGGTATAGGAAGGGAGTGACGGTGAACAAAAGCCGTAGAGTCTCGACTTGGATACGATGTAGCCTGGACTCTGCCTTGGCGGTTGACGTCATATACCTGGGGTAACCAACAATGGAATCTTGTATGGTCTTCGGGACATGTATTTATAATGTGGATTTGTTTGATGAGTACAAACTGAGAGAAATTGTGTATGCACTTTTTAAAACTAAGCTAAAGAGATACATACAAGATTTGGACAGAGCTGCTGATGGATCAACAAAAAAACCAGGAGAAAAGAAGCAGCCAGCGCAAGGGACCAGCCCACCCGATCAGACAGATCATAAAGGAGAGTAAGTATCTATCAGATCGAGCATCCGATTCTCGTCGTCGGAAAAAGAATGAAGGGCTTTTCCATCCAGTGAAAAGAGCCCACCGACAGACCAAGCTTGTCCAGGAATTTCTAAAACCCAGCCTGGACGATAGGAGATGAATCTATCATTGCCAATTATAGTCATTGGAGGTGAGATCGTAGCACAGAGGTCGGAGATTACTGTCACTCAGACCACTCGTCGCTTGGGGCGGGATGTGAATACCCCCAGGTCACAGACCAAGGGGAGAAATCCAGTGCATCGCCCTTTGCGCTCGATATCTGCCACAGGCGGATGTGCTCGAGTCTGACGAGGGTTGAAGGCAATCTTCTCTCACACTCGTGTTGCTGATCTTCACCTCCTCGAACCAAAGATGACCAAAAATGCGTGCTCCAACCAAGCATCACAGATGCAAGGAAGAAGGTGACGCCGTCGCATAAACTTATTCTCCAATTCTCTGATAAAGAGAACTAGCCAGTCCGGTACCCAGTACCAGAAGAACAGACCTTGTAAGAAAGTCAAGAAAACAAAAGCACACGCTGAACCCAGTCCAGTCGAGTAACCCAAATTTGCTTCCTTCCCTTTCCATCAAGCTGAGACAGAAGAATCGAAAACATAACGTTGGACATTCCACGTCCAAATTCATATCCTCCACATGCCGCGAGGCAGACCAGTCTTCATGACATATATGCGGGAATAACAAAAGAAACGAAACATAACAGAGAGCCGACCCGCCGCTTCTTGATGCAAAGGAAAAAGAGAAAAAAGAAAAACAAAAGAACATCGCTGACGCTGGAATCAAACATCGAAACTATAAAAACAGGCGCAGAAAAAGATAATTCTGGATATCATGCAAAAGGCAGGAGGGAGTATCACAGATGCACAGTGTCAAATCGAAGAGAACGCCGTCAAGAATGCGAAATGTCGTTGCTTGGAACCGGGTTCCCGGTAGCGAGAGAGACGGGAGAGGAGAGGGGGAGCCGAGGAGTCATGGTGTCGTGAAAAAAACCAAAAAATTGCGCGCGCATCTAGTGCTAAGAAACGATCCACGTTTCTCGAACCCACGTTGCACGAACCGGGGGAGCCTGGACTTGAGATGGTCGACATCACCGAGTCTACTCAGGATAGCTGAGCTAGGCGATTGTGCCATACGGCAGCGGAGCAAAGTCGCCCCAGCTGAAGCCCCCCATACCCATGTTGACAGCCGTGCTGCAGGGTTGTACAAGCATGCTCGGGAACATGCTTGGGAACATGGTCGGCAACGGGAGCGGACTGATAGCGGCCGACGTGGTCGGCATGCAGGTAGTCGGTAGGCAGTCATAGGTCTGGAACGGCGAGGGGGTGAAGGGTTGGCTGTAAGACGGGGTCGGTGAGGCAAGTTGGGCATCACTGAAACTGAGACTACCCCAAAGGTTCGGATTAGAATCACCCGTGGTGGCCGGGTTGGGGCTGGGCGACAGTACTTTCCACGACTCGAGTGGCGCTTGCTGGGGCACCGGGTTCTGCCACCAGTTTTCCGGACCTGTCGAACTGGGCAGGAGAGGAATTGGGCGCATTATATCCACCACTGGTGGTGAAGGGGCTACCAGTGGAACAAAGAGCTTGCCGATAGCTGCCTTTGCTTCTTCGCTGCGACCGCTTAGTAGCTCCCCGGCGCCGTCTTCTTCGAGCCCCTCGAGTGCCTGGGCGTTGGCACGGTAGACAAACTTGTTGGCGGCTTGGACAAACTCCTCTTGTAACCTCTTCAACTCACCGTGCTTTCCGGACCAGTTGTATGTATTGGCGGCGGCATCCACCGAGTAGACCTCCTTGTGGAAATCAACCAGGGATTCGATGGTTTCCGGAGTCAACTTGAAGGCCACCTCGTTGCGGGAGACCATGTCGACGTGTACAACGTAGGCCTCCATGTGAATCATTTGGTGGTTGTGCAGGGCTTCCCAGAGCTGGTTCTCATTCTTCTCTAACTCTGCCTGGGGGCTTTTGGTGAACATCATGGAACACAGGGTCCAGATGGCATTTTTCGATGAGAGTGTTTCTGTCAGACACCGGGTATGCTGGGTGACATTGTTCAAAGGACGCTTGACCCTGTTAACTCGCTTCAGGGTGGCTGTCAACCAAGGCTCAACCTTGGTGTTCAACACGACATTCGGAGATGATCGCGGCGCAAAAGCAGCGGCAGAAGATGGGAGTAATACTGTTGGCATTATGACACTGTGCGAGGGGTGATACGTCCGGCGTTGGTATAGCTGATATAAAAGAATGTAGAATATAGAACATAAATCATAAAGGCGACATTCGCCCACACAAAATGTTTTTGGATCTTGAAATTGTGTCGATATGTCGTATAATCCAGTATTAAAGTGCGGGCGAATGCGCAAAAAGAATAGAAATTATAATATAAAAGAAAGGAGATGACATGAAAGTCAAGAGTGGTTATAGAAGAAAAGAGGGAAGTCAAGAAGAATAATAAGAGGGGAACTACTATCAATAAGTGGAGATTTAATGGCCACAATAATATGTTAATTTTGGATTAATATTACTAGTTTTTCCTCTTAAGATATTAGAAGAAACACAGAATTCATGTTTTCTACGGTTCGTATTATTTTTTGTATGCAGGCTGATGGAGTCAATGTACATCAGTGTACTCCGTACTCCGTACAGTGGCCACACATCTCGGACTCCCCGATCTGCAGAAGACCCAGTGGCGATAATATTTGAATACCTGAATACTTGAAACGGTTAAAATGCGCGAGATCCAAACGTTTCATCAAATTTGACGGGTTCACTCGCACAGTGCCAGTCACACACACCCGTTGCACGTCCATTTGGCCAGAACAGCTGCATGATGCCCTAAACTGCAACAGCTAAGCCCCAATGATCCATGAAACGGCTTAAACTGAGAGAAACAAGAAAACCTCCGAGTCTCCATAGATCATCTAGAGCGATCAAATTACTATCTACAATTAGCGGGGACTTAAATACATTTCTCAGCTGGGCGATGTGCATATTTCAGTGTGCGCCAAGATCTACTCATCGTTAAAAGATACTGGATCCTCAACACTAGAAATCCCATGCTTTGGGGTGAAGACTCTATTTAAATTTGGCTGCAGCCTGCAGGCCAAGACTTAGTTTCGATCCCCTTTTCAATGGTGTTTCAATACTGTTGTGCTTCAATATCCAACTAAATATTAGCCTTGAAGAAGAGAAAATAATATTCCAACGTTTACAGTATTAATAATATTACACGAAACACATCCATAACACCCATAACAACCATATCAAGGTTTTTTTGGACCTATCGAGTGCCGCTAAGACGAGACAGAGTCGTAGACCTCAGCTGATGGAGGGTCGAGCAAGCGTGGGGCAGAGCCCGTCTTGAGTCACTTCAGGGCTGGGATTCGCTGAGACCAACCGAGTCCGGCCGATGCACAGGAAGCTGAGATCCCTGTTACGATCTGCCATTGGGCTGAGCCTCCATTGCCAGACTTTGGGACGGCGCCACTAGCCTTTGCGTACTGAATTACCGTTTCTTATTCTTGTCTTGTCCACATGATTCAAGTTTTCAATGATCTCATCTTACTCTGCACTCCGCAGGCGCCTCTGCCTTCTGCCTCTTCCCTAAAATGGAATCCCTGCTGCATATGAGTTCGGTCACATGGTCTTGTGTGGGTGTATTGGGGGCTCGCTTTGAGTCGGATGAAGTTTTGTCATTGTTATTGCGTATCTATAACTAAAGTAGGTTGGCTAACGTATGGAAAAATATGCGACCGAGTTGGTTGCTTTTTCCTAAAATAGATACGAGGCGGTGCACGTTACTCGCCACGTTGTGGCGGATATCTCCGGCTCCACTATGCAAAGCCCTAGTTACTACTCCGTATAGTTTCTTGCTTCACTCTGTTCACTTCACTTGTTTTGCCAAACACCGATTGGAGAAGAGATATGGGTTGGCAAGAGTCGGGAGCTGGAATCTCAGGCAGATCTTAACCATATCCACAGTCAGGCGGGTACTGAAACTCATCTCTCTCGGGCCGTATCAAGCCTGGTTTCATGATTGTCAGGCTGCCATCAAGTTGGAATACTGACATCACCGCACTATGAATGGAGCGATATATCGAAATCCATTGTATTTTGCAGACCGCATCGGTTATGACTCATATGTGTGCCGGTGATGTTCGATTTGAAACGAAGCCAGACAATGCTCTAGTATTGCACGATATACCCCTAGGCAAACCCGGAATAAATCATTGCTTTTTAGGTATGCTAAACTACTGCTTCACTGTGACTTACATTTCGAACATATCCAAGGGGCTCATTCATGAATGAGTGGTACAGCAGGCTCCGAGTTTTGTGTAGACATATATTAGACTACTTGATTATGAAGCTCATGACTCATACATCACTGCTCAGTTTGCAAAAAAGCCCTGATAAGCTTTACTTTCTTCTTCCTGGGCATCTCAGATGTCGCGTCGTACCCAAACCTCCGAGCAAGGAGTTTGGTCGTGTTGAAAATCCCGGAATATTTTTTATACTAGTTAGCAGCCTTAGGAATAATGCACCCTACAGAAGGATCAAGTCGGAAAGTATTCGAGTATCGTACTAACATCGCTACCAGGGAGAAAGCATAAAATGTCTTTAATGGTATTATCATTATCGTGTTGTTCTTTGCTTCATGAATATACTAAAATCTCTGTATGTTACCTCTCATTTTGTTAATCAAACTTGACTCGCGCCAGCAACTAAAAAGCAGAAATTTGAGGAAGGAAGACATACGACTACTTCTTTAAGAGAAGCTTGTACATACTATGTCCGTTGTAGGCATAAATTGAAGATTCCTATATGTTTGGATTCTATAGTTGGCCCTTATAGCTTTGAAGAACACAACTTGTTCGATAACTCACGACTAACTAAAGTTCGTTAACAAATATGCACTTCGAGACTCTTCATTAGTATCTCAACAGTATGACTTGTCGCTAGCTCAATAAAAAAAACTAGCTTAATGACTGACTTTCCTGACCAGCCAAGCCACATTTATTGGTACAACTCTAACATATCCCCTCAATTAATAAAGGTCTGTTGAAGCGTTCGATATTATAGATTATTCACAAATTGTAACAACATAAATTATAGAGATAAAACTCATTTTTCTACCGAGTAGCAACCCGTGCTGTCGCGATGGTCCCTAGAAGCTGCCATATACTGGGTGGTTGCCTCCAATTCGGCTCTTAAGGGGCCAGATAAAATATATTGATGGTAAGCGAACATATGCGTGCATGTAACGTTTTTCTCAGAAGTACGAATGGAATAAATGAAAATAACAATGATTAAGAGGAGCCGTAGGGCTATGGAACTAACACATTATGACCCCAGACATTCTCGCATCTCTCGGCCCTCTGTTCTCCAACGCCAACGACCTCTTGACGGAAGGTGCCGTCAAGGAGATCAATGGCCTACTAGACAACGCCAACAATCTCCTCACCGCGGATTCAGCCAAGGATATCGGTGGCCTGCTTGCCAGCGCCAGCGATCTGCCCACGCGCAAGTTCGTTCACGAGACCTAGGGGGCCTGATCGAGGATGCCGCAGATGTATGTTCCCATTTCCTCTTTCTGATCTGCTGAATGTTTTGGTGACACTAAGAGACCCTTCCGCTTGTCATGAAGCTGCTCAGGTCGTTGTAAGGTGTTCTGATGTTTTCTTTCTCTTTAATTCCTTTCGCAAAGAAGCATTCATGGCGACTCATGATGATTAATGTTATACATGAGTATCTTTAATACTATATAATCGAATGACAAGATATGTATGTGCTGATTGATAGTATTTGAAATTTCCGAGGCTTTGATCCGGATGTGTTGCCATGTAGATAGGAGAATTATTTGACATATGATAATAGCTCGTCGATTCCCTCAAGTTTGGTGTTCGAGTGAGGCGTTCTCATTGTTGATCCAGTCCTGGAATCCCCCAAAGAGGTAAGATGTTCACTTCAAGGTGTTGCAATTGGATTGGAGGGCCCAAGGGCATAGTGTTCAAGCGAGCTCTCACACAGGTAGACATAGGCGCAAATGTTCCTTAGCTTGCCTGACTCCTCGCATCTGCAACGCAAAAATATTCTTTCCCTGGGACGTGTTGGCAAGGATATTATCCGTGGTGAGTGTCGAGGAAGTTGCCTTGACTGGAATCATAGATGAGTTGTTTCGAACGCGGCTGAGAACGAATGGGGTCTTTTTTATGCCCCAGGGAAGGTGATAAGACTATGAGAAAAGCCTTAATTGTTCCTTGGTGGTCTGAATGGTTTGGAAGAAATGTTGCCATCGCCTCCCTCAAGACGGAATATCCGATGCCTTAGTTTCTTGAAATTTGGACACGACCTTCATCTCGGTGTCGCGTTCCTTGACCTTCTTGTCCATGGATTTTTGAACCTCCTCTCGTTTCCGTTTAGCAGTCTCAATCTTCTCTTTCACTTCTTTGGCAACTTGTTCCTGCTCATGGAGCGCGGCCTCGCGTGATTTGTATTGTTCTTCCAGTTGCTTAAGCTCAGTTTGGTAATCTCGAGGTTTGATTGGTTGGCATGTTAATGGGTGGTAGCGATATGATGGTAGTGGCCCATCTGGAACTTTTATCTCGGCGAGATCAGGGTGGATTGGGATGACGCGGGTTGTTGAATCCAAAGGAACGGGCGCGGCTTCGGCCGGGGGAGATGAAGCGGGAGGAGTAGGCTCGGGTTTCACCATGGTCGTAGAGCGAGAACAAGGTATTTAAAAATGGTAGTATTTCACAAGGAACAAGTGTTGATCGCCAGAGGTTTTCGAAGAAGAGGTGAAATGAGTACTGGCGTAGAAGTGACCTCGGGAGTCTGGCTGCAGGTTATTGATTCTGCCACATCACCACACCTTACCGCCCATAATGTCCGCGACGTACGCGGGGAGGACTCTTAGCCAAATTGACGACTTTATCACTGCTTGACATCTGATACTCATGCTAGTTGAGTTTCTTCTCAGCTCCAGATTGAGATATTTTCTCGAGGCCGGTCCTGAGTGGACTAGTTGGTGTGCCTGTTACATCTGAGTCCCCACAAACTTGAGCCAGTGACGTGACCGTTAACATGCAGGCATTTGGTATGTTCCTCTATACTTGTTGATTGATATAAGCTAACGCACTCACGATAGTCCCCAAGCACAGACGAGTAAGTTACATAATAAGGCCAAGTGAAGTACATATGTAACTGACTTCTGCTACAGCCTAGGTTCGAGCTCGTTTTAAGGGTATGCATTATAAACAGACTATGGAAATGCCGTCAAGATTTCTAACGTTGAAAAGATCATCGATATTAATAATGTCCCCTTGGGCAACAGCGTCGCTTTTGTGCGATGGCGATTGCCATCGTCAAGCTCCACTGAACACCAAGGCCACACAGAGAAAGCAACTCTATCAGATCACCGCGCTTACTGGGGCTATGAGAAATGCCTTCAGGTAAGACTTACAATTGATAGAACATCAATTCTTCAGGAGTGTGATCTCAACTTTGAGGTCATACAAGAGTACACTTCGTCGCCCATGTCCGAAAAGAGCGTGCTGGGAAAAATCAAACTCAACCTTGCCGAATACGTGGACAAAACGGAGGAAGATGAAGGGATCATTCGGCGATACCTGATGCATGAAAGTAAAGTGAACAGTACTGTCAAGATCGGGATCGCGATGCGTCAGCTAGAAGGAGACCGCAACTTCACGACGTAAGCGAAGCCCCAGATTTATATCCTATCCACGCTCTCAATGCTGATTATAAAAGACCACAGCTGAAATCCGCCACCGTCTTTGGAGGGATTGCCGGAGTTGTTCAGCTCACCGAACAGCCCGTCAACGCCGATGAATTTGGCCAGCTGCCGTCTACTGACACCAAGAGCCGGGAAATTGCAGATATGCAAGACATGTATCGGCGCACTTTAGCAGCGTCGTGGTCTTCTAGAGCCTGTGATTTGCCTGCTGATAAGTTGGTTGAAGAGTTGTTTGCTGGAAGTTCTTGCTGGAACAACGATGCACACAATGCCAACCCTGGCATCTCAGCGGGCGATCACCGAGATTCTCTATTGAGTGCAGAGGCAGTCCCGCGACAAAGCCGCTCTGGGAAAAAGCTGTCACCCAGTTTCGAACGGCGCCCCAAGAGTTCTTCCAGCAATCGCTCACACAGTAGCAGTAAGACCCCAGACCCTCTTGCACTTGGGCATCAGAAAAAGGGGGGAAGCATCGAGCAGCAGTTATATGAAGGGGTCAAGGGTCGGGCGTGGAAGGCGCCAGATATAAATAATGAGCTTTCCGAGTTCGATGTAAGAGAGAACTTGCGCAGCTGGGAAATTGTACCAAAAGAATGAATTCTACATACCTTTCTACGCTATGTATTAGTATCTGGCTTGGATTCCCTACTTTTAAGTAAGCTTTTTCGCATATAATTGAGAGACAAACTTGACGGCGTTGTTCTACATAATCGAAGAATTCGTTCAAGAGTTTTGTACATCGTACATAGTACTAAATAGTTATTGCGGCCAGGGGATCGCCGCCTGAGGCAGAACTTGATTTCTTATCGCGGCTTAGCGCCCCGATTATCGCCGGAGAAAAGCGATCGCAGGATAATTTACCTTCTCTGTGTTTGCAATAGACCTACTGTTCTGTCATGCTTCGACGCCCCGCAGGGAACAAGCTGGGGCTTCTGAGCTTCCAGTCGCTTTCATATCGGAGACCACTATTGTCATACCCACAAGCCGTTCTTCCCCGATGCCAGAGTAACTGGAGTCGCGATCATGAACGCGAAGCTTTCGATGGACCCAATTCCGAACGAAACCGCGAACCGAAAGATAATGGAAAACATGAAGCAGGCACATTCACATTGGGTGTGGACACACTTGGAAAGCCAGGACAAATCGTTGTTGTGCCTTCACGTCGCCGCCGAATGTTAAATCGCAATCGCAACAAAAACCCCGAAAATGAATCTGGCGGCACAATCAGCGCCATGTTGGATGAACTTAACGACGAGAACTCAACGCCCAGCGATAAATCGGTCCAGGAAAGAATTGATGAAGTTCGTGGATCATATCAACTGGGACAGATCTTGCCTGCTGCCGATCTCAAGGCATTGTGGTCAAAATTGGCTTCCTCTTTCACATACAAGCAATTGTCAGAGTTTATTTCAGAGTACAATCGCAATGCCGTGATAGAAGAGAAAGGTTGGACCTGGGGGTCAAGTAGCTCCAAATCGTTATTGGGAAAGACCAAGGGCTTCAGGGGAAAATCCCGGGCTGCAGAGACGATCGTTCGGGATTGTTGGCAGCTGGTGGCTGATGGCGAGCGTGGCCAGTTGGAATTCCGCATACCAGCTCAGTTCATATCCTTGCTTCTCCATGCTGAGCATTTCTCTTTCCACGAGCTGGCTAGTCTCCATGGCTGTGGTATTGATGTCACGCAATCTGCGGGTCTGGTATCACTTACTGGCAAGCGAAATGATTGTGAGTCTGTTCACGAGATTATCATTGATGCAACTGGCAGGATCCGTGAGGATGATGTCGGAATCAACCCATATATCCACGGAGATGGAATCAGTCAAGTTTTTACACCAGACTTTTTGGAATGGGTCAACAGCACACACGGGGTATTCGTGGAATGCAAAGCACACAGGCCACCCCAAAAGATTATCTATCTTGCTGAGAATAAGTCGGGAGCAGATAATGCGCGGAGGACCTTGAACTTGGCCTTATCCAACACCACATCTCCATCGACGCCATTTTCAACATATTTACCTGCTTCGGAACTCGCCAGTGCTTATAGCTATAGACCAGAAGCTCATGCTTCATGGTTTGAGCAGCAAAAGTCGTGGTTCCGGTGGGCAATGTCTTCCAGTCAAAATGCCGAGGCAGAAAACCTCGAAACTCCTTTCTTCGACAAGCATCAAACACGACTCTCAGATGAACTATTGAAGCTTCTCCGAGTTACTACTCCGAAAACCGGATTAGTCACCGGTTTGCATGAATCTGTGACAGCCGTGGTTGGGAAATGCCTTTTTATGCAAAAGCCCTCTCTCGATGATACAGCCATCAGTCCGGCACAGTTGGGGAGACTGTCCCTTCCACGGGCTTTCACAAACGACATACCTCTGGTGTCGCGCTTCATCAACTCACTCATGCCTATCCGCCCAAAGAACGAGGCACAGCTATATCGACTTCGGTTGACTCCAACCTCCAACGCAGGATCTCCGCCGGAACTCGAAATTGAGGTAACCATGAACTCGAACTTGGATGGCGTGGATGTCCACAGCGTAAAGGCTATCCTCATCACAAGCAGCGTTGACTACCTGCTTCCGGAAAATGGTCTGGACCTGCGTTTCACACGAACCCTCTCACAAGACCTCTTGCATAAGCCATCTTCCAACTCAGAACTCCCGCAAAGCTCTTCTAAAGAACTCTTGCCCCAGCCTTCTTCTTCGCCACAGATCCAAGCAATGCTGCAAAGCATCAAAATCTCCCTCCAGGGCTCAATCATCAGCAGTGGGGGTTCGCAAGGCCCTGTTCCACTTCCTATATTTTGCAACATCACTCTTCCCTGTGATCTTGTTAATCAGCCTGCCTCGCAAAAAGTTGAATCCAAAATTTTTGACGAATCAATGGCAGAGAACAGCGTCGCTGTCGAGTACATGTTCCCTCCACTCAGCGACATTCGAGGTGCCATTGTCCAAAAGTACAGCTTTGATGGGCGAGCACTTGACTACCGGTATTACGAGAGCGGTTCGCTCCTTGCTGCTCGGACAAATGAGGTCTCTCTGGGCATGGAGATTCCCCAAGTTGACTCAGTCGCAGAAAGTGACCAATCCGAGCAGCTTGATCATGAGTTCCATTCGTTCTACAACGCGGCGTGTAACATGGCATTCAAAATCCACGGCAAAAGATATGTGGATTAACAGCATGAGTCACTTTTTGTTTGAATTTGTACAGCGTGCATCAACGGCCATCATCATATGGGATGGCGGCGTCTTGGGTCTGTATTTACTGTACATTATGTGTAAAATATTTGCCCTTATTAGACACGGACTATGCCTTGAGTTTTAATATAGCTAGTCGAAAGTCTCCTTGAATAGACACAATCACCGAAAAAATCATGATTTACAGGTACTAAGCATGGCAGAACAATCTCATAACCTTGGAAGCTTCCCGAGGTCATTCGAAGTGTCTTACCAAATCTATTACAAACATCCATGGATAATATCGCGCTACAGGCGAAAGATTCCTGGTCTACCTAGGTACAACTATCGACTTCCAAATCGGAAGTATATCTCAATTGAAGTGGGCCGGTGTGGTGATTGCCAAGATAGGCTCTCTTGACGGAAACGAACCATGGATATGGGCCGGACAACGGGGATCCCACTTGGGCAATCTAGCGTACTATGTAGAAATTTGGCAAGATTGGGAGATTTTTTTCTTATGTATAGAGTCCACGGGCCTGATCTCATTTTGCTCATATGTCTGTAGCTTGGAAATGGTCATACCATGTAATTGTGCCAAATAGATTCTGACTATCTTGTTCCAATGCCCCGTTTAAATGAGATGCCTCATGGGTCTTTGTATCCATGAAAATTCTCCTATAATAAGGTACGCTGTCTGTTGCACGCTATACAATGCACGGCAGAATGAATGGTTGGCTACTCCAAGCCTGCTCCATGGAGTTGAACTTTGGCTTTTTTTTTAGAGAAGATGGAGAGTAGTTGATATGATCCTGTGGGTCTAGATCTCTGGGGTTCGATTACAATCTGGAGGACCATCCGATTCTGGGTAGCAGTTTAACATAAAGGCCCACAAGAAGCCAGGGTCACACCTTTAGCTGTACATTGTCTATTTTAAGTACCCTGGCTTCTTTACCAAGTTTATTTTTTCGAATGCTTTTGTTGGATGTACTCGATATCTTTAGCCTTGTGTAAGTGACGGGTGCCTCAGTAAGTCAAACCTTGGATTTGACCGAGATACTTGACCTACTTATATCATAGGCATTGCCTTCTAGGTAATTTCAGGTTTTATTATAAAATTTATCGTTCTCTGTAGAAGTAATTTGACTACAAAAAGCAAAAAAAGCAAGATTCCCCAAGATGTCGAAGATGCGATTAGGATTCGCCTAAGTATACGTTTGCATATCAAAATTAGTACTCGAGTGACTCTGCTAGAGTACTATCTTGGGCTTCCTAGACACTCCGCGGATCTCTGATCATATCGAACACTAAAACTCACATCTCCCATGACGAGATCTTTCACATAAATACGGGTTCGAGTGATATCCCTAGAGCTAAAAGTGGGCGGGAAGCGGTGCAATCAATTCTCGTAGAACCTACTATTGGTGCTTTGTAATTAGACACCCCACAACTATTTAATGCTGAATTTGCCTAGTTCTGGAAGAAGTATTATTGTTTATTCTCTTCGGAAGACCATGCTGGCTTTGGTAGCTCGTGTTTCATGGTTCCAGGGTTTGTCTTGCATCTTGCTATGCATGTAAATGGTGTTGTGCAGCTGTTCAAGGCTAGCGGGCCAAAGAATACTTGGCTAAAAGTCCCCAAGTGTCTCTTTGTGGGCTTGCGATCTAATCAAGGCTCGTAGATTAAGCAGTCATTCAGTCGACTAAGCCCTGTGCATCTCCGAATTATTCTTAGCCGAATTTAAAATCATAGACAGAGATGTCTCATTTTGAATCATTCTATTCTCACCCAGTATAGCAAAAATTCATACATATAATATACCCGCAGACATTGTACGTAGACGTGACCTCGGTGAGGCCCCACAGTCAATCAACGCCCGTGACGTGTAACACCTCTCATCCCAACTACTCTGCGCGCCTCACGATACCAAGGCTGTCCAGGCAGCTGATTAAGACTGATTCGTCGCCCTGATTGATTACACGTCCACAATAAAATATATATAACCTATATTGATCCATCTCACCCGCGATCACTATTGTGCCCTCCAGTCCTACTGTTTCCACTGTTCCCCTCAGCATATTCAGCATGAAGACCACGCGCCAGTGATTTACACGGCATGGAGAAAACACGGATTGCTAAGGTTCGGAGAACCTATCTTGATCGTCACAAACATCCCACTCACTGACCATGTCGCTCCAGGTTGACAATGTGACCTTAGCTCGCCGCGGAGAGCAGGTTGATGGCACCCTCCATCTAACCCCTCACCACCTCATCTTTTCGCACACTCCACCAATCTCTCCAGAAGAGCAGATAAAGGGCGTGACAACAAGGCCTAGAGAGCTGTGGATCACATACCCTATCATCGCTTTCTGCACCCTACGGCCAGCTCCCGGCGCCTCCCGCCAGCTCTCTTCCATCCGCCTCCGATGTCGAGACTTCACATTCGTCTGTTTCTACTTTGTAAATGAGCACAAAGCACGAGATGTGTTTGAAAGTATCAAGCAGTGGACGTGTAAATCCAGTCGTATCGATAAGCTTTACGCCTTTAGCTATCAGCCTCCCCCGCCAGAAAAGGAGTTGAATGGGTGGGAGCTGTATGACCCGCGCAAGGAATGGACACGCCAGGGCTGCTTGGATGAAGGAAAAGCATGGCGTCTTTCAGAGATCAATGTGAACTACGAGGTATGCTCGCGCAAACTAATTCAAATGTGCTCTACTAACACTTCTTAGTTCTCCCCGACCTATCCCGCCCTTATCCCCGTACCTTGTTCCATCTCCGACAATACACTTAACTACGCAGGGCGCTATCGATCTCGAGCAAGAATTCCTACCCTCACATACTTTCACCCTGTCAATAATTGCACCATCACCAGGAGCTCACAGCCCCTGGTCGGTGTCCGCCAGAACCGAAGCATTCAAGATGAAAAACTTCTGTCCGCTATCTTCTTAACTTCTCGTTCTGAGCGGCCGTTGGCAAGTTTCTCAGCCACAGAGAAAGACACAGATTCCAGCAGTCCAGAGACGAGCCAGGTGATGGTCCCAGAGTTGACTAATGCCGAGGAACTTGAGGACGACTTGTTAGCCGCTACAAGTGGCGACCCTGAAGACCATCGCTCGATATATGGCGCCCAGCAGTCGAACCTGATCGTAGACGCACGCCCTACGGTGAATGCATTTGCCATGCAGGCTGTTGGACTTGGATCAGAGAACATGGATAACTACAAATTCGCTACCAAGGCATATCTTGGTATTGACAATATCCACGTCATGCGAGACTCGCTGAACAAAGTGATTGATGCTTTGAAGGACTCAGATGTTACTCCATTGGGGCCAAATCGTGACCAGCTAGCGCGCAGCGGCTGGCTGAAGCATATTGGTGGGATCTTGGACGGAGCCAGACTGATCACTCGTCAAGTTGGTCTTACTCATTCTCATGTTTTGATCCACTGCTCTGATGGCTGGGACCGCACGAGTCAGCTCAGTGCGCTGAGCCAGATTTGTTTGGATCCCTACTTTCGGACGCTGGAGGGCTTCATGGTGCTGGTAGAGAAAGACTGGCTTTCATTTGGACACATGTTCCGACACCGGTCGGGCCATTTGAACAGCGAGAAATGGTTCCAGATCGAAAATGAACGCATCGGCGGAGATCCCAACCGTGCCTTTGGTGACGGTGGGGGTGCAGGGAAAGCTATTGAAAATGCATTCCTTAGTGCCAAAGGGTTCTTTGGTCGGGACAACAATAGCCGTGACTCTTTGCCGGACTCGGATGGAGAGCTTCAAAACTATGACTCTGACAACCCTGCGAAGAAGCCTGCTACACCGCGTTCGGGGGCGTCCGAGAAGGAGACAACCAAACCAAAAGAGACAAGCCCTGTGTTCCATCAGTTCTTGGACGCAACATATCAGCTGCTTCATCAACATCCGACACGATTTGAGTTTAATGAGCGTTTCCTGCGACGACTTCTCTATCACCTCTACTCCTGTCAATATGGCACATTCTTGTTCAACAACGAGAAAGAACGCGCGGATTACAAGGCCAGTGAACGAACCCGTAGCGTTTGGGATTACTTCCTCGCTCGCCGGGAACAATTCACTAACCATCAGTATGACCCTGTCATCGATGACAATCAGCGCGGCAAAGAACGACTTATCTTTCCCCGAGTCAATGAAACACGGTGGTGGAATGAGGTATTTGGTAGAACAGATGCGGAGATGAACGGCCCCCGTTCCTCGGCAGCACCCAGTGACATCCCAGAAGGTACGGTGTTGACTGGTATTGAGACTGCAGGGCCGGACAGTGCTTCTAAAATGACTGATGTATCGGGGATGGCAGCTGCTGTGACGTCGGGCGTATCTAAGCTTGCATTCCCAGCGGAGCACATCGACAAACCGACCGAGTTAGAAGTAGAGATGCAATGAACCGGGGTAATGAAAGGAATCGGACATGATTTTCAAGCATTTACAACTTTATGTTATGCATCCATATTCGGACGACAATAATAGAGTGATTCGTCCAATGACAGATGTAAATCCATATTACTGCCTTATTGCCTTAATATTGCCTCAAAGATAAGGTGATAACGCTAGGACCAAACAGGAATGGTGCCGGCAAGCGAGGGTTGAGCCCTGGCCCAAACGGGCAAGCAGCCCTAGTCCCGAAAAATCCCCACTAAATAATGCACTCTCAGAATTGAAGTCTCTCGACCACGATCCCCTCCGTCGACAACCCCCGATTCCACCACCACCAGGAACGTCAAAATGGCCGCTGTTCAGGGAGCTATTTCTAAGCGCAGAAAGTTCGTCGCCGACGGTGTCTTCTATGCCGAGCTGAACGAGTTCTTCCAGCGCGAGCTGGCCGAGGAGGGCTACTCCGGTGTGGAAGTCCGTGTGACTCCCACTGTCACCGACATCAGTACGTCAAACCCGAAAAACCAATCTCTCGTTTGATCGCTTGAAGAATTGCTGGTGAAATTGCCTGGAAAGAGGAGGAATGAAACCGATTTACGATCGCGATGGGATCTGCGGAATTCGAATGGGGAGATTTGATGCTAACGGGCTTTCCAGTTGTCCGTGCCACCCACACCCAGGAGGTTCTCGGTGAGCAGGGTCGCCGCATCCGCGAGCTCACCTCCCTCATCCAGAAGCGCTTCAAGTTCCCCGAGAACTCCGTCTCCCTCTACGCCGCCAAGGTCCAGAACCGCGGTCTCTCCGCTGTCGCTCAGTGCGAGTCCCTCCGCTACAAGCTCCTTAACGGCCTTGCCGTTCGTCGTGCCTGCTACGGTGTCCTCCGTTTCATCATGGAGTCTGGTGCCAAGGGTTGCGAGGTTGTTGTGTCCGGAAAGCTCCGTGCCGCCCGTGCCAAGTCCATGAAGTTCACTGTACGTCTATACCAGTGAAATTGCGCCCGACGAGTCGATCGCGAAACTCGTTTTTGGAAGAATATTATGGCTAACACAAGTAACAGGACGGTTTCATGATCCACTCCGGTCAGCCCGCCAAGGAGTTCATTGACTCCGCCACTCGTCACGTTCTCCTCCGCCAGGGTGTCCTCGGTATCAAGGTTAAGATCATGCGCGGCTCCGACCCCGAGGGCAAGGCCGGCCCCCAGAAGACTCTCCCCGACTCGGTCACCATCATCGAGCCCAAGGAGGAGCAGCCCGTTCTCCAGCCCATGAGCCAGGACTACGGTGCCAAGGCTATTGCCGCTCAGCAGGCCGCCGAGCAGCAGCGTCTTGCCGAGCAGCAGGCCGCAGAGGCAGAGGGTGGTGCGGAGACTTTCGCTCAGGAGTAAATGTTCTTATCTACATTAGGCCCGGCTCTTTCCTTTTCTTCCATCTGTCCTAACCTAACCTGATACTCTACCTCACGCAATCAAAATTACATGACCTTCAAAGCCATTTATTCGCAATTCTATAATCTGTATTGGCCAATACGGTGGAGGTCCGTTGGAAGGTGTTCGAGGCTTGGTACATATTGGCAAGGAAAGGCTTTTCTTGCTATTGAGTATCAGGCATCATATACTGGAATCAAAGCCTCGATATATATTCTCTGTTCCCGTGCGAGTTCTTCGATTTCCGAGTGCCTGCGTCCTACTTTGTGTAGTATGAGGAGATATCGATATCGTGTCCACGTTTGTATCGTTAACATTACTTTGGTTCAGATGTGCCTGAGGAATGCTGAACTAGAGCGTATATATCAAGCCAATGACAGGCTATTTGGTAGAACTGGCCAATTTAAAAGTCTTTTGGACTTTCTTCATATCTTCTAAGCGATGGCAAATTGATAATATCTATTTTGTCTTTTGTTATAAATATCTAAACTAGAAGCGCAAGTGAGCAAGAAACGAAACCAGTTGGAATCCCCATGCATACCGCTGTATATATCTCTAGTCTTACGAGAGGGCTCCTGTATACATAGATGGATTCCCAGTTGAACTGTAAGGAAGAATTCAATGATCCCTTCAGTGTCGCTATTAATATTTCATAACACAATATCGTCCAAGAAATTTCCATACATATGCATATGCAAAAACAATCAAACGAGATGGAGTACATGTCCTTCAACCATAAAACAAATCGAATCAGATTATCCAAAATTTAAAGTAAGTAAAGAAAAGGAATTAGTACTGTCAACGCTCACGACGATGTGAGGCAGCGGCAAGCCGATTAAACAGCAGCTCGGGATGCTCCAAGACCTCCGAGTGCCGACGATGCAGCTCCTCGAGCTGAGTCAGGGGATTCTGTAGACCGCCACAATAAGTATGTTGCGTTGAGGAGAGAAGTAAACGCATCAACCGTGATACCCACCCATTCCTCCTGGCTAGGCACACCCTCGGCAGCAGGGAGGGCGGCCGTACCGGAGGCCTCATCCCCGTAGCTGATGCGGTGGATTGGGGCCGGCGTTACGGGCAGACTGGGGCGCTCGACTTCTGTTGGGAAGTCGGTGATCTTGGCGCTGGGGCGGAAATCTGGGCTGGGGGGTGATTTCCCGGGGCTGTTGGAGTGGGCCCCCGGGCTGGTCACTTGTGATTTTGTGCGCCGTGCTTGGATTGTCTCAATGTAGCGCTGGATCTCTGGATCCTCGTCCCAGGCGTTGGAGCGGGTGTATGTTTGCCATGATTCGGCACTAGGTTCGAACGGTACCCGAGTGTAAGAAGGTGAGGGTCCGGGAGGGGCTGGCTCACTTGGGAGTGAATTTTGCTCTTGTTCCTCGGGTATCACGGGGGTTTCCACTAACTCCACAGGTGCCTCCTCGGCGAAGATGCGGGTGGGTTTCGGGGCATGGTGCTCCCAGGGGAAGACTGTGGTAGGTTTGGGCTCCGGTTTGGGCTCCGGTTTGGCTGGAACCTCATACCACATGTTTTTCGGTGCCTCGGGGTAGGACGACGGGGGTTGGAATAGATGGGTGTCTTCAGACATATTGTAGGTTTTCTGTTGTAAACTGAAACCTTCGGGTTTCGTGTTGACCGGGGGTGGCTCTCTATGGGATATTAGCACTGTAGATGATACTGAGGGATAAGCTCTTACCGTGAGGGATCCCACTCGGACCTTGGCGCCTCAAAGGTCGAAACCTCTGGGACCGGAGATGGGGGTGATTGATACTCGACAATTGGAGGGATCGGCGCCAGGGGCTGTGGTTGGTGAATATGGCCATCGGGGTAGTGTATCTGTGCCTGTGTCTGTATCGGCAACTGTGTCTGGGTTTGTATCTGTGTCTCGTATGTTTCGTGGCTCAGTTGAGGCGCAAAAGTGATTGGCGCAGGAGGCAGTGGTGGGATATAGGTTGAGACATGCTCCTCCCCGCGAACATATTGCGGTACCATGCTCAATACAGGCACGGCAGCATATCGTACATTAGCAGGGGCAGAGTGGTCCTGGTGCGGTTCTGAATGGCCGTGCTCGATTGCCGGTGCTTGGTGTGGTTCCTCGTGGAAGCTGGCGGGTTCTTCAACATGGTAGGGCTGCCGTTCGGACGTTGGATGTGTTTCATAATGAGGAGTGTTGTCATAACGAAGGGTGTTTTCATGAGGGGTGTTGTCATAATGAGGAGTATGGTCAGAACGAGGAGGGTGGTCATAACGAGGGGCATGGACTTGTTCGCCTTGAGCCAATGCCGTCTTTGCAATCTCAGCTGGTGCGCTCGGTACCTAGAAATGTCAGTCCACGTCTTCATGATGTTTCATACCACTTACAAATGGCAGACGATAGTGTCTATCGTAGACAGCCCACCACCGGCCTAGAAGCTGATTGTACGGGGACTCCAGCGGGACAATCTGCCTCGGCATATTCCATGGCTTCTGAGCACCAATGAAATGAATAAGACTGATGGTACTCTGGAAATGCTTGTACGCAGGAATGTACTGGTAATTGGCACTTGGCGTGCAGTTATACGTGAAGCTTAGCCTATGCCAGTCCCGGAAATGCATGTTCAGCAGACCCTGGTCGGCGCCATCGAAGCTGATACCTCGTTGGGCGAGCGCTCTTAGCGCATAGTAGTCCTGTAGATTAGGTCGGAGAACCATCATTCCACTATTAAAGCAATCCGGCCAACCCACGTCAGGCGCGGCAGCAAAGTCTGCTTCTAGTGACAACAGCTCATCGGGGGCTCGAAGAGCTACGACATCACAATCAATGTACACGACCCGCTGGTATTGCGTCAGGCGCCAGAGCTCGATCTTAGTGAATGTGGCAATCAGGTCTGGGCGGTCCATGAGCCAGAGATTCGCCGGCGTGTCGTTCACCATTGAGCTCACTGGGATCAACTCGTCGTAGATGGTCTAATCTGTAAGACAAAGGTATAGTTTGGGGAATGCTGTACGTACCCTTAGCTCGTCGATGGTGGTCGATTGTAGTCTGTCTGGCGTAAAGAGCGCCACCAACCTCGCTTTTGTACCATTGTCGCGTAAGGAATGGGCAAGGACCATAGCACCTATAGATATTTAGAATAATTTCACATTCCACATGAATGAGAACCCACCAGGAAGATAATTGTCACTCAACAGAAGCTGTCTCATCATCAGTTTACGCCATAAGCATAGGAAAGGGGGGTAAAATACCGTGCAGTAGACTGCTCCTCCATTGGAATCCATCACGCCACAGTTCCAACAGCCAAAAGAACGACCGGGCGCCCGATAAATTCTGGAGCAGAGAATAAAACCCCTCAAAAGAAGAAGAGCTGCCGGTCTATATTTAACCTGTCAATTGCCAATGACAGTTCAGACCGGTAGAGCGCGATACACCGACTGTGGTACCTGAACCGGATGCAGATTCGAGGGGGGACGAAAACAGGAGTAAATTTTTTTTCCACTACATCCATGGATGTTGTGTAAGGTTGAATGAGATTGAGAGAAAGTGGCAAGTAAAGATTCTTAAAGTAAATGGAAAGCAAAGGCCGAGATGTAGGCAAATTAAGGTCAAAGCTCCCGAGGGGAAAAAGTGGATTTGTTTCCCGCCATCCGGGTAAATCATCGATCCCGCTGAAAGCATTTCTCTGATATAATTTCTTCCCTTCTCTTCAATACTTTATGTATTCTACATTCTATGTGCTCTGTTTTTATCTCATAAAATATACATTGAATCCATCTTCTCTAAGTGGTCTAACATGGTCTAAGTGAAACATCAACCTTCACCCTAACCGCTTTGGATCGAGTTGCCCCCCGCATTAGGATAACGTTGAATATCAAAATTGTCCAACTTATTGCCTATGTTTATCGTGAAAAAGTGACCTCGACACCAGGGTAGGATTCAGCGATGACCGTCTCAATATCCCCTTCTTCACCTTGAGCAGCCCATTCAACAGCCTTGATCAAAGCTGCGCCGCTCTCACGTTCAAGCGGAGTCCAATGCCCAGTACGGGGAAGCAGCACGATCTGGGATCCCTGCACCAAGTAATCACCCATTCCATCAAGGCAGATCCTCTGGTCAAGAGCAATATCATCCTTGCCCCAGAAAATGGTCGCGCTAGCCTTGAGAGCGCCCGGGGGACCTTCATCAAACAGCCCAGCACCGCTGCTCGCCAGTCGCTTTCCGGGTGCAATGCTGTGCAAGCTAGCAACCGTCTCAATGGACTTGACCCAGCGCGCCGTCGCCGCCCGATCACGGTAATAAGCCGCCATGTGCATGACATGTGCGAACGCGCGCTCGCTGAGGCTGGCGGGATAGGCATCACCGCTGGGAGTCTTAGTATCCGATTCTGCGGCGGACGGACCCATGGTGCTAGCCATGCTGTTGGCCACGTCGAGGGGGGTATATTCGTCCTTGTTGTACGAGGTGAGGTGGCAACTTCTCAACAGTGACTGGTTGCCTCCGGATAGGAGATAGTAGACAATTGGCGTTGGGAGCTGCATGGCAAAGATATAGCCGGATAGAACAAGCTGGCGGGCGAGAGGGGTGAGGGTTCTGAGTGCTTGCATCAGCGGGACGCGGGAGTGCAGTGGTGAACGCCAGGCGTTACCGAGCGACTTATTGGCCGAGAAAAGCAGACGGCGGATATTGGATTCAACCAATTTCATCTGAATCGTTAGTTGAGATAGGATATTCACCGGTGTTCTGACATACTGATGGTCCGTTGGACAGGATGAACCGATGTGCCAGAGACGGAGCTTCGGCAGCGAGACGCATGGACAAGACACAACCCCAATCATGGGCGACAATTATGGTTCTCTTCTTATTGCTTTCGTTGCCTGTGTCCACACCATACTGGGTCCGCAGGGTGACGATCAACTCTGTCAATTTCTCCAATACATTTGTTGCATTATATTCTTCCAGGCTCTCTGTTCCTCCGTATCCGGGAAGGTCAATCGCAACAAGTGAAACGGCCTCTTGCAGAGCAGGGTTTCTGATAATGTGTCGCCAAATCGCCCAGCTATCGGGGAATCCGTGGATGAAGATGACCAATGGTTTATCGGAATTGATGGTTTCCGGTGTGTTCGGGATATCGTTACTGACGAAGTGGAACTTGAATCCGCTCTGCAAGGTTAGAATGTTGTGAGAGAGACCTTTGAAGACTTTTGATAAATCCCACAGTCTCGCGCGAGCTGGAGAGTCAGCAAAGAACTTTCGTGATGGTGAATACAAAGCTCACCAAGCTGTAGGTCTTGTTTCTCGCTTTCAGTGGGGCTTTTGAAGTATGTGCCTTTCGCCAAGGCAATGAGGCCGTAAAGAATAACTGTAAAGAAGCCGTAGACAAAGACAGCCGCGCCAATCAAGGCACGGGATAGGGATTTGCCCATATTGAAATCATGTGTTGAAGGAGGGAGATGAAGTCAGTAACCTTGGAATAAATCTAGAGCTGGGGCAAACGGAGCTCCCGAGGTCCACAGGTAGCGTCACACCTGAGTCAGCGATATAAAATGCCCCCTGGGGACCTCCAGGGTCGACGCGGGTACCTACATGTAGTTATGCAGGTACAGAGTATCCATACCCACATATGTAATTTAGATAATAATCAAGATAATCACGATACAAATTCAGGAATATTAGAATGCAATCATATTATGCTGTAAATTGTAGGCAGTTTACAGCTTTTCCCAATCTGTGGAAGACCGAACGCCGCCTCCACATGCACAAATATTATTGGTAGAAAACAGTCCAAGGGAAAGGGGGTATTAACAGAAGTCCAAAAACAAAAAGCCATCATCTCGTCGAAGGAATATATACAGATCAAAGAACGAATCCTAGTTGTTCACGGTTGTCGTCTACCAAGCGACCATACCTGAAAAGTGAGCAAGTTAGCAGAATTCTCTTATAGAATGACGAGGTACTTACTCAAGGAGTAACCGGAAGAACCAAACCTCCAGATCTTCATTTCGTAGGGTCTGCTGTGCCCAGGTCTGGCCCTGCTTGGCGATTTGAAGAGCGGCCTTTTTGCCCTCTTCCTCTGAGGTAAAGTATCGCATGCTCTCAACGTACTCGTTGCCTTTTAAGCTGAGAGGGACGTAATGTACCCAGGGCTTCAGCCACTCGTCGTGCCATTCGCGGAAGATAGCAATCTTGTAGACAAAGCTGTTGCTATGCAAGAAAGCGTGGAAGCGCCCGCTAAAAGCATTGCCGTCAATGTCGACTAGGAACTTGTGCGCCCACGCATCTTGTTGCCCAGCCTGCTTGAACACCCCAAAGTATTCAGTCTGCGCATTGCAGTCGTCCGGGTCGCACTGGCCGATAAGCGTGAACTTGACATCGAAGGAATCACGATAGGCGTCCCGGTTGGTGACCTGTGAAACCCAACTGTCCCCCTGGTGAGCGAGAACTTTGGTGGTGCCTAAGGCGTTGACGTTGTCGACAAATTGCTGCCGATGCTGTCGGCGCCAGCCACCCGCGCGCGAAAAACCACCGGTTGTAGAGCCACGCCAGTACATTCGGTCGGATTTGGCCTCCCATGCATAGTCTTTTTCAGTATCGTAGGGGACCTTGTCGGCCCAGTACCAGGGACTCGGGTAAATAATGTCCTGGAAGCTGGAGATCTTGCTCTGCGAGAAGACGGGGAACAGATCGTGGACGACATCAAAGGCGTTGGGTCGGTCGAAGAATCCGTATGTATGGCGGAGAGAGGGGGTATTGCAGATGTCAGAGGCTGCCGTGGTGTTGTAGATGAACCCGAGTTCGCCATACGCATAGGGATCAACGTCGTCGGGGGGATTTTCGTCGAGTGAGCGCGATGGGCTATCAACCGGACAAGATACTCGGGAGTTTGTCCAGGTCGGTTGGTGTGCGAAGCGGTTGAAACGAGTGGTGCGCACCTCGTCGATGCGGTCGCCTTTGTTTAGGTCTGAAGCACGTGGGGACCACGCATTGGTCGGGGTTTTCTTGAACGCTGCTGGGATAGCGAAGTCCTTGGCTTTCTGCACCAATCGCTGGAGGTCTTCGCTAGGAAGGATCACGCGCGGCTCGTCGTGAGTGTTGAACACTAGGTCCATGTCGGGCAGGTATTTCACAAAAGCAGCCATCATACCGGCTGTGGCGTCTCGCTGCCACTTGCGGTCGTCACCCCCTCCATCCGTTAAGGACACCTTACCGTCGCGAATCAGAACACCCAGCACCGCATTGTCAAATCCGAGTGTCTCGCGCGCCCGTTCGCGAATCGTCCTAGGTTTCACACCCCAAAAGGGGAGGAGGGTGTGGTAGATGGAGTCGAAATCATCGACGAGCTGTACATTTCTTGACTTGGCAAACTCGAACCACTTGTCGAAAAATGGCGGCGGGTGCATATTATAGCGGCGCTGGTATTCACTCACGGCCTCGACCAGGGTTTTTGATTGCCGTGACTGCGCATGATTGAAATCGTGTTGAGCATTTCCAATCAGACGCGTGATCGGGTGTTCCTTCTCGGGGAGGTATGTGTTCTGCCCCGCATGGAGCTGAGGGTGTTGTATCGGTTCGGGAGGAGGCAAATCTATGGGCTGCTGCTTTGGAGGGTTCGATGATCGTAGTAGTACGATAGAAAGACAGGCAAGAACACCGATCGCAAGTAATACAATCAACCGTTGGATGCGCATGCTGCCATTGGGGAGAGGCATGAAGAAGGAGAGCGAGACTAGGTCTTAAGGAGGGTTTCCATGAGTCTAGAGTTGACCTCGGGCTATTAAACTTATCCGCCAAGCCTTTCTAACGTAATCGTCACAATCTAACTAGTTAACTATGAACCGTTACAAGGGTTTAAAAGACAAAGACTATCAATAATATTATAATATGGCGATTTTATTTGTGTGGCCCCCAATTCCCTGAAGGGGCCAATCTACTAGTATGTGGCGTTGCCCGGCTGCAGGGGAGGTACGCCATAATCTATTCATATACGTGTCACCAAAGTGCTTTGACTACAATGATGTACATCGTGTTACAGAAAACCAAGAATATCGTTCAAATATTGGTTGGTAGAAAGATTTTTAACCCATGAAGCAGTAGTAGATCTGTCTACTTTCGAGTATACATCAAAAGAGTACATAACTAGTTCATGTGAACTAACTATGTATGTACACAATATAATTTGTACCCCTTGATCTCTCTACATACTCACTTTTTGTTGCTTCTATCACTAAGGGGGGGGGGGGGGGAAAGGGGTTAAATTTCATACATGTAGGTCGATATCCTCTCAGAAACAAGAAGTACAAAACGAAATAATATATCACAAGTTATTGTTTGATGGAACCTTGGAAGTAAGTAAGGCATTAGACTAAGCTATTTTCCCCCATGAATGGATGAATGAGATTCATGCTACATAAGCTTATATATAACATCACCAGAGCCAATATTAAGATGCGGACCAAGGGAATTCTTTTAAAAAAGAACTATTATGCATGTTATATTTCCTCAGCTAACACTAACATAGCGCCCAAGAGCACACCCAATTAAGCACAGAAGCTGCTAAAGTCTGCAGAATGTACTTCTGCGCCTGCCTAACATGGGAGTAAGCCGCAATACACAATAATACCACCAAAGACACATGACCGAAATAAAACATCTTCCTGCGTTCTTGAAAGGTTCCTTGAACAAGCCAAGTTTGGAGTCCCTTCCTCTGGGAAGCAGGTCGCATGAAGAGAACAAGCAGCACCGCAGAGAATATCGCGACCAGGCCACATTGGACGTCTAAGTCTTGGACTCGCTTGAAGAGCAATACACCAAATTCAGGATGGCTGGATTGCACGAAGAACAGCGTATACAGCGCGGCGTGAGCCAACAGAAGAGAGACAACCGCCCGACCAAAGAGACGGTGGTACGGTGTCAACACTGGCTGAGGGATACCGGTCAGAAGGGACAGTACAGATGAGGCTGCCGGTTGAGAGATGTATGCTGGAGACATCAGAACCTGCAGTGGCAGTTGGGACAGGCCAACTTGGCCCAATGCTTTGGTCAAATGGAGGTAGTCTGGTATGTTAGCTCGTTCCTCAAACCCACCGGGGTCGAAGACATACCATTACCACTGTTCCATATCGAAAGGCCTGAAAGCCATAGTAGCCACAGCCCGCAGACAAGATACTGTCGGGTCTTTCCAGAAACCAGGCCATCCCGCTTAACGGTTGATCTCGTAGCAAAGCGAAAAATTCGAATGGCGACGATGACCACAACAATTGACCATTGTGCGTAATACCCTCGAAGATCAAGCAGCTCCCTGCGATGCAGCATGTCATCTTTGGAGAGAGAAATGAACTGGTACGGCCACGACATGGCGACTGAAGAATGATCTAAATGAGGGTTTCTGTAGAATCACAAGTCAATTGACATGCCGGTGAGATGAAGCGCGGTTCAAAAAAGCATGTTTAGGATGTTGATATTTGAAAAGTAAGTAGTCCAACCATGGATGGATGTGCATGGATGCCCCGGGCCCCCCTCCCTGGACCGGCCCCAGGGGAGTCGCATTTTGCTGACAAATGAATCGCAAAAGCCCTGGAGTCCTACGTAGAGGTCCAGCCCCCCTGGGCTAGCTTAAAGCCCTATTTTTACTGTCTAGTATGCATGTGCTATATGGGTTTACATGCACCGAAGGTCTTGAGTTGCGCATTTGCTTTTGACTACCTACCCTGGCTAAACGTTATGTAAAACCTCTACATTAAAAACGCCTGAAAGAAAAGGACGCTTGGTTATTCTTTAACCTGATAGGATGCCTTGTTGGGCATTGGCCGAACAAGTGCATAGTCTAAGGAGAGGTCTGCATCTCATCCTGATTGCCACCAGCAGTCGTAGCAAAGTATCGGACATCCACATCGTCATCCTCCTGCAACTTCTCCAGGCTGGGCACAACCCTTGTCTGAATCAACTCCAGGCTCTGGGGTGATGGCGCGATAGGTTCTTCGGACTTCTCCACCTCAACCAAGGTCTTATCGGCCGGCAGACGACGCAGTGTGGCGATGAGAACGGCGTAGGACTTGGCGACGTTGAAGCGGATGTTGGGGATTTCATCTGTCACTAGGCGTTCCAGGATAGGGAGGAGAGAGTTCTCAATAATTTCGAGGTTGACAACGGGAGTGAGAGTCTGATAATTAGCATTGATCGATTTAGTAAGGGAGAAAACTTACAGAAACGGCAAAGCACGTCGTCATGCGGTAAAGATAGTTAGGGTGTTGACCCATGGCCATCACCTTGGGAATGATAGAAGCTTTTGACCACTCCACGCCGAATACCTCTGTCAGTTTCTTCAAGTTCTCAGTGGCAGCTTCTCGGATGGAGAAGACAGTGTCTCCGAGCCAGCCCATGCAAAGATCGCTCAGCTGCTCGTCAAAGAACTCGACTCCAAGTTGACTGGCAAGGAGTGGAATATATTCAATGATAGCAAGGCGAACACGCCATTGCTTATCCTCGGCCAGTTGAACAATGGCGGGAAGAAGAGACTGGGAGAGAAGCTGGATACCAATGACTATAAAAGGTTAGAAGACATACATTAAAGAAAAAAACCAAGGACGCCTACCTTTGTTGACTTGCTCGAGCTTCGAGATGATGTGGAGTCGGACGTCGGGGAATTCATCCTTAAGCATCTGGAGGAACATGGGGAGTAGGTGGGCGATAGTCCTGGACGGTCAGTATAGTTATTGAGAGCAGATAGGCAGGATACTTACTCCTCCTTGCCCAGGATAGGCGCGAGCCCGCTGATTTGAGTACCGAGGGAAGCCCGGACGTGCTGAGAGGGGTCAGAGACAAGGTCTTCAACGCTGGTCATGATCTCATTGAGGAGTGTGTCGCGGTCGATCAAATGGCAGAAGCCTGAATGTGTTAGTCAGGTATCAACTATACATCATTGAGGTATCATACCAGGAATTTGGCCAGCAATTGCGGTGCGAACCTCGGCCTCTGTATCTTTGAGGAGCTTGACAAAGGCAGGCACCATGTCACGGGTGACAACCTCTTCGTGGACAGCTTTGGCGATCTGCATACATTAGCGTCGCCCAATAGTCTGAAATTCGGCAAAGGCAATGTACCTTTTCATATCGATCGGCAACCATGTATCGGACTCTCCAGCTCTTATCCTCAAAGAGATTCCGCAGAGATGTCAACAAGACGCCATGGCTGGGTTGCTGTTCTTTGGGAATTTCCTCCGCAATCGCAATAAGAATGTCAACTGTAAGCAGACGGACGCTGTCCTGATCATCGCTCGCCAAGTATTGGAAGAGGGGAATTATTTCATCGATGACGACCTGGCTTTGCATTTCCTTGACAAACTTGGCCAGATTGTTGGCCGCCTGTCGCCGCACCATCGGGGTTTCATCGTGTACCAGAGTTCCAAAATGCGTTTGGAGGCTCTGTTGCAACGCCGCAGTAGACTTCTTGTATGGTGTGGAGTAAAGACCAGTCGCAGAGACCTTCGAGGTGAACCAGTCTGCCTTTGACAAGCGGAGGACTAGCGGGACAAAATACTCCTCAACTTGGCTCTCCGAGAGCTGCTCGCATACCTTGTTGAGAGATTCAACGGCCTGAAACGTCAGCATGCGCCTCAAAAACTTTCAGCTGGTGTGGTACCTTTTCCCGCACCAACGGCTCCTCGATAGCCGCCAAATTCTCCAGCGGGGAGAGCAACACGTGCCCGTGTTCTGGGCCCCCAACATATTCTGTAAAATTACCCAGCTCTTCACTCAGCGCAGTCAAAACTTCGTCCTCGTCCTCGACGGAATCTATCATTGTTAGACGGGGGTGCTAGGCGATTGAAGGCTGGACAAACCATCAAGAAATGGGATGAGCTCCTCCCGGGTTCGGTCGGGCCCAAGTGCAAGCGCGATCGTGGATAGACGGTGAATGGCATTGAGTCTGAGAAGGACATCATCGTGCTAAAGAAATGTGAGCTCAATATTGTCTGCACGACTGGAGGGAGGCCTACCTTCAACTCGTCAATGAGCACGGCGATGGGGTAGAGCTCATCGTTCTCATTCTGGCCCTCCATTGTGGATTTGGATATGTATTAAGGATACGCGACGAGTCCGGTCCTGAAAGGGAAGAGGGTGGTGTTGGACCTGACAGCGATTCGGCAGAGAAGGTGTAGGAGGCAATGGGATGGCTGATAAGGATTAGTTCCGACTTCGCGAGATGGCAAGGGGATGGATGGTGGTAGAGTGAGGGTGGGGTTTTGGGCCGCATGGACACCTTCAGCAGAAGCATACCTCGACAATTGAAGAGTACCTTGATCAACAGCAAATTAATAGATTTGATACAAGTTCGTAAAGAGAAAAGAAAATAAGCCCCCTTCGATGATGCAGTAACCGGAGCAGGGCAAGTCGAGCTTTGAGTGTTTACTGGTGTAAATTACATACTGGCGGTGTGCGCATAAACTTTTGAATATGGAGGGGAATTACCATACCGATACCACCGTCACAAAAGAGGGGGGAATCTGTGGCGGTGGTGGCTTGCGGGCAGAATTTCCACCAGCGCAAGAGTCATCCAAGCCTTTGTGCACCGATCACTACTTCCTGAATTTCTGTAAGGGCTTTCCCTATATTCTGTCGGAGTCGCCTACTTTGGTTTCGCTCTGGCTTACCGGACATTTCGCTGATTGACACCAGAATTCGCAACCCCCACCATGCCCACCATCTCGGTCGACAAGGCCGCTCTTTTCCAAGAGTTGGGTCGAGAGTACGTCTCTAGATTTTGTCATTGAACTCTACTGACCTCGCTGCAGGTATACTACGGAGGAGTTTGATGAGCTGTGTTTCGAATTTGGTGGGTTGGCTGGGAAATCCTTGCGGGGCATGACTGACTTTGAATAGGAATTGAGCTCGACGAAGATGTACATCCTCCGAAACCCGATCATACATAACCAATGCTGACCTTTTCAGACTACAAACTCAGACCGCCCTATCGTCGATGGAAAGCAAGAACCTCCGCAACTCAAAATCGAGATCCCCGCCAACCGGTACGCGTGACATCTGAAGAGAACAAATGGAAGAACCCAAACTAAGAGGAGATTAGATATGACTTGCTGTGCTTCGAGGGCATTGCGCTCATGTTGAACATCTTCCTGGGCCGGAACCCCCTGCCCGAGTACAAGTTGACTCAGCCAGCACAGATGGAGCAGATTATTGTCAAGGAAGATGTCAGTACTTCAACACCTACTCTGCTCAGGTGGAGGAGCTCACTGACCAAAATAGACCACGAAAATCAGACCCTACGTCGCTGGTGCTATTCTACGGAACATCAAGTTCGACCAGGCTCGTTATGCCTCCTTCATTGCTCTCCAAGACAAGCTCCACCAGAACTTGGCCCGGCAACGGACCCTTGTTTCAATCGGTACCCACGATTTGGACACTGTGAAGGGTCCCTTCACTTATGAGGCTCTCCCTCCCAAGGACATCAAGTTTACCCCATTGAACCAGACTCAGGAGATGGATGGCGAGGAATTGATGAACTTCTACGAGAAGCACCAGCAGTTGGGCAAGTACCTGCACATCATTCGTGACTCTCCAGTCTATCCAGTCATCTACGACTCCAACCGGACTGTTTGCTCTCTGCCACCCATTATCAACGGTGATCGCTCGAAGATCAGCCTGGACACCACCAATGTTTTGATTGAGGTCACAGCCCTCGATAAGACAAAGCTGGATATTGTGAGCAAGATGATGGTCACTATGTTCTCCCAATATACCTTGGAGCCGTTCACCATCGAGCCCGTCCAGATTGTGTCTGAGCACAACAAGGAGACTCGCGTGACCCCCGACATCGCTCCCCGCACCGCTCAGGCTGAAGTCTCGTACATCAACCAGTGCTGTGGCTTGAGCCTCAGCGCCGCCGAGATCTGTACTCTTCTCACAAAGATGGCCTTCCGCGCCAAGCCTTCGACCACTTCCTCAGACATCATCGACGTGGAAATCCCTCCAACCCGTGCCGATGTTCTCCACCAGTGTGATATCATGGAGGATGTGGCCATTGCCTACGGCTTCAACTCGCTGCCCCGCGCGTTCCCCGATATCTCCGGCACAGTCGCTCAACCTCTCCCCATCAACAAGCTTTCCGACATTGTTCGTGTGGAGACTGCCATGGCCGGTTGGTCAGAGGTGTTGCCGTTGATTTTGTGTTCGCATGATGAGAACTTTGGCTGGTTGAACCGCAAGGATGACGGAAACACCGCTGTCAAGCTGGCGAACCCCAAGACTCTTGAGTTCCAGGTTGTCCGTACCAGCCTGCTCCCAGGTCTGCTCAAGACCATCCGTGAGAACAAGCACCACTCAGTTCCCATGAAGATCTTCGAGGTCAGCGATGTTGCCTTCAAGGATCTGTCTCTGGAGCGCAAGAGCCGTAACGAGAGACACTTTGCTGCTGCCTTTTACGGTAAGACTAGTGGATTCGAGATTGTCCACGGTCTTCTTGATCGTATCATGGCCATGCTTAAGACCGACTTCCTCGCCGAGGGCGAGACCGCCACGGGCGACTCGTACTATATCAAGGAACTAGACGGTGTGTACCCCCTCAAACCCGACTAGAAGATTTTCTAACTGTGTAGATCCCACCTACTTCCCCGGCCACGCTGCTTCCATCCACGTCCGTATTGGCGGCAAGGACCAGGTTATTGGCTCGTTCGGTATTCTGCACCCTACTGTGCTCGAGAAGTACGAGTTGAAGTACCCAGTCAGTACACTGGAGCTGAATGTCGAGGCTTTCATGTAGAGCAAACGGGCTTACAGATGAGTGGCTGTTCTTCTGATAGAGTTATGACCAAAAGCAAAAAAAAGTATATAAATCCAAGAAGATCCCAGTAAATGACATGTCAGAAAGGGGCTTGCATTTGCCATTCACCGTGCAGAACGCCTTTCAATACGAAGTACAGGTCGACTGAAAAGAATATGTAATTGAACATAAAGTACAAAGGGGGGTATCCGAAAGGAACAGTCTTAGCTGTCAGAAGAGAGTTTCCAAGCCTTAGGTAACGTACAAGGTGAACACCCCCCACAATGTAGCGTTAATGATAAAGGGTATTGACAAGACTACTTCTGTCCATCATCGAGCCGCTGACCGCGAAACGAATAATAGTTGGTCTGTTTGATGTGCCTGGCCTTGCCAGTTCGTTCATCGTAAATGCCAAATCCATGGATTGCGGCGTTGGGTGGTGTGTAAACTGATCAATTAGCCGTGGCTCCATTCATTTTCACAAAAGATTACATACGATGAAGTGAGATAGCAAAGTTGTCCTGGTCTGGATTGGATATCCGATGCAGACCAAGCTTGTCAGACATGTAGGTGACCTGGTTTTCGCCATAGGTTGTTTGCTTGGTGAGCTGTGGTGGTGAACTTTGGCCATTCTCGATCTGCTCTTGGTCGGGCCATGAGTATAGATCTTCTTGCAGTTTGCCTTTTAGGACCTATTCCAAATTAGCTTCTACCTATCTGTCAAATCAAAGAGAACGTACCTTCATCACGCAGTGTGCGTTGGCATGGTCATGAATCGTACTCCCTTTCCCAGGGCTCCATACGAGAATCAGCTGAACGAGTCAGCCAAGCAATCGTTGAGGGGTGACAATTGCCATACCAAGTTACTCTTGCCATTTCCCTCATCAATAAGATTCCGTGTGTATGTCCTACTCGCGTCGCCCAACGCATATGAAGCCCATTCATCTGAATTCGAGACATATTTCTCCATCAACAGTTGTATCTCTATGGGATCGACATCTCTAGAATCCAGGCCTGAGCTTGGGCCTAGCGCAGAGCTAAGGTCCCCCACGAGCTTCTCAAAGGCAGGTTTCTCGGTGATCGATTCGGACCCGTTGAGGAATGGCATGATGAATGAGTGTTGTGCTGGGCGCCTTTGGGATGGAGTCTATGTAACGAGGAAGCGGTATCGGAAGTTGGCCGAATGACGAAATCGAAAGTGTATCCACCACAACGGAGAAATGTAAACTAGGATGGAAGCTTGCACGAGACGTGTATTTTAATTATGAACCTCGAGACTAAGTAGAGTAATACAATATTCACAAGTACCCAGGTATGTAGTTGCCCTAGTGGTGCAAGTTGCAAGTTGCAATTTGGCTATGATAGCGATAAGAATTGATGCCTCAGGCAATCAATGACATACTTGCCCTCGTCGCCTTAGGCGCACACCCCGCCCTGACTAAAAACTGCGGTGCCACAATCCAAAAGATTGTCGAGTCGCCGGTGCATTTCTCCTTCAAAACCTGTCGCTCAACTCGCTGCTTCTTAGTGAGGGACATACATTAAGTCCCTTGGTATTGGCGATTCTCAATCGTTTCTTTTATTGATTTTTTGATTGCTGGGTCAAATCGCCAAAATGTCGACCACTATTGAAAAGGTGAGTGCGGTCAAGATTTTCGAGCATAGCACCAAACACATTACTAACAATGCTTTTGTACAGATCAAGGAGGTCGAGTCCGAGATGGCTCGGACTCAAAAAAACAAGAACACCTCGTATCACTTGGGTACGCGCACACCGACGACTTTTCACCGATGACGTCTTCTGACAATATGCAGGACAACTGAAGGCGAAGCTTGCTAAGCTCAAGCGTGAACTTCTGACCCCGACTGGAGGCGGTGGCGGTGGTGGATGTGAGTATCTCAGACCTGAATACTCTGCTAGGTGCAAAGTGCTAACCTGAGATTAGCTGGCTTCGACGTTGCGCGTACTGGTGTGGCCAGTGTGTAAGTTACCCGAGAAGATTGCGATCGCATACGCTTACAAGTGCAGTGGTTTCATTGGTTTCCCGTCCGTCGGCAAGAGTACACTGATGAATAAATTGACTGGCCAACATTCAGAAGGTTCGTTAAGACCTCTTTCACAAACGATTTCTCTAACACCCTCTAGCCGCGGCCTACGAGTTCACAACCCTCACAACTGTCCCCGGTCAAGTGATGTACAACGGCGCCAAGATTCAGATGCTCGATCTTCCAGGTATTATCGAAGGTGCCAAAGACGGCAAGGGTCGTGGTCGACAGGTTATTGCGGTGGCCAAGACTTGCAACCTCATTTTCATCGTTCTTGACGTGAACAAGCCATTGGTTGACAAGCGAGTCATCGAGAACGAACTGGAGGGCTTCGGCATTCGCATCAATAAGAAGCCTCCCAACATTGTGTTCAAGAAGAAGGACAAGGGTGGTATCGCCATCACGAGCACTCAGCCATTGACTCATATCGACAACGATGTAAGATCGATTTCTCACATTGCCTTTGATGAGTACTAACAAATCCCAGGAAATCAAAGCTGTAATGGGCGAGTATAAGATTTCGTCCGCTGATATCTCCATCCGATGTGACGCCACCATTGATGACCTGATTGATGTCCTGGAAGCCAAGAGCCGCAGCTACATCCCCGTCATTTATGCGCTGAACAAGATCGATGCTATTTCCATCCAGGAGTTGGATTTGCTGTACCGGATTCCAGACGCCTGCCCAATTAGCTCGGAGCATGGATGGAATGTCGACGAGCTGATGGACATGATGTGGGAAAAGCTCAAGCTGCGCAGAATCTACACGAAACCCAAGGGCAGAGCGCCCGACTATACAGCACCTGTCGTGCTGCGTTCTTACGCATGCACAGTCGAAAATTTCGTAAGCATTGCCCTCACCTTTCTAAGAATCATACTAACGAACCAGTGTGACTCTATTCACCGCACAATCAAGGACGATTTCAAGCACGCCATTGTGTATGGTCGCTCAGTGAAGCACCAGCCGCAGCGAGTCGGTCTTTCGCACGAGCTTGGTGATGAAGATATCGGTAATTCTACCAAATGAAAAACGAAACATGAATTTCAAAGCTGACCAGCTACAGTGTCGATCGTCAAGCGGTAAAGGATTTATGCCAACTCCTTGACCCTCATAGCCCGAAGCGACGAGATGATCCAAGCGCTGGGGTGGTCTGTGCCAGCATGTCTTTGCGCCTCCGCGATCTGACAGGCGGTTTCTGGCACGTCCGTAAGACGCCACCGGATCCGAGCGTGGTTGGATAGACTCGTTCACGGTAACATCATTAGGGGGAAAGTCTTTGAGTCTACCTTTTAACATCAAGATTGGCAGTCATGCACAGTGTTGCTGATTTTTGGTGCATCTCAAGGTATAGCTTGACTTGATTTGATGAACTCGAGTTAGGCTTCAGGAGTTACACAAGCCCAGGGGCACGCACGAGGCGAATAGCCATGGGGTCTTTCTGATATTCTTGGCACCTTTGGCAGTTTGTGGCCCTTGAAGCGACCAGTCCATATTGTTATGATTACCCTTTTTTTTTCATGGTCGAGGTTCTTTGTCCATCAGCGCAAAAGTTCAGATATTTTATGGCATTCTTGTATTGTCTTAAAAATAAAAGCCACTCTAAACCGTCTGCTCGTTCTTACATAACGATTCCAACCTGGAGAAAGCCACAAATCGCCTTCTCTATATAAAACATAAATGATTTATCATGTCAGACCAATCAGCTCCCCTGGTCAGATCGTATTACTTCAGTACTTGACAATTGATGCAGCATCATGCGACTCCTTATCGCCCTATACATAACAGTCCCTACGATGTACAGATCCGAGGACGCCTGCATGGACAATTTATTTCGACGACATTCCGATTGGCATGTTCCCCTTGCCATTACTTCCCGTCCTGCACAGCATCCTTGCTAGTAATTCTAATGTTTATAAGATTTTCGCCCGTGGCTTGATTTCTTTGTTTGCATTGCTTTTTCTCTCCCAATCCTTTTACTTTCGAGGCTGACGAGTCAGGCCACAAAGGCCTAGGCCTCTCTGTTTGCTAATGCCGATCACAGTCCGTATTTTTACTCCGTAGCTGTCAGCTCGAAAGCTCCGGGAAAAAAAGGAACTCGATAGCTTCGACGGAAGAGCCGGAAAGGCAATTATGGTCTGCATACCTCCCGTACTCCATACTCTGGCGCAGAGAAGGGCCGCGACTCAACGCACTGACCTAATGCTAATAGCTTAACGGTGATCATGACGGGGTCGCGTATATTCGAAAGCCACGAGAGCTTCGGGTTGTAACCATTACATGTTTAATAAACCCGGCATTGGCAGTCTAGCTTCCGATAGGTCCAAGCAAGTATAATACCTAGAGAATGATAGAGGAGAGATCAAAATGGATCTGTCAACTGACTAGCACGTTTTTCCCAATCTCTTGGCTTCTGGCCTGCAACTACTTTCCGAAATTTGAGAGAGAAAAAAGTACAGATCTGCGCAGGATTGACATGCAAACTAACAAAAATATTTCAACCAAACAGAAAAAAGCAAAAAGTGAGGCAAGGCATAAATGATTTTTAAGAAAACAAGCGGTGAATGAGAGAGATATTGGTCGAATTGCGAACGTTTATCTGATTTCCCATCTAGGTACTCGGTAAAAATGGTATATTATAACATTGGAGGTAGATTCTTTGCCCAATGGGGAGTTCTTGTGGTCTACTGAGTCTGGTACGCTACTAAGTAGTTCTCATGAACCTCTGCGGAGACAACAAAATAGTTCTAGTGAGGTGGAGAATCTCCCGCAAATCGCCGATTTAGTGAAAACGAGAAAGGGGGCTGTTCACGATCTGGTCCGTTCTCAGATGCAAGATCGGCGTATGGAGGGCGTATATTAATTTCTTGTATAGTGGTAACCTCTTCATCAGGTGACTGTGAGTGCACCGATCGCCCGCATCCCTATAACGTACGTTGTACATTTTTGCTCTCGTGGAGGATCCATCGGTCATCCCCGTCGCATTGCATTGCATAAGCCATGCTCTTCCCCAGAGTAGCGAAGCATTTTTACTCTGTTTCCTTGGTCTTCTATGGTGTACGAACTTAGATACTGGTCCGTTTTATTAACATACATATGTACCTACGCTATGTAAAGCGGGAATAGTATTTACCAATGCCATACTCCCCCCATACCATTAATTTTTCTAAGAGACAATTCTATTAATTATGCACAATTCGACTTCCCGGAGATACCTCGGATAGAATTAGAACTGCAACAGGCCTGTCAATCGGTACCTGACTCGAGTAACACTAACCCTTGTTACCCTCAGGAAATTTCTCCCCGGAGCTTGAAAATGACAGCCAAGGATGACGGACCAAATTGAAAGAAGCAAATATATGAATTGGCCCGGGAATTTCAATGTTGACCGGTCTAGACTTGTTCCTGCTCCATCTCCGAAATAGTGGAAACAAGTGAAAAGCAAAGGCCTTGCCCTAAAAAGATGGAAATCTCTCTCCAATGGCGTCAGCCCAGCTGGATCTACCCCGAATTCCCTAAAACCCATTATTACTAGCGAACACGATTTCCGTTTAATTAAAAACTGTGCTAAAATTAAAATCTTTTAAATTTCGGCACACATTTCTTTTGTTTCTGTTGATTTAACTGGCGCAAAGCAAAAAGAATCTGACGGCAGCAAGCATAATGATTGGTACTGCGACCAAATCAGTAACGGAGTGGACTGTCAAACATACCAATTGAAGCCCTCTCTAGTCCACGGGTGTTGGGGATAATTTGTCAGACCTCTCTAATACCTTTGTTTTTGCTTTTGCTTGATTCTTTGTTCGTTCAGACACATTCCATCCCGGCAGGTTTCGAGAACGAATCCTTCCAAGTGTCTGTACTAACGCAGGCTGATTTCACATTCGGCTTCCTCGTGGTGAAGTCGAACAAGCGGGGTCTCGTTGGATATTTGGGTAGTATCCAACTAGACTGCGTCCAAATGAAGAATACCCGTTCTATAGCAGAGCGTATTATATGTTGTAGAAGCCCGTCCTACGGTCATCGGTTAGTACTACCTTGATAGTCAACCTCCACTTCGTACCCATCCCGTTGCTCTATCTTCTAGAGTCTACATCTGTTCTCTTCTACCTCTTGTTCTCTCAATTGGACTATGTTCAACATGCAAGATGCAAAGAAATGTTGAAGGTTCCCGGGCCGGAGGGGACCGCAGTGGGTCGTAGTGGAGAAAAGATGACTGGATTTTAGTGCCAAAAAAACCGCATCGCAATGGGGGAAGTTCCCCTCTTTCCACCAAGAGATGCCGTTTACGCCTTGTGATAGGACCATTCTCCAACCCACTGTTCGGCCCTTGTATTGGATGGACCAGGTCGTATCAACCGCAGGGCAACGGAGACGGCAGATTCGTCCATCCAAAGATCATCCTGCTGCTCCTCATTTGCTCGTTTTTAGCCGTGTCATCTCTCGTGGATGTCTAATGCGGTTCATATTCTGAACTCCCAAGTTAGGATCCGCCTTCCCACATAATATCGCCCCAATCTGGTAACGTTTCCTTCTATGGACTGTGTTCAATCCGTCCAATCTATTCCGTAGGGATTTGCTCTCTCTTCCTCCCTCTCTCTCGGTCCCCTCTGCTCTGCTTTATGATTTGCGTTCACTAGAGATTAAGACCCCTCGGACCCGGTTTCTTCACCTCCACAACGTGAACCGTGCCCCGAAATACATCCTATAGGGACAGGAATTTGGATGTCGGATCTCTGATTCAACGAGTTTGCTTTTTGGCCAAAATGAAGATATCTCCAATGAAGGGCTTTTTCCACGGGAGGATAGTCGATAGTTTGCCTGCCGCTATCCTCTTCCCGGTCCACCCTGATCGCCGTCCTGGCCTGAGATGTGCATGGATGTCATGCGGGCTTTAGGTTCAGCGGTTTATCGACCCGCTACCCGGCTTTGAGCAAACCAAGCTACAAACTGGGCTGCGCTTTGAACGAACCCCGTTCTTCTCCGGATGATCAACCCTGATTTGACCCAACGCTTCTTGGGAGAGACCCTCAGCCTCGTCAAAGCGACGAGACAACAGCCACCGTGAAGGACTAGACATTTTGTCAAACATCGGTCAAGGTTTCGAGTGAAAACACTAAACGGTCACGCTGTTCCACTATTTTCCAACACAAACCCTTGGTTACCTATATCTGACGCTATGTTGGACCTATATTGAATACCTACCAGGTTATATTGCCAGTATACAACATACTTCGTACCGTCGAGTCTGCCATCCTGGTTGGATGGTCATACGGGAGAATGTAAAGAAGAAAAAAAAAGAAAACAAAAATCCCCAAAAATGTCAAAAAAAAACAAGAACATACCGCGTTAGCCCTGAGAACGAAGATTTCCATACCTTTACACTGTAATACGCAAAACGAATTGGGCCTGACGAGATGCAACCCCTGCCGCAATATATCGCACGGCCAACCAACCAGACGCCGTTCCCCCCTCTATTTACAGGGAAGATTTTGAAATTGCACAAAATTAAAATTGTTATATTACTCTTATAATTCCATTTTTATTATTTTATTATTATTTTATAGGTTTTTCCTTCGGATGGACTTTTTCACTGTATTAACCAATCACCAACCAGTTCGGCTGGATAACTCTTCGGGGGAAGGTTATCATGGATTTCTCCGGACGGTCTTTCTCGTGCCAGTTGCAATCGATATTCACAGTTCTGTCAAATCCACGCGATACTGATCGTCCTAGTCCTGATTTTCCTTTTAACCCCCATTGCCTTACCCGCATGCTTTCTCACCTTCTTGCATATTGTATACTTTATACACTTCCCACCTTCTTTCTACTTCCTTTGCCCTAGGTAGTTTATAGAGCTACCATACTCGGGACATTACTCTCTATCTGGGTAATTTTATACAGGTTTACAGAAGCAGTGGAACATGCATCAGCTTTTATTGTCTTACCCTTAGATTGTTTCATTGTTCCCCGGGATATCTTTTGTCTCTCTTTCTTTGATTTCCTCTCGAATCGAGCCTATCACGAAAAAAAAAACCCCCCCACCAAAGAAAAGCCCTACCTCCATTGTTCCTGAGATCCATTGTCCATGGAGGAGCCCACCATGGAAACGGAGACTCATCATGGGCCAGAGAGCGAATTCCCACATTCGCCATGGGTGGAAATAGGCACATTTGCTTCTCCTCAGCATTCCCCTCCCATGCCCGAATATAGTGGGTTTGACTACGGTCCATCGCAGCTCATGGCTGTGGACTCATATGGCATGTCAATTCCCCCGCCCTACGCCTCCATGCCACTACCCATGCCTTCGCATTCCTGGCCCAGTATGCTCACGACACACTCTCCATTTGCTGCGTCTGGAATAACTGTTTCCACCACCCCGACCTCGGTATCGCCTTCGGCTCCCATGCCTCCAGTGCGAAAGACCTCGACTGGAGGGTCTACACCGCGCAGGACACTTACCGATGATGACCGCCGGCAAATGTGTATATATCACGAGGAAAACAAGACTGCTAAGCAGACTGATATTGGAGGTAAGCATTATCTCTTCATCTGTGTGGAGGGACTAGGCTGACGTTATGTGCAGCATTGTTTGGAGTCGAGAGAAGGTATCATTGCAACCTCGTTTTTTAATCGATTCAATCTAACATGTAATAGCACTGTTTCCAAAGTCCTTCGCCAGAAGGAAAAGTACCTAAACCCCGAAGACGGGAGTCGATCTCCCATCAAACGGGCCAAGGGCAGAGTCCCTGATATTGAGAAAGCTTTATCTAACTGGGCAAGGAACTACCAGCGCCAAGGATATCCTCTGAGCGATGAGATGATCAAAGAGAAAGCACTCTTCTTCGCCAGCACCTGCGGCTGCCCTGAAGGCAAGGAAAAGGTCTGCACCACAGCCTGGCTAGAGAAATTCAAGCACAAGAACAATCTTCTCGGCGCCAAGGTGCGCAGAGGATCTACCGAAATTCGCAGCGGATCAAACAGCCCAACCCAGCTCAATACAGACTTTGGATCTGCTCTTCAAAGTCCTACAGGACCCTCGCCCACGTCTCCCATTGATGGCTTCGGATCCCCATTGTCTCCAACCAGCCAAGAAGGAATCAAACGGGACATGGCCGAACTACCCGATCTGACAGGGGGATACCAACACGGGTATTCCAAGAGTACAACCTCGATCGACACTTCTTCGGCGGGTATGATCAGCCCAACATCCACTTTGGTCTCCGACAGCCCTTTCACACCAACAAGCCAATCCCGTCTCCCAGCCGCCAACAGCAACACCAACCGGCCACGCAGCCAAACCTTCCCTCTCGTCCCCATCGACCCAGCCCTCCTATCAGCCGATGAAACCACAGATCCGCACCGCCAAAAGCGCGAACTCCAGCAATCTCTTTCGGTCTCCACCCTGCAATCCCCACTGGAAATGGACGACCCCAAGCCCATGTCCGCGATCCACCAGACAAACGTCATCAAGCGCAATCGCAGCAATCCAGAGATCACAACCAAGTCCATGCCGCCACCGTCAAAGTCTACTACCATCTCGCCCATCAGCTCTCCAGGATCACCCACCCAGGACGAGGCTCGTCGCGCCCTTGAACTCGTCATCAACTACTTCGACCACCAGCCTTCTGGCCTGGCTGCACAGGAGTACATGACCATCGGGAAGCTAATGGAAAGGCTTGAGCTTGCCAAGAGCCAGGCAGGGTTTCTGTTGGGTGGCTTGCCGCGGATTGATGAACATGAGGATATTCCCATCCCGCGTGTGACGAAGAAGAGAAGCATCCACAATTTGGGATGAGTCCTTGAGCAAGTTGCATTTTGCATATCTTACCTTCCTTTTTTTGCATCGCTGGTTTTATCTCTTGAAGCATTCCCCCCTTCTCCTCCCCAACATTATCTGCTTTACTATGATTCGTGATTTGTGATTCCCCATTCTCTTCTTCCTTTCCTTCATTCGGCGGTTCATTTGCTATTCTGTTCTTTTTTTGGTATCACTTGTACGAACCCCTTCTTTATATCGGTTTCCCATCTCCTCAGCCAGCAATGGCAACGAGATATAAAACCTGGGCAACCAAACAAAAAACATACACATATCCAGAGGGCGACCTCTACTTTCCTTTGGAACTCTTGGGTTTACGGATTTGGGAATACGCGCACACGCCCTGGGATTCCCAGTCTGGACGAGGTGGATGCATATGGAATAATGGGCACATGGCAATATGTGATGATATACGGATTTGGGATCATCGGCCTTGGACTTGGACTTGGGAGTTTTTGCCGCTTGCTTTCTTCTTCGGGTTTTTTGCTTTTTTACTTGTTTTCTTTTTGGCTGTTGATTCGCTATATCCCCCTGTTATTTTTTTTTTCTCTTTGCCTTCTGTTTCCTTGAAACCCCCCTTGTACTGCATCTCTTTCTTACGCTCTTTTCATATTAATTTCTTTCCCTTTCTTTTTAAAAACTGGGTTGCTCACGCGGAAAGAACATAATCTCTCTGGGTTCGCCTATATATGAACCATGTCAGATTAATTTTGCCTATTATACCCCCAATATCTTTCTACAATCACACTATTTTTAAGTTTAAGTTTGGAACTTATGCTGGTCATAAGTAAGGCATATCTCATTAATTAAGTCTGGTGATAATAAAAAGCCACTAACAATATGTATGTAGTCTATACAAATGCAGGCGGCACTGACGCCACCCCACGATCCTCCAGTAAATCTTCAACACTGCGCTCAGCCATTTCGGGAAGCATCTTAGCCAGCACTGTCTCGATAATACTCCAGACTAGATGTTTATTGCAGTACTCATCTGCAAAGAGGTCTAGAAAATCATGTTCGATTATATCCAGGAGGTGTAGTTCCTCGCGATCAACCCCCGCAGACGGATCATCGTCTGTGCGCAGCCGCTCAGCGGCAAGGTGGCCACACGCAACTGGACAGGGGCTCGAAGGCAAAGGCGAATGCGATGGCGCCAGATTTGCCTTCCCCTCTTGGAAAGATTCCTGGTGCGCGCTGGGGGAAGGAGGTGGGGACGACGTGATGAGAGAGGGTGAACTGTTGGAGCTGCAGGTACCGTCACCTCTGTAGGGCGGCGGAGGCGCCGACGAGGGAACACCAAGGAAAGTTCGTACGAGGGAGCGCGGGATCACGGCCAGGAGACTAGCTGCACATCGTCGCTTGATAGCGGCGATCTCCGTCCTAGATGGGCTGTTCCTTTTTGCCGGTTCGGCCGGCTCATTTAACTCTGGTGTTGGGTCATCGGCTACAATGGCAGAAAGTGACGATGGACGGCCTGAGGTGCCTGTTGAGGCACCTCCAGTATTGCTGCTGTTGCTGCTGTTCCCCAGATCATTAGTTTTACTAATGACATCGGTATCAGGGCCTCTGATTCCTTCCACAATAGGAGTATTAGGTGCGGCCGTGGGCGCGAGGGCTTTCTGACTGGGCGTCGGGGTCTGCACAGACTGCAGAGCCGAGGCCGGAGCTTCAATATGCCCGGCCGCTATCTGAGATGTTGGACGGGTATTGGCTGGGAACAAGGCGGTCCTTGTTGCAAGAAGAAGGTTGGGCAACAAAGTGGGGGTCAGCACGTACTCCTCAATGGTCTCCCGGAGGAATCTGTAAGAGTTAGCAAAGGGGTCTCTCTCAAATCATGACGTCGGAGCAATTGGGCAACCCCCCCCCCCCCCCCCCCCCCCCCAACCCAAAAACAATAAATTAATAAAAAAAAGTGAAGCAAGAGAATCTCGACTGTGGAGCTTTCCGGGAACGTTGTGCCTTTTTTTTTCCCTCATATTTTTAAGAAAAAGTCCAAGTTGTCCATCAAATAAGAATTGAGCGTATAGAGTGGGGGTGAGGCGGAGCAAGATCGGCTTAGGCAGATGAAGGAGCTTGGGCCAGCCCTGGACTGGGATATCATCTCACGTCAAAGAGGCGGGTAACATCCGTACCTGGAGCACAAGGCTTCATGCACGAACCTCGGTCAGATTACGAATTCCAGTTCTTCCCGGCAGGAATTTCGCTCATTGGACCGAATCCAGTAATTCACTAGCGCTATTTCTTTTTTTTTTGCGCCAAATGAGGTATGGCCCAGTTCACTTCCAATGGGGTGATCGGCACCATTTTCTTTTTTCTTTTTCTTTTTCACTTCTCCTTTGCTCGTGCACGATTCTTGCCAAGGAGAGTTCGATCACCGTCCAGATGTAGTCTCTTTACTTTTTTGGCAAAGTTCCTTGAAAGTTGGCACATGTTGGAATCTTAAGATTTGCAACAGAAAAAGTGGACGAGCGGCACGGAAAGGGCCGGGCCCCGGCGCTATCACACACAAGGGACTTCTCTGTCTCAAAGAAATCCAGAGACGGGGCATCCGCGGGCAGCGGTCATCCCTGCTCGAAAAAAAAAAATCAAGGTCGCTCGGACCAATTTGAGGGCAACCAATCTGATGCCAGAACAGCCCAGTAAGCCTGACGGTAATGACCGTACAGTAAGGAGACCTCGTAAGGTCGTAAGATGACCGTAATCCCTCCCACGGGTAATGCAGCCTCCCCAAGGTTACAGATCAAGTGACCGACGCAGCATGCGAGCAAGACGCTTCACGTCCCACCTTGACTCGCACAAGTGACACTTGACCCATAGATCGTGTTTCGGAGATCGTACCGTTACTCCACAGTCATTGATTCCCAAGGCCTGAGCCCTTGAGAAGGAGGGTTGGGGCGTTGAGGGGTTGCAGAGAAGGGGAAGACTCCGGAGATAAAAAAAAAATTAGAACAAAAACTCACCTATCAAAGATTCCATCTGTAGCACCGACCCTACCTGGGCCTGCCAAAATAAGGTATTGGAATAGGGCGAGAAACCCACTCAGCCATGGCATTCTCCATGAGATTCCCAGTATCTGCGAAACCATGGAATACATCCGGTAGTCGAGAACCGGGCGCCTGCTTGTGATGCCATCTGACGACTCCATCCCATCTCTTTTCTGGTTGATGGGTAAGGCAAGTGAAACACCGACACCGTGCGAAGAAGGGCCTGGACTCGATGCGACACGAAATAAACCCATCGCAATGAAACGCAAGACGACGTAACCAAGATAAATGCTCTGCAGAAGGTTCCATATCCAAGCGGTGGCCGAGAACGACGTCGATGGCTCGTCTGGGGGCTCAGCATCGGTTGAAAGCAAGCCAAATTTCTCTAATCGGTTGATTTGAGAGTCCGGGGCGGATTTTGTGTCATCTTGGGTTTGACGGCGTCCCACTTGAGCGGCGAGTTTGCCCATAGTTTCCCAAATGAACCATCCTTCGCATGCCCTGCCACTGACTTGGTTTCCCAGGATCAGATCTGCTATAACATCAACCACCAGCGCTCGGAGACTGCTGTTCTCGAGGTCTTCCGTTGGAAGAAGAACAGCTAGGATACCGTTGGCGAGTAGTCGCCGATAGACCGCTTCGTTCTCTATCTGCTCGGCGATCGTATCTGGATCCCCTGGATCAGGTACTGGAGAAAGACCGGGGTGTGGATTTAGCTCATGATAGAGCGTACGGTACGACGTCGGTAGGCCAGAAAGATGTGACTGTTGCCTGGCCAGTCTGTACGCTGGAAGATCATATAGTCAGCAATGTTTCCCCTCTCCGCGGAACCACCATGGATTCCGACTAGAATAACTTAAAAATGGTCAAGTCTTACAGTGTGCATGTGCTTCCACCAGGCCAGGAATCTCGTCCAGGGCTAATTGTGCAACATCAATTTGGCGCAGCCTCTGCTCGAGTGCACGCGTGCAATGCGCGATTACTTGTAAAACTTCATTCACAAGAGCCTGGTCGGGGGTAATCTTCGAGTACCACGAATAAACAAATTCTTTTATTATAATGGCGAGAAGGGCGTAGAGTTGACGATCAACGTCATTGGAGCTCGTGAGGGGAGGTAACAGCTCTTCCGGAGGCTGTGGGGAAGATGCACCGTAGTTGCTTGTCTGGGGGCACAGGACGCGTCGGATCAGGGCAGTGGTGGCCTTGTCACTAACGGAGTCTAGGTCATCCTTGCCAGAATCCTTTTGTGTACGGAGTCGAGAAGAAGGACGCGAAGGAGGCTGAAGCGTCGTTGGGGAAGGCAACGTGGTGGATCTGGAGCTGGAGGTTGTCGGCCCAGCCTTGAGGTGAGATATCGGCTGAAGGCCGGGGCGGAGCGGATCATTCATTTCATCTCATAGGTCTTTAGAGTTGGTTCAATAGCTACCAAGGAACAAAGCGTTCTCTGTTAAAAGCAGAACAGTCAACCTTGCCCAGGTGGAAAGCTTTGATGAGTTGTACCTGGCCCAATTGGGACCATAGGGCTTAGGGCTTTAAGATAAGCCTTATCGCCCTTCATTGATGCGGGGATCTGTTTATCTCCAGCCAACTGTACTTGAGTGCCCAAGTGGCCTCCTGATTCTCAATTGTTATTTGTTGCTCTAAGAATATACACCATGTTAGCCAAAATTAATCAATACAGTCCTACTCCCTTGTGGTTGGATTGCGATCCTGGTCAGTCCATCATGTTCCTCTCTCCTTCGTATTACTGACCACTCTTAGGCCATGATGTAAGCCTCAAAGGCATTATAGAGAGACATTTGTTAATACCATATAGGATGCCTTTGCAATTCTGATTGCCGCTCATCATCCATATTTGGAGCTTCTTGGAATTAGTACTATCCATGGAAATGCATCGTTAGAGAAGACAACCGCCAATGCTGGCAGCGTTCTGGAGGCGATCGGCAAGCCCGACGTTCCTGTCTATCCCGGCAGCAATAAGCCATTTTCACGGCCTGCTCTTCATGCACCCGATATCCACGGTAGGGAATACTGGCATTGTGAGTGAACTGTTTCAATAACACTTTCTAGGAGAATCTGGTCTTGATGGGACCGACCTTCTCCCCAAGGCTACTAGAACACCCATCACTAATAAGAACCCCATTGTGGCCATGAGAGATGCTCTTCTTGCACAGCCCAAAGGAACTCCCTGGGTGGTTGCAACGGGTACATTGACTACCATCGCACTGTTGTTTGCAACATTCCCCGAGGTGGCTGAACACATCCAAGGGCTGAGCATTATGGGTGGTGCCATCGGTGGAGGTTTCACCGATGCTCCCATGAGCAGACTTCCAGGTGAGAAGTCCAGGATTGGAAATGTGACTCCATGGGCTGAGTTCAACTTCTATGTGCGTTTTCATATCTTTCATTCCTCTCTGCTCGTCTAATCACGATGGTATAGTGTGACCCGGAGTCTGCCGAGTCAATCTTTAGCAACCCTGTTCTTGCATCTAAAACAACTATCATGGCCTTAGACCTCACACATCAGGTTTTGGCCTCACAGGCCGTTCAAGCGCGCATCTTGAATGGCTCGATCCACTCGACCGAGGAACCCACTATCCTTCGGCAGATATTGCACGCGCTACTCACTTTCTTCGCTGCCACATACGAGAAAACTTTTGGTTTAACCACCGGGCCTCCACTGCATGATCCCCTTGCCGTGGCTGTGATTTTGTCGACGCTGAATCCAGCCTTTTCCAGCAAATACCCTAACCAAGCTCTTGCCTTTGATGACAAAGGTGGCGAGCGTTTTGCTCTGAGTATTGTCACAGATGGACAGCACGGGAAAGATGTATCCACAACAGGTCAACTAGGGCGCTCGATCGCTACCCCTGTGGATGGTCCAGGCGTTTCTGTTCCCAGGGGGGTTGATCTAGATGCTTTCTGGGACATGGTCCTGCAATGTGTCCAGCTAGCCGATGATTGCAATGCTGCACGCATGGTCTGATTTGTAACATCTTTAGACGATCTGTGAACCCTTTAAGAGTTTTGATTACTTTAGACTGTGGCCTAGATCTTCAATTGCACATATAGTTACACTGATTAGAACAATATCTTGGTGGAGGGTAGATATCGGTCATAGAACAGGATTTGCGATATGTCCAAATAGCCCGAACTATATTTCCAGAAAATTTATTCATCTTTTGTCCTTAGTGCCCAGATATGGCCATATGCATTGTTTGCAAATGCCTTTATTCAACAATCCAACAGGTAATGCCATGCAAACTTTCACATATACTAAACCTTGCATGAACCTTGATTTTGCATAATCGATTGCATAGCAAGGTGCCCTCAACGGCCTGGTCCTAAAAGGGTGTTTACGAGGCTCAAATCCAACCGGCTTGTGAGAGTAACAGGAAATCCCTACACCCTAGCTCATCCTATTCACAAGCCGAGAAAACGAGTTTTCCTGCTTCAGACAACGAAGAACCGGATTGCCAACAGAGATATTTGGGGTTTACTGATCGGGGATATATCAAAATAGAAGTTTGTCCTTCATATAGATGGTTCTTTTTAGTAGCCTTTATAGATCGCTTTTTAGATGCAGTCAGCATCATCTTAGTGTGATGTTTTGCAGGATGACAGGGGCTCCACGTTCCTGGCTTTCAGGGATATGATTTTGTTCAGATTATATGCATATAATTAAATAAGAATAGGTAAATAAGAAATCAAGATCGGAATCCCCATGAGGTTCAATGAAGTTCACAGATTCTCTCAAGAGGCGGCCTTGAGCCGGCTGAAAGGAAGAACGTCATATGTTGCGGGCATCTCCACATCTCCAAAGTCCTAGAAGCACAACATCTAACACTTTCTCGATCTCAATTTATGGACATCTTTCCCCAGACTTAATTTGTTAGTTGCTACACATATATTGGTTTCTTGGCCTTGCATGGCCAACGTCGATCCCGCACACTCCTTAACGGCGCATTCCAATCAGAATGCCGCCTCCTAACTCAGTACATTTCATCCGTACAATCTACCACAGTCTATAATATGTGAACTAATATCCTCTAGCACGCCGCCACGCCACTCTCTCCGACGACCGCGGCACCTGACCCTCCACGCCGATCGTCGATTCCCACACCTGCCCCTGTGGAGACCGATAACGCTCACGATGACAACGTGAACTTCCTGCGATCGCGACCAGCTCTCTTCAACCCGCTACTACCCTCCTTGAGCCGACAACGTCGCCGCCGTTATCCGACCAATCCGCCGCCGGAAAACGAAGACCGCATGGAGGTGGATGATCCCACCAACCCGCGCACGGCCGTTGAACTCAACCGTCGCATCCCGATTGTCCGCCGCCAGGAGAGATCAACCGACATGCCGAACTACGAGGGCCGAGTGCCCAACTCAAGGTCGTTGTATGGATGGGCACCCGGATCTGATGATGAGGATGGTGCTGCGCGCGAAGAGTCAGAAGATGATCAGATGCAACCCTTCCTCCATTCCATCTCAAGTCGTGATCCACCCCCCGCACGACCTCCGCGCAATGAGGTCCCGGGCCCTGCGCAACTGATACCCCATGAGTATGCGACGTTACCGGGCAGCAACCAGGTTCGGACATCGGTCTCTGCAGTGGCGGCATTGTTACAGTCTGCAAGACGTCAGCCCCGTCTTTCAAGAAGTCGCACACTGGAGAACTACCTCATCGATCGCTATTCGGATACCACTCCTGAGGAGGACGCTGAAAACACGATAGCGGTCGCACATCGGGGATACCGCTATCGTCCCACGACGCGCGGGGACCCACATCATACCAGCCTCACCCACAACGACCTACGCGCTCGCGCTGCCGCTCATCGCCAGCTACACTCAGACACATATATGAGCAACGTGCTGGGGGAAACCATCCACTATCTCGATCGCATTCGGTATTCAACCTCCCTTGAAGATAGCATGCTTGTCTTGGCGGACAGTCGGCTATCTTTCTCGATGGATAACAAGTCTTGGAGAGATACGGACTTCATTTTATACACTCCCAACATTGCACCACCCGCGGAATGCTCATGGCTTCGATCTGGAATGGCTTTTTCGGGCTGTCAACGAGCTGCGAGTGCCGGGTGTTCAGTGTTGTCGCAACGTATCCCCAGTCCGAACGCCCCTAGTGAGCCTGTCATTGTAAATGGAAGTGATAGCACTCGAATCAGCGTTTCTACCACAAGTGGCCGCCGATACTTAGCTAACAACCGAGATGAAAATTGGCCTGTCAAGGTCACGATACACGAGATCAACCACGAGGACATGACTTTATCTGGCACCATGGAGGCCTACAACATCCCCGATAAGACCTCGCCCACCCACGATGCACACATTGTGACTTTCTTGGAAGGTGAGATTATTGATTTCAACAATCACACGCTGGAGACAAAGAACTTCAAAGCAGATGCAGACATTGATAGCACATACTGGCGTGAACTGCAACCATTCAAGGATTTGACAGATGCTGAGATGGCTCGGAACCTCGTGAGTCGGAAGTGGATTACCGAGGAATTGTCCAAGGGATGGATCTTGATGAGATGGAAGGGTAAGTAGCGAAAGATCATGTATCCTTTCCCTGCACATTATCTTTTCGCTAACATGCCCTAGAACGATGTTTCATCACTCCAACCGATGCTCGTCAAGGTCTTACAATCTCCGGATTCTACTACATCTCTCTTCGCCGCGAGGACGGGCACATCGAGGGCTTGTACTATGACCCAGGAAGCTCGCCTTACCAGCAGCTCTCTCTGAATCCAGAAGTATCGAAAATGGTTCGCCCTTCCTATGCTTTCCGCTGAAAGGAAGCCTTCTGTGCATATTCTTTTCTTCTCATCTTTGCTTTAGCCCAGAATAATCTTCTGGTTCCCTCTATCTGAACCTTCGCTGTCTCTGATTTGGCGTTAAGGAAAACGTCAGATGGCATCTGACACGGCCTTTGCATTGCTCTGCGGTGTTCTTCTCGTTCGGTTTGTTTCTTTTTCTTTGCATTTTGTTTCCTTCTTGTGGAATAGATATGCGGCCATCAAGCTGCTGCAATGGTTCTGCCTTTCCTGAGATCATGACCATGTCTCTTATGTTTTTGTATCTATGGACAAAAATGTTTTCTTTTTGGCTGTCATGGAACTCCGGAAATGAGGAAATTCCACTTATGTCAAGAGGCCCCGCAAATTACTCCCACGTTCATTATGTATTGCCTCGATATATCAGAAACTAACCCTAGCTCATTGAGACGGCAATCGAAGTATCCCAGGAGCTCGCGCAGAAGTGTTCAACCATGTCCAATCCAAGACATCGGCAAACTCGACCAATTATCTCCGGTCTCTATGAATCTGCTGAAAAAGCAAGTTGACATCACCGTGGGAAAAGTGATCAGGGGTCTCCTATTTGTCTTGGCTGCCTTGACAATGTTATATACTGCATGACGAATAAGTCTCTTGACGGCAAGTACCGCGATGGTGGCTAGGGGTAACTTGTAGATCCCCAACGCCTAACACATGTGCATTAACACTAGGATGACTGCTTGAGTGTTCAAGTTTCCAAAGCCAACCTTGGAAACTGTTGCGATGTTACTCGATTGTTCTAATTGTGGCTTCTAGGTAAAGAAAAACCATCATACTAACGTTTCCTTGCCCACTGCATACATTTGGCTCGTTGCAGCTGCAGATATGGTAAGTACCCAACAGAAGGAAATTAGGAAGCCAATCTTGAAGATACATCAAAGAAAGAAGTGGATCGTAAGGATGGAGTTAAATTGAACAGCTGCCAGTTGATAAATGCAGTCTTGGTAAGACCTACCGCTCAATAATATGCAATGTTATACATGTAAATCCTGGATAGTGACGAGTCACACAGGCTACATACAGCAACTCCCGCATTCCAGCCAAAACATTCGAAATTTTCATGCAAGGACTCACCTCCGGCGCATCTTCCTATTGGGTAGTGATGCTGTGATGGATGCAATACATCGCGAACTCCCCGACCTTTCTGCATGCCTAGTAGTAAAGGCGTGGCAAGTAAGATGCGCTGATATACTTGACCTTCTTTGATCCTACCTTCGAGCTGTCATCTCACTATCCTTTCCACAAGCTGCCAAAACTGCGAATTCCGACATGTCTGGCGACGACTTGTTTCCGAGACGTCGCCTTTGCTCGAAGACGGGCATGTTCTCGCAAATACTCACGTTCCAGATCATACAGTTGATAATGGTGATCAAGAGGAAGGACAGGTAAACAGAGTCTTTCTAGCGGTCGCAATGATAGGTGAGATGGTGATGGTGTCAATTCATGAAGACGCGTAACTAAAATGTTCCATGAAGGTAGCTATCTCGCGATGGCCGATGGTTCATTTGTGACGGCAACAAACGAGGAGATTGGGAAAGTTTTCCAAAGATCAGATTTAGGACCTTGGCTTATATCTAGCTACAATTTTGGGTACTCCATAGCACTTCCAGTGGTAAGCCTTGAAGCCTTCATTTCAGAATATCCTGGATTTAATATGTCCTAGTATGCACATCTATGCGCAGCATATGGACACAAGCCTGTTCTCATCATCGCTTTCGTGATTTTTGCCTTTGGCGCTCTCGTCACGTATGTTCGTTTGAAATCGAACATTTTATTATGCAAATTGCTAAAAGCTACTTCAGGGGCATATCATTGTCAATGCCAATGTTGATGGTAGGAAGGTTCTTTACAGGAATCGGTGGCTCTGGGCTGGTCGATGTTATTTCGATTTTGCTTAATGGTCAGTGTCACTTCCGGTTCCTCAGTAAATCCCAAGATGGATACTGATAATATTGCAGATCTTGTTTCTCCGTCCAAAGTTGCGGTGCTACGAAGCTACCTTTCAGTTGCCTCCACGTTGGGCATAAGCTCTGGTGGTCCAATTGGAGGACTACTAACTCAGACTGTTGGCTGGCGATGGTACCGTCCTTCCCCAATAACTTTATATTTCCAAACTAATGATTAGATAGGTCATTTATAGGACAGTTCCCTCTTATTGTTGTCTGCCTGATAGTTGCTTTACGGCGCTTTCCAGGAGCTTCCACAAGTGTACCACGGCAATATTCAGGATAATGTCTCATTTGAAGCCTCTCCGGGGCCTGGATTTTATCAGTCTGTCTTTTCTAGGGTTTTCGATTGGGACTTTGATGGTGTTGCTACAGACCATTCAACAATATGGCCTAACAGCTCATCCCAGAACGATTACCTTTGGGGTCACTTTCGCTACCTCAGCCACTCTTTTCGTGGTTAATGAGCTCTATATTTCAAGGAATCCGATCATCCCGACTTCTACTCTTAAGGAAAATGGGTCTTGGGCTATATGTCTGGGTCAGACTATCTTATACTTTGTTCTGTCTTCTGTAAGTACTAGATCAGAAATATTTGCATCATCTCTGCTAACTAACTAGCTTACCTCGAATCTTTCAATGTTTTATGTGCGATTGCGCGGAGCCAACGTCGGCTTATCCGGCCTGGTAATTTCACCATTTCCCCTAGGTATCGCTCTCGGCTCAATTATCTATGGTCGGTTAATTCGCCGGTGAGTTGGATGGCCTGAAAATCCGAAGTGCAGACGCAGTCTAACCATCGAAACAGAACCATGAGATACAAGAAACTGTCTATTGTTGGATTGGGTACAATAGTTGCCTCGTTCGCAGTGCTCGCCCTTATCTGGCGCTCGAGCGCTAGCTATCTTAGTCTGATTCCAGTGTTTTTTGCAGGAACCGGAATGGCGGGCCTATTTACCACCCAGTTTGTAGCTTTATCGGCGCGGAGTAGAGGAGGACATGCTAGAACAACGATTACTGCATATTACCTCGCTCAGCAGCTTGGATTGATTATTGGTGTGACAACCTCGGCAACGATAGTGCGGACTCTATTCGCCAACGACCTTCGGCGGAGCTTGCATGGAGTATCTCAAATCGACGAGGTAATTATTGGCGAATCCTTGGAAGCAATGGTGTTTGGTATTCTGACCCTTTGCTACAGCTTATTCAAAGAATTCTCAACGACAATCGCTTCGCAGAGTCATTACCCGAAACAATTCAATCGCATGTTCGACAAAGCTTCCAACACGGCTTTCGAGCCATACCCGGTACGTATAACTACCGAGACTCTAGTGCCGGAACTAATGGTCGAATCTAGTTCTTTGCCTGTGCACCATTTTAGCGGAAGTACCGATTATCGTACTCCTCCGACAATATTCGATTTCATGAGCACATTGGAGGATACTCGGGGTATCGAGTAACCCCTGAACGTTTATAGATTAGACTATCTCAAAACATTCCGGGTTGCACGCGACCTCGGGAGTATATCTGACACTTAAGAATATTCATATTGATGTACCAGCCTAATTCGGCATTCCAAACGTAATAGGAATGGATATTAGAATTGATTAAATCGAAATTAGAGGATATTGAAGCCATCCCCGCAGATATGTACATGCACTAGGTGCGTATTCAAGGTTCAATTAAATTATGCTTCTCTTAGCTTCCAAGGTTCCCGCATGTACTTGCCCGATTGCGGAAAGGCTGAGGAGTCGGAGAGCGGGTTACATCCATGTTTGTTGATCTTCTCTTTTCGGGTTCTTATCTCTCGATATCCAGGTACCGCCCTCTGTGGGTCGATGTGATTATTTATTGCAGTCGATCCCCTTTTCAATCTCTAGAGCTTCACCATGCATTTGCACTACCTTTCGCTTTTGGCCATAGTAGGGGCTGTCCAGCCTGTTATCGGTGCGCCTCACCAGACTCGAACCGAGGGAACATGCAAGAAGACTAAAGTTGCAATCTTGTAAGCACTGGACTTCTTATTGATTGACCTTCAAAACTCACCAAGTATAGGGGAGGTGGTGTGACTGGTATTACTGCTGCTGTGGGTTTCCCCTTTGGGTTTCCCCTTTGGGTTTCCCCTTTGGGTTTATCTGAATGCCATTGACACAATTCATAGCAAGCACTGACGAATGCTTCCGTGCACGATTTCGTGATTCTCGAGTACCGCGATACTCTCGGCGGTCGGGCTTGGCACAAGCCGTTTGGCAAAGACAAAGATGGGAAGCCCTATAATATTGAGATGGGTGCCAACTGGGTATGTATGTCTCAGCCGCATGAAATAACTCCGCTGACAGGTTAAACAGGTGCAAGGTATTGGAAGCGAAGGAGGCCCACAGAACCCGATCTGGGTCTTAGTAAGTCTCAAAAGATCTTCGATCGAACACAAACTGACCTCGAACAGGCTCAAAAATACGGGCTGAATACCGAATTCTCAAATTACGACAACGTATCTACCTATAACAAGGATGGGTATTCTGACTATAGCAATCTACTGGACGCCTATAACGAGGCCTATGATATTGCCAACCAAAAGGCAGGTGAGATTCTTACTCAGAATCTCCAGGATCAAAACGCCAAGTCAGGTCTTGCCTTGGCTGGTTGGAACCCCAAGGTACACGACATGGAAGCACAGGCTATTGACTGGTGGTCGTGGGGTAAGTTATCTGTCCTGTAAATGCACCTAGCGCGATCGACTGACACCTTTGACTAGACTTTGAAGCTGCTTACTCCCCAATAGAGAGCTCATTTGTCTTCGGGTGTGCGGGCGACAACTTGACCTTTAATTATTTCAGCGACCACGATAACTTCGTTCTTGACCAGCGTGGATTTAATGTGATTTTTAAAAAGCTTGCATCGACTTTCCTCGCTGACAATGACCCACGCCTTCACCTGAACACCGAGGTCACGAACATCACATATTCTGACCATGGTGTCACAGTTCACAACAAAGATGGCAGCTGTGTAGAAGCAGACTATGCTATCACCACATTCTCACTGGGAGTTCTGCAACGTGGCGCTGTCACCTTCTCCCCAGCACTCCCAGATTGGAAGCAGGAAGCTATTCATAAGTTCACCATGGGAACATACACCAAGATCTTCTTCCAGTTCAACGAGACCTTCTGGCCTTCGGAAACGCAATACCACCTCTACGCCGATCCTGTAACCCGTGGCTGGTACCCGATCTGGCAGTCACTATCCACTCCCGGATTCCTCCCGGATTCCAACATCATTTTCGTAACCGTGACCAACGAGTTTGCTTATCGAGCCGAGCGCCAAACAGACGAGCAAACCAAGAAGGAAGCAATGGAAGTTCTCCGCAAGATGTTCCCGGAGAAGGATATTCCCGATCCAACTGCATTCATGTACCCACGCTGGAGCTCAGAGCCCTGGGCCTACGGCAGCTACTCCAACTGGCCTCCTGCCACATCTCTGGAGATGCATCAGAACCTCCGCGCCAACGCCGGTCGGCTCTGGTTTGCCGGCGAGGCTACCAGCCCGACTTTCTTTGGGTTCCTTCACGGTGCATACTATGAAGGACTGGATGCAGGCCGACAAATCGCGGCTATCATGCAGAACCGGTGTGTCAACGCTGACTCTGCCAAGTTGAGAGAGTGTGGGCCTCGCGAGCACTATGAGACCCTGCATGGCACCTCGCCTTATTCCGACTACACTATGCTCAATGGATGGGCTGTGGACAGTTCGATTGATAATAACCCCGAATAAGCGGAGATATAGAAACTGGGAATTCATGTACGGGATTGCAAGTTTTGAAGTCAATTAATTGAGTTTATTCAACATCATAATTGTAGTCTCCATGTTCGGATATGAACAGAGCTCAAGGAACCCCCAAGAGAGCTGATTGTTTGTGTTTTCGTCCAATGTTATCACGTATTATCACGTCTTTCTTCTCTCCTGTTCTCAATAATAAAAATTCCCCCTTCACCTTTCTGTTTTCCGAAGCTAGGGCTCAACTGTCTAATTAACCAGCCAGTCCAGTGTCAAAGAGCCGGCTACGACGGGATCCGCGTCACGTCATGTCGGAACTGCTCGAATCGGATCGGCAGCAGATGCATGAAGCCTAAAGCAGCTTAGTGACGTTGCGTCTCTTATCAGATCGTTTTGACCTGGTTCCCCTCGTGGAATTCCCTTTGGTGTTGAATACAACAACTCTCTCGACGAAGAAAATGTCTTCCAACACAAACAATGTTTCCCATGCAGATATAATCGCTACTGCCACACCAGAGATTGAACTCGATCAAATCCCAAATGCAAAGACCAAACAAGATGATCCATTCCTGGTCGCATTCGCCGAGCCCTTTGACGCAGAAAACCCCAAAGACTGGCCGACTGGCCGTAAATGGGCCGTGACAGATGTTCTATCTGCGACTGGCTTTAATCGAATCATGGTATCGACCATTATGGCTCCGGCCTTGTCGATAATCGCAGAAGAATTTGACATGACCTCAGCAGAGTCGGCCATGGCGCTCTCCATCTATCTTCTAGCCACTGCATTTGGCCCATTAGCCATTGGCCCATTATCAGAGGTGTATGGAAGGAAACCTATTCTACACGCCTCAAACATTTGGTTCTTGATCTGGAACATTGCATGTGGGTTCGCGAATAGCAAGGAAATGCTTATTGCATGTCGCTTCTTGGCTGGCTTTGGTGCCAGTTCTATCTATGCCCTGGCTAGCGGAGTACTTGGAGATGTATGGAGGCCTGAGCAGCGTGGTCGCTCATTGGGGGTGTACTTGCTGATTCCTTTGCTGGGTGCAGCCGTGGGTATGAGCAAGCCTGATCTTCACCGGGTTCCAGTCTGAAATGCTAACTCCGAGGTCCAGGTCCTATTATCGGCGGGTTCATGGCTGGTCGCACCACTTGGCGATGGATGTTCTGGGCCACATCAATTTTTCAAGCCGTCATGGTCCTTGTTTCTTTCACTGTATTCCATGAAACACACGAGCCACGCATCATTCGATCTCGAGCTGAGCGACTCCGACGGGAGACGGGAAACCAGCAATACTATACTGAGGACGAACGTCTTCACTCAAACAAATCGCCATACTTTGTGCTCGGTCGGGCTCTTATGAGACCGCTACGGCTTCTAGCTTTTCACCCAATAATCCAAATTGCCTCAGTGATTTCCGCATTCTATTATGGCATTCTATACATCGTGCTCTCGACTTTCTCGGATCTGTGGATAAAACAATACGGCCAATCTGTGGAAATCAGTGGCTTGCACTACATCGCTTGCGCACTTGGTGAAATCGTGGGAAGCCAAATCGGAGCAAAGGCAATGGACCACTTATACCGCCGTCAAAATTCTCGTTCTAATACCGAACACGTACCCGAGTCACGGATAAACCTACTCTTTCCGGGTGCTCTACTTGGACCCCTTGGCCTTTTTCTTTACGGATGGGCAGCCCAAAACAGGCTGCACTGGGTTGTCGTTGATATTGGTATCTTCATCAGTATGCTCGGTATGCAGATGACAGGTATGCCACTGCAGGCATACGTGATGGAGTCGTACCCAGAGCACACGAGCAGTGCCGGGGCAGCCTCACAGTTTATGCGCAGTCTGACTGCATTCCTATTCCCGCTATTTGCTCCCAAGATGTACGAAGTCCTTGGCTATGGATGGGGAAACAGCACGATTGCCTTCATTGGGTTGGTATTTGGACTTCCGGCTCCGTTGGCGCTCATTTACTTTGGGGCGACACTCAGAGCTAAAGCTCGATCGAGCTTTTGAGATCGGATTGGGGCTTTTTGAATGTTGAGAATATGTGAATGAAGCGTTTGAACTCTTAATGAACACGCCGTATATGCTCATGGCACTAGCAGCAGCTTTGGCTCACTCTATAACATGGAATGAACTCCCGATGTCATTTCGCTCTATCCAACTTGTGGCACTTTTAAGGGAATACTTTGCTTTTTCCTCGTAGCCAAGGTCCGTAAGTCCTGAATATGATCGGAATGGGGATCATTATTGCGGCCAAACAGCCAAGCAACGTACCAGCCCATTGAATTCCCATATTTTGGAACATCTGCCTGGAGAATAACGGAAAGCCCGCAGCTACTGCGGATCGAAGAATGATGTTGGCAGCAACAGCTGAAGCAGCGCTAGGATCCAGATAAGTCAGCAGGGTGATTTGATTTCGTCAAGTAAATAGGCTGAGAACTTACATTGGCAAGTATGCATCGACGATGTAGTTGAAGCACGGAAGAAATATGCATAACACCCCAAATCCGATGAATATCCCGGCCGCGGCAGGTACGGCCCAGTGAATCTGAGAGGTGAACCCGGTCCAGCCAAACCTGATGGATTTTCAGTTAGCACACATTATACATCATTTCAATACAAATTAATTTTACTCACCAAAAGAGACCTATTGTAAAAACAGGCGCTCCTAGGAGTGTTGGGGCGAGGCGCCACTCGGGCACTGGGACACCCTTATTCTCTGCCAATTTCTTTGCATAGGCCAACTGCCCGAAAAGGATGAAGGCACACGCGAGCATCACGCCGATAATGAGGCCAATAAACATTAGACCAGCAAAGGGAGGGGTCATTCCGTAGACATGCTCGAAGACGAAAGGATATGCTTCAAGAAGGGCATAGACAAGGCCGTAGATGAAGGACATGTAAACTGACACCACGAGAATAATAGGCTCCGTGAAGAGCAACTTCAATGGACGTGTGAAGTATTTTTCCACGAGAGCTGCGAGGCTGACCTCGATATCCTCGTGTCTGGCACGAATACTCGCATTTTTTGACTCTTTGCGGATAGCAACAGCCTTCGCCACGAGAATACAAGGCGGATATGTCTCATCCAAGAAGAGAACGCTCAATAACCCAATTCCGAGGCTGAAAATTGCCGGGATGTAGAGCGTCCACCTCCATCCAAGATAACTCGAAGCAATGAAGCCACCCACAAAAGGAGCCATAAACGGCCCCACGAAAACAGTCAACGCATATAGCGAAATTGCAGCACCGCGGGTTGCGTTGCTGTATAGATCAGCCAATACACCGGGGACAACAGTCAGTTGGCTTGCGCCAAACATGCCAGCGAAGAAACGGCATATGACCAAGGTCTGGATATTTTGGGCCACTGCCGATGCAATAGTGAAGATTCCACCGCCTAGCATTCCAATTGTCAGAGGCCATTTCCTTCCCCGTAGCTCTGATGCAGGTGCCCAGATTAGGGGCCCCGATGCAAAGCCAAGGACATAGAGGGTTGTTCCCAGTGTCCCGACCTCTGTTCCGACCCCGAAAGCTTTGCTTGCTTTGTCGATTCCCGGTGCAAAGATGGCGCTTGTTAGCGAGACAATTAAGGTCCCTGAGCAGACTAAGATGGAGTTGAAAAGCCTGTGTGAAAATTGTGGTCAGTTTGCATTCAGGGTAAGATCTTTGGCTGATTTGGACTTGTGGCTTACTTCGCAGACAGTCTCCAATTTTGAGGATTCTCGGGGTCATTGAATTCTTTGAAATCAACGTAGCTTGTTGTGTTGGAAAGAACTGTCGGAAGTGCCTTGTTCGCTCCACTCGACAGCTTCTCGTGCATTTTGAACGATGGAGTAGCGACGAGCAGACAGGTTTTAGCAATGAGGATTTATGGTTTGATGTCCAGCGTAGTACAAGCTTGTACTCCGGTGAAATATTGGGAAATTAACACTGATCCATGTATGTATGTAGTGAGTGTGCATGTGCTTTTCCCAACCCGCTTTTCGGAACTTGCGTGGACTTCCAAGGTATAGAAACGGGTATTGCGGAACGGGGAATTTTACCAGCCAGGCACATAAAGGCACCCGCAATTTCCGCAGGGCTTTGTGACATCATACTAGGTTTGAAAGTTGAAAACAGCAAAATCACAAGGCCGAAAGGGATGAAAGACAATATTAACAAATTAAGCTAACATGGATTGCTCTCAAAAACATACGAGCCTCTAGGTAGGGTTCCCTAATCCAGATCCCCCCAAGAAAGTTGAACTATCCATCATATCCGCATTCAGAAATTGATCAAGGTCATCCCTTTGCAAACCGGGTAGATCAGCGACCAAAGCCCCTAGCCATGAGTACTCTTCCGCGCTTGGAAATTCTTGCGTGAATGGTCCAGCTGGACGTTCTTGCTCCTCCATGTTCATGATGTCATTGAAGATCGAAAGGTCATCTTTCCTCCGCTGTTGATGAAGCATAACTAGTAAAAAGGCCGCACTCCAGGCTTCTCTCATGGTATTTGTATCATAAGTGGATGCGACGAATTTCAATGTCTGCATTGCTTCGGGGAGCATCGCTAGCGATTGCCGTGTGTCCATCACAAGCAGGACACATATGATGTGGAAAGGTACATTTGCCATGTGTTGCCAGGGATTGCAGTTCCTGACCATGGTGCGTGAGCAAGAAAGTCCCTTTTTCAGCAACACTAACGCTTTTTCGGCGAGGCGAGGGGGTATTTCAAGTTTCTCTGTGTGGATTCTGCGCAGAATGCAAAGCACCAGATTGCATTGCGCCATGGCCGAGGGAGGCTCATTATGAACTCTTTCTAGGATCTGCGACAGTGTTTCTTCTAGCTTTATCTCATATTCTTTTGGCTTTCCTGGGTCTAGGCTTGCCGATAATGGAATAAGTTCCAGCAGCTCACGCGTGAAATCGCCCTCGATGGTTGATGGAAGCAATGGCAAATCATTCTTTTGAAAGGACACTCTTGATAAACCAAGATCATAAGATGTCCACATATTAAGATGGAGTGCCACGCCGAAGAGTCGCCTTTGGATGTTTGGATCAAACTCCGTGCCAATGCTGCGCGGAAAGACTGAATCAGTGGACTCTAGATGGAATCCCGCAGCCTCCACCAGATGCATCAACTTCGAGCTCGCGATCCATGTTGAGTGAGGCAGATCCGTCATTCGCATGTAGACGACTCGTAATGTCCATCCAGTGAGAAGGTCCACGGGAGGAGCGCCACTTAGAACGTGCGAGTCGAGAATAGAAAGTGCCGATCCGATGAGATGTAATTCGGTGATGGTCATATTTCGTTGAGAAAACAAACAGCCTAGTGCAGCGACGCCACCAAGAACACTGTCATATAGACTACTAACCATGGGAGACTGCCACCTAGCCTCCAGTCGCTCAAAAAATTGAGAAGAACCAACAAAGCCATAGAATGGACCAATCTCAGCGAAGTAGACCTGAGCGAGGGTCTTCATGTGTTCCAAGGATGTGATATCTGTAATTGACAGCACAGGGTATACAGCCTGAGATTCGGATGACAGTTGTCGTTTTCCAACATTCCAACCAAACAGGCTGAGTTTTGGCGCTTTCGCAGGATCGATATTCAGGCCCATCCTCCGAACAAATGCAGCACCGGAGTTTGCCCACAATCGACGATCCAGCCCCTGTGTATCCACTGAGTTAATTTGATGTGGAGCTCTCGGCGTTGGGGTAGTTTCTCTCGGAGGCTGTTGGGGAGCATGGTGCCTCTGTCGTGAGTGACGTTCGTAGCGGCAGTCATAGCCCCATTGACCGCAAGTGGTGCAAGGCTCGGCGCCATCGCATTTTCTTTTGCGCTCCCGGCATGGTTCACATGCAACTCGGGAGCGCTTTCGCTTGAAGCCGGACTGCGACATATCTTAGAACAATAAGCAGGTTAGAGATCCCGCAATTTCCGAGCGGAATAAGAGATAGGTAGGGTATTGCGGAGGAGATGAGTGGGGAGACCAACCTGTGGGTATTGCGGGTGTGTGATGCCTGAGGCTTAGTAATCCACTTCCAAGGTTCCAAGGTTCCAGCAAAGCTTACTTTTCCGCTTTCCGGCCACATCAATGGATTGAATGTGTTTATGTACCTAGGTATAATCCTGGTAATGTTGACTTGGTAGCCTTGTTATTCTTCAAATTTAGATTCCCGAGGTCTCATTCAAATCTAACCAATGTTCTTCCCATAGTCAACCTATTTAACATGCCCCTGAGAGCCACTCTTGTACATCTTCAATCTCAACCTATTTTCGGCTTTCCAATCTCTTTCCAATGTCGCTCCAAGATATCGACCAAGTCTCTGACTGACCAAGTTCAATTAGCTTTGGAGACATATGGGCTTTTTGTTCGTAGGAACTTCCCGTACAGCCCCAACAGAACCGTGGCAGGAAGTCCAATACCAAGGCCAATGAAGCCGAGGATGCTTCCCGCCCAACCATAACCCAGTGAAGAGTACCTATAATATGGCTAGACATGGTTAAAAGAAAACATGTGATTGAAAAAATTAGACTTACATGTAAGGCGCGAATATCGGAAATGTAAATCCCGCAATACATCTGATGGTGGATACAGCCGCTAGTCCACTTGCCAGGTACTGTCCGTATGTATCGATGACATAGGCGTTGACAGATATCGTGTATGCAAGTGCCCCAGCAAGATAAAAACTGCATTCTTAGAATGGATCTTTTCTTAGTGAGGCTTTTTCTAGTCCCTTTTCTCGTGCGTTTTCTGCGGTCTTACATGGCCCAGAAGTGTGGATACCATAATAAGACGTGGATCCCTCCATAGTCTATGTTACTTCCAATTTGTGGAACGGTTGTGCAGAGGGAAGTAAACTAGTCTCGCGATAGATACAGCATCCCAGGTTATTTGGGGATGTCAATGCATACAAAGCATAATAATATTGTGATCAATAGTTTGCGTCATCCATATACCCCTTGGTATATAGTCAACCGTAAGCCTGTTAAGACCGAAGGAGACTCAGTATAGCCTGCTTATCAGGACGTTCTGACCTCTCGGCAAATTCCAGCGGGGATTCGTCATGGTATGGCGTGCCCGCTGGTCGAGCTGTGCGGTCGGCGCCCGCGTCTACCAGCAGTTTGATCATACTCAGCTTGGAAGCATCGATAGCACGGTGTAGAGGAGTGCCCCATTTTTCATGTGTCGTGTTAATATCGAGGCCCTTGGCTAGAAGATACTTGGTCATGAATTCCCCTTGCCCCAAGCGCGGAGCTATGGCCTTGAAGAGTAGATGTGGTTCAAGCTTTGCCCCATATGCAAGAAGCAGCTCAATTAGAGATGGGTCTTCTTCACGAGCGCTCGCAATAGCGCGTATAAGGGGGATGCTCCCCTCGGGCTGCAACGGTTAGGGTCGGCGCCTCGCAAGAGCAATTCGCGAGCAGATGTAGGGTTCGACTGAAGGCTGTTACTAGGAGTCAGCCCTAGATATTTGGGCTACTCAAGTAAACAATTTCCCATAAAAGAGGCTCGCCGTTAGAAGTGGTCGCGTTGGGATCAAGGCCATTGTCGAAGAACTGGCGAATGATTCCTGGGAGCTCTTGTTTCCGGTGAGCCAGCTAATTGCAGAGGTCGCGCGAGCGCCGGCATCGAATAGCGCAGTCACAATATCAGGGCGTGCCTCCTCCGTCGCGAGTTTGAGTCCCTCGTCGAGGTCCTCAACAGTCAGTCGCCCGCTGGAGATGGCTTCTTGGGTGTTTGACAGATCACCGGCGGCGCATGCGTCGAGGAACTCCTCAACAAATGCCTCGTTAGGTTCCATGATACAGAGGGTCAAAATCAAGGAGGTCGTTGTAAGATGAGATGTGGTAGATCGGTTGAGTGTATGTACGATTACAGAAAAGTCAACAACTATAGCCCGTCTACTGAGCGTAAGTGGGTTATGTAGCTATTCATCGTGTAGTTTAGCCCGCCTATACCGATACAAGTCCGATACAGAGCTAAAATTACCACGCGAAGTCCGGTACTCCGAATCTACATTTTTTTTGAAACTCATTCGCATCCTCTTCATAGATGACACATGGCTAGAGAGACGGGTCCGTCGGTGTGTCTCAACATGTCAACGCCAAGTCGCCGACGTAATCACTCTCTGGCTTCTTGTGAGCCATGTCGGAAATCCAAGACTCGGTGTGATCACAGAAAGCCCATCTGTGCCTCATGTCAACGCCGTGGTCTCCAATGCTGGTATCACCCTGCGCCTATGACCAAACAACGTAATTCCCAAAGACCGACTATCTCAACTCCACCCGGCTCAAACCGTGTGGTACAAAATGAAGTTTCGAGCAGCGCCAATAGTCCCTCGACCGGAACTCCAATGTTCCACATATGGCCGTTCCTGTCAGCCGACCCCAACGATTCGGCATCCCGGGTTCTGATCACCGGGGGTCACAATTACAATATCAAGGCACACGATGAGCACTTGACAACCATTGAAGACATTGTCTCCCAATTGAAATTATTGCCAGTTATTAAAAAAGAATCCACGAGTATTATTCATTCAGTCAAGTTGCACTTGTTCCTAAGCCGCTTGTATTGCAGCTGATCACTTCCATTCGAATTGGTCTCGCAGACTCAGGCTATATAATGGAAGAGACACCCCACCAGATTTCCGTTAATCATGGTTCGCAACTAGCAGACGATATTTTACGCTCATCCTCATCGGAAGTTGTCACCACGCCAGACTTAGACTTGGGGGCCTTCTGTGCGTTATTCACCGGAGCGAATTTGCGTATAGAGACTCTTGGTCTATTGTATACTATGGCAGCACGCTCGTCTCTCTATACTGAAGGTCACGGACACGACAGATACCAAGATGATGGGTTCACTAGGTAAATGGGTTGGTATGGCAACTTGAGCTTGCGACTGGCTCGTGAGCTTGCACCAGAAACAACTGATCTTATGATATGGCTTGCTCATGAGAATCTGCAACTTACCACGCTTTTTGAAGGAGATGCAAGTGAGTCCAGGTCCAGTAGTTCTGAAACAAGCAGTCTGGTATTCACAGTGTCTTAGGTCTAGGTGCCTGGCGACGGGTAGGCGATCTCGCTACAGACCTACTAGCATTGGGCTTGAATAGAGAAGCAACATATTCAGCCACGCCATTCTTTCTGGCGGAGTGTCGACGAAGAAGCTTTGTCCGGGCTTATTATCTCGACAAAGTGTTCGCAGCGGTGTTCAACCGGCCACCTCGAATAACTGCTCGACATGCAGACTGCAACCTGCCGTTGGACTTATCTGATAACGAACTTTTCACATCGTCAGACAAAATAGAACAAGCAAAAGATAACCTTACGCAAGACGGCTGGAACACAGATGAGGAGTATAGAACAGCAACGTGGGCTCGGATACGTTATATTCTAGCAGAGTTTCGTGAAGAGACTGTCGAATATCAATATCGATCCATACAACCTACCGATGCTATCAAGCTCAGGTATGCAGTATTTTGCTATTTTGTTATTTTGCCCCTTTCGTATACTAAGCAAGTTACTATAGAGATTTATCCACTCGCTGCTATATAGCGTGGAACGGTTTGCCCCATTATCTTCAATACAGGCAGGACTGCTGGACATCGAATCTCCCACCCACACTTTGCCATATGCATGCAAAAGTCTACCTCTCATATCTTCACATCCACTTCCAAGTTTACCGATTACTTGGCAATGGTGATGGTAACAAGACTCTTCAACCAGAATTGCTTGAGGTGTCAGCAAACATGCTCGAAACAGTTGTACAAATGACGAGTTGCCGCGCGAGATCTTCTTCTTCACCTCGCGACCTGCCTGGAATTGTATGTACCCCACTCTAATGTTGCGTTAGCATAGAATATCTCTCACTAACGGGCGCAAGATTCTCGCATATGGTTTGCCGTGTGCTGCAATTCTCTCAACGGCACTGGAAACTTTTTTTCGAGATTTATCAAAAGGATCACATCTTCTTCCCGGCATCAAGATCTCGACTCTTATTCGAAATCTTTCTGTCCTGGGGTCTCAACTCGAAACCGTTTCCAGTCCTAGTGAGACCAATCACGTATTTTGCATCAAAGCCTCAAAGGCTATCTCGCGCAAGCTCGACCGCATCTTGGATAACTTTACAACGGCCGGTTCTACAAAAACTCCTGACCGTTTACTAGAGCCAGTCCCGACACTACCTACGCTATACAGTAGTTCCACCACAACAATAACGGATATTGATATGACTGGCTTCGTTGATTTTGATCACTTCGACCTTGCAGATTGGGCAATTAATTTTGATTTAGGCACTATGAGTGATGAGTGGAATATGTTTTGAGAGCGCAGTTTTTCCGCAGCACAAGTCAGTAAAGACTAATTCGGAGTTGTGAATGATTCGTATGTACTTTGTAGTAGGCAATGCGGATATTGCGGAGATTGCGGAGGTGCCGATCGTTGTGACGTCGACGAAGATGCCTCGGTAACTCCAAAACATCATTCAAAACAAACCCTCCTTTCCACACATCTTCCACGGTTGCCGCATGATAATTACCACTAATCTTATTGCGATATTATCCAAAAATTTGCCAACCCTCTCGAGCACAAAACCATGGCGACAAGCTTGCTATCGCGATACCCATGGGTAGCAGGTCCGTTTGTGGTCAGCGCCCCCATGAAAGTAATGTCCGGTCCAGCGCTGGCAGTAGCCGTCTCTCGCGCCGGTGGACTAGGGTTCATTGGCCCCGGTGCCAAAACACAGGACACAAGTGACGATCTCGAGAAAGCATCATCACTGATACGCCAAGGGGCCAACACAGTACCAACTCCCGGCTCAACACTACCTGTCGGCATAGGATACCAGCTCTGGGGTGACGACATCAATGTTGCCGTTGCCGCTATCGAGAAGCATAAACCATGTGCAGTCTGGCTATACGCCCCACGCCAGGGACCCAAGGAATACGACGACTGGTCTAGCAAGATCCGTCAAGCATCCCCTGACACCCAAATCTGGATTCAAATTGGCACCTTGAAGGAGGCAAAGGAGCTTCTTCAGAACCGTGAGCGACCAGATGTTATTGTTGTGCAAGGGGCTGAATCAGGTGGCCACGGTCGGGCGAAGGATGGAATGGGGCTTATGGCACTGTTTCCCGAAGTGGCAGATGCCATGGCAGGCAGCCAGATTGCTTTGTTTGCGGCTGGCGGAATCGCAGATGGGCGCGGTGTTGCAGCGGCACTGTGTCTTGGAGCTTCAGGCGTGGTGATGGGGACTCGATTCCTGGCTGCCAGTGAAGCACGCATTAGCCGGGGTTACCAGGACGAGGTTGTACGTGCAGTCGATGGTGCGACCTCAACCACGCGTACGCTACTGTATAATCACCTCAGGGGCACTTTTGGGTGGCCAGAAGAATATAGTCCCCGGACTATCTTCAACAAATCATTTGTTGAGCACCAGGAAGGGAAGTCTTTCGAGGAACTGAAAAGGCTTCATGATGAAGCTGTTAAGACGGGCGATAACGGCTGGGGGCCTGAGGGGAGACTTGCGACATACGCAGGAGCCTCTGTCGGACTGATACACGACGTGAAAGGCGCAGAAGATATTGTCCGTGAGATTCGAGGAGATGCATTGGAAATATTTCAGCGGCTGGTTCCCCGAAAAGAGTAGGAAACAATTTCAAACAACTTTGTTGCATAAAGCTGAGCTGAAATTTGATTAAAAAAATGCCTACTCTGTGCATCTAATCAGATGCATGAGCTGAGATCTTTATGAAAATCCATGTGATAATGTCTTCAAACGTGTCGAAATAGGAAGGTTTATAAGAAGAGGTCTAACTTCGGAGCACGGTCGAAGAGAAAATTTCCCATTACCACTAAATCTCGACTATCCTCAGCTAATACGCGTATTACCAGCTAGAATCCAGTCACTATTTCAATTTAGATACCATTTCCTCCAAGCTTGATACCCTCCACAAAGACTATCACTGGCATAAATTGGCCCTGCAAACTCCAGAGCAGCATTGTGTGCCCGACATACAACTCATTTTATTCAGTCCACAAGTACCGTCCCACTCACAGTACGCATTACTCTCATGTTGAAGACTGCACGACATATGCGCTTGGCAAGGCTTTTCAGCAGAGCACTGCATACCACGAACATCCTCATCTCTCATGCAGACCATCTCGACACTAGAAGCTCCAGACGAATTGAGAACACGGGTAGGGCGACACTGCAGGCCTGAAGGACACTCGGAGCCCCGCATACAACGCAGGTTCTCTGCGGCAGCCATACACATTCCACTCTGACAATGACCCGCGACACACTGGCCGTCTTCCCTGCAAAGGGCGCCAGTTACAGAAGTTCGCTGGCAGGTCATGGAGCTTGAAGAGCAGTACATGCCATAATCCGGGTGGGTTGATTGACAGTTCTGTCCACTGGAACAGCTGTCATTGGGGCAGTTGCTTGGACTCTTGGTAGAAGCATGATCACTTGAGAAGATATGTCCCTGTCTGTCGGTAGGAGAATGCACCGTCATGCATTTCATGCTTCTGACATGTTTGCCAACACCATCTCCGACAGCTTGTCTGAACAAATTCGCATGGGGTCGGGTAAATGTGAATAGCTCGTTGTTGCAAGAGTTGTCGCTAGATGATTTAGCACTAGACATTTGTAGTCGGAGTCTATTGACTTACGAGTACATTGAGCACATCATGTCTTGCTTGAGCTCGGACGGACAGGGGACATAGATTGATCCAACATTCATGCGGCTGATACTTTGGTCAACAAAACTACATGGATATGCGCAGAATATTCAACTTACTACTCGGACATGTTGTCGAAATTCATGCAATTGCCATCAGACGCAACGAGCATTCCTTTTCGGCCGGCATTCATTGCGAAGTCATTTTCTTTGAAAATCATGGCCTAGATAAAGAGTAAATGGATTGATCAGATGGAAACACTCTCCGTAGCCGTACCTGATTAATGACCATCATAATCGGGCTAGCAGCCAGTGCCAAAGGCACAAGTGCAAGAATATTGACAAAAGTAGACATTATTTTTGTTGATTGCGATGGTTTGGAATAGTCAATGGTGAGTGGTGGATTAACTGCTGGATGAGAAGCAAGCTTTATACTCGAATTTGCTATCCGAGCGTGCTACTTGGTCTTTTGAGTTGTACCTTATGCCTGTGTGCTCCTTTTGCTTTTTGATTGCGATAACAAGAAATAGGCCCTTGTCAAGTCTGCATGTCGTCTGATCTAGGTATCTCAATTCGTCACAAACCCGGCATCATCGGGAAAGATTGATAGACCCAACAGTCAAATCACTTAAACTTCACGTTGTGTAATTTCAAGGCTAGGGCTTTCGGGCTAGATCGTTGAAAAGGATCAAATTGGAGTCGTTGCCTTTCAATGTGCAACCTTAACCCATACCCGAATGTTCGGCTAGATCTCAATCTCAGTTCCGCAGTTCCAACGTTGATTGATGTCTCAGTTTCAGGGTTGTACACATGTTCGTACGGATAACAAGGACTAACTATTGTAGGACAACCTTATACATGTATGTGCAACAAAATTCTCAGCAAGATATACGTATGTACATTCAGCCTAAAGGCAAATAAACTGAGACAGTTGTTCTATACATGATACGCATATACAACATTGAGAATTTTGTTTATTGGGGATAGTGACGTGCTAACCAATAGTTCCTCGTCTCGTATCACGAGAGTGGCGAGCGGTTCTATGTACTTTGATAGGTAAGTTTTCAAGATAGTTCAAATTTCCATATAGGTACCTTGTATATTAACCTAACAGCGCTCAGTTACACTAAGTGAAACGCAAAAAAGAAATGGCTAATTTTGCAACACTTTCAATGTTGTGCCAGCGAAAGATTGACCATCAATGGCTTGCGTTCCCAAATATTAAAGGATTTCTGGATATTCCAAGCAGTTGAACCCTCGTCCATGGTCATGTCGAAGCTCCAGAAGACCTTGGTCGCAATTAGACGCATTTCTGCATAAGCAAGGCTGTGGATGGATACAATTAGCCCGATTTCGGAAGATATAGAAAACCAAAACTTACTTTCTTCCGAGGCAGTTACGGGGCCCAAGTGAGAATGGTTGAACTGCTGTCCGACTGTCCGACTCGAATCGCTTGTCTCTGCTCTCTAGCCATCTCTCAGGGATAAACGAGTCCGCTTCGGCAAAATGAGACTCGGAATGGTAGGTAGAATAGTGAGCCCCAGACACAGAAACCTGTTGAAGTCAATATACATGAAGATCACACTTGAAAGTAGAGACATACATTCTCTGGAACGAATTGCCCATCAATCAATGCACCCTCCTTGGGTACAACCCGCGGAGTAATAGCCGGGACAGGTGGGTAAACCCGCAGACTTTCCTCGAGTGCTGCATTCAGGTAAGTCAGTTGACCAACTCTTTGGAAATCAATATCTTCGTAGGATTTGAATGATTCTCGGATCTCATCCACGAGTTTCCGATAGGCCAGCGGGTTTGCCATGACATAATAAGTGAATCCGGAGAGTAGACTGGCGGTCGTCTCACTCCCAGCGAGGATCAACAAAGCCGCATTTGCTTCCATCTCCCGCATAGTCATGGACCTGTCATCATTGTATCGCAGGATGTAAGTCATGAAATCCGGCCGTTCAACCTTAGTCTCCAATCGGCGATGGACTTTGTTTGTTGCCAAAGTGAATGAGTCTTCTCGCATCTTTGTGAGCCTTTTCGGGAGAAGCCGCCTGACAATCGGTGCCAAAAAAGGATAGACTAACAGTGGTCGCGATAATGCCAGCACTTTCATGCTCACAAAGACCATCTTGACCCATGGATGGTATTGTCTTTCCCGTAAGCAGTCAAAGGGCTCACCAAAAGCCAAGTCCCCAATAATGTCAAATGTGGTGAAGTTGTACCACTGAGACATGTCGACTGTTTCCCGCGGTGATGAAATTGTCTCCTTCAGTCGCTCCACCAACATGTCAACATATGACTGGACTAGGCTTTCTTGCTCGCGCAGGGCCTTTTCAGAGAAGGCATGCGAGAGCAATCTTCTTTCTCTTGAGTGGTCTTCATCGTTGGCGTTGACAAGGTTTGGCCCTCTCGGCCCCTGAAGGTAGAATTTGGGGTCTTTCAGGAACGACCCAGCTCCAGGTTTGCGGTGGCCGTATATATCCTTCCATGCCTGTGGGCTGCGATAGACAAGAGACTTGGGAGCCGTCCGAACTACATCTCCATATTTATCATGGAGTTCCTTCAGTTTGTAGTGATACTGCCCTGTTGATGTCCAGTATAAGTTTTGGAGATTGGTGCATGCGGCAAGTTTCGGCCCTGGAAACTTCGACAGTGGGCTAAAGTAAAGGTTGTAAACCACGGTCCATAAAAAATATCCTAACGGCTGATATTCTCAGTGCTGTGACCCAGATGCGACAAATTAAAAGACTTACAGTGATGGCGACTAGATAGATGACGGGTATCGTATCAAAAGCCTCTGTGTTAAAATTCCAAGATACCATAATGAAAGTGGGCAGTCAGCCGGTATTCATAAATGGCAGTCCTTGGGGGAAACAATGGATATCTCAGATTCTTAACAATCAAGCAGTTGTGATTTGAAGGATATGCCAAGTGGCCTGTAGACATTTCCCCGCAAAATCACATGGGATTCCATGGATACCCCCGGGAAGCGTCTTAGTGCTTGGTTAGCGTGCATTTCGAGGTGCATTTTAGCGAAGGAAAGTCGCATGTTGTGGGCTCTGCCGACCCTGGTGCTCTTGACTGAATAGAAAATCATTTCCGTAGCCTCAGAGCTTGCGAGCTATGCGGGCCATAGAATGGAGATCCGTGGAAGATTTCAAGATTGCGAAAACAGTATGCTGGGGTATATGATATTATGTATAAAGCTGTTAAACCCTGTCTCACTTTCTAACCACAGTTTCAAGCATCACAGACCAAGGTTCATAATGAACCAAGGAAGTCCATCATCCAGGCCTCATCAATCCCACCCAAAGGCATAACATCGGGGAGTATAGCATCAGCCTGGATCATGCCACTATCGATCCCGGTGTTCGCGGGCATATTTGGGCGCCATATTTCGATCAGTTTCGGCTCCCAGTTCATTCTCATGCCTTGAATCATTCTCAATCCCTTTTCTAGAAGGTTCATTTCCCTGCTTTGGTCGAAAGTGATGTATTCTGGGCACTTTCTGATGATGGCTTCGTTTCTCTTCAGGTATTCCAGGACATTTGCGGTGTCTCGGACCATACTCTTGGACCATGCCGGGTCTTCCAATATGGTGAGTTTGTACAGGTTGGTGATGGCTCGAGTGAATTGGAAAAAAATGACACATGATAGCTGTAGGTAATCCTCTCCTTCAAGTTCTAGCCATACATCTAGCCAGCCTTTTGTTGCTTGGAGGGAGGCGTAAAGGCTGTCAAGTCGATGGAGATCAGGCGAATGTGCAATGGCAGGGGCTCCTATTGATAATTCGTTGATTACAATTTCGGCATTGTAGAGATACATCAGCACGACTCCTTTTGTCTTGTTAGTCATGGCTGTGGGGACTCGGGTAAAAACATACTATGCTGTAGAAGGTGAGGCGGGATTTGGCTCTTCACTGTGTCTAATTGATTTTTGAAGCTATCCAGATAGAAGGCTAGCGAGACGAAAGCTTCACCATCCCGCCGCAGTTGATGGACTCTATTTAAGACCAAATAGATCTTGACTAGTGCAATCAGGAGCTCATCCTGGGGACACTCTTTAGCCTCGGCGAGTATTGAAAGACTTTCTTCCATGTGCGGTGTCCAGCGCATAGCGTCGATTCTGGACATTGCCAATGCGGCACTGGTAGTATAGCTGTTAATTATTGCTTACAGAGCTCCTTTGGATATTTATTATTTACCTTGATGAAATCAAGAAGCATCCCAGCACAGCCCTTCTCTCTTCCAGTGTTCTGGCTGTGGGTGGAGTTTGCTTCATTCCAATAGCGACTTTGAAAGAATGCATGGCTGAATACTCATTTGGGACACTTTGATTGATCCCAAGCTCGGCGACAACTGCCATTAAAATGTGTGCATAGACATTGAGAAATGGCCGTTTAGTGTATGTAACCCTGCAAAGAGAATTGGAATGAGAAAAGTGGTTTTCAAAAGTGTACTTCTTTTCTGCTCACCATGATACGAAAGTCATGATCCCAAGGAGAAGATCCATGCTCGGCACAAGGTCGAGCATAACTCTCTGATGAATATGGTTGGTAATTCTCCCGAAAGAGTCACCTTTTTCTGGGTTGTTATATGTGGTGATTTCCATAATGCATACCCAGAGGAATGGGTATTTCTGTTGCAATTGGTCAGAGGTTAGGTTGGAAGGAATGTAGACAAAGGGGAGATATTGCAAGTTCTGAGTGCGGAACTGGTCGAGGCACTTCTGAGCCATGGCTGGCGGGACGTAGATCAGGGATAAGATCTCCCTATCATACGAGGGCAGAAAGTGTGCAGGATACTGTCCTTCCTCGGCAGTTGAAGAAGAAACACTAGTTGGGGTTTGAGTGGTTGGTGCAGATTGGCTTGGATCATGCCGTTGACTCTGTCCTAGGTTTACAGATTGCCAATCTGGAGGAAGACCGGGCGTAGCACCACCCTTTTCAAATGCGGACATAATCCAATCAAGTTTGGCCTCGAGATTGGCAGTATTAGAAGCCGACGGTGGCTTATTGCGCTTGCGAACTGTCTGCGCAGGCCGGCATTCCTTGTTTAGGCGCTGGCATCTACACCGGTGTGCTTAGTTCGGGCTATTGCCACACTCTCTAGCAGCGCCACTCACCTTTCGCAGCCACTACCAGTTGTGGGAAGAATGCATTTGCACTTGGCACGAGAACAGTTCATACATGCGCGGCCATATGGCGCAGGGGTCCCGCCTGGGATTTGAGCGGATTCCATCCCGATGCCCGGTGGGATTCGGAATTGGGATATTAAATTCGAATTAAGATATTGGAGGACGCTTGTCTCAGAAAGATGTAAGTCCTAATACGGAGTAAAATGATGGCAAATAATGGCAATATGCACCTCTCATCAAGACTAAATTCATAAATGGAAAAAGAAAAAGGAGAGATTTTCCTCAAAGAGCGTCCGTTTCAGAAGAAACAAAGAAACTCGGAGTTGGGGAAGTCGCGAAACCCGGCTGACTAAGAGGGTCCACAGGCCCCGGGGTACCTACATAGGTCAGTGTATATATAACTAACAATGCAGCCACACTCGGTATTAAGCACATCCCTACGGTACGCCTAGATTAGGAAGCAGAAAGAGAGCGAATAAGGCAGCTATACATAGGCTATCTAAAGAGAAGCGGCAAAAGAACCTTCATTTGGTTTGTTCGCTTTTTGAAGACAGGCATTGGTTGATTTTCTCGATCGAACATTGGGCTGGTTGTAGGTTCCCTGGGATTTCAATCGTACGGGTCGCTAATGTTTACTCCGTTTGATAGTTTGCTTGGTGTTGTGCCCCGACCGTGCGGTTGGATAGAGCGGGCCTGACTGGTTGGAGACTTCCAAGGGATCAAGTGAACAGCAGCCGGTCGATCCTTAAACAGAGTGCTTGCAAGGCAAGTAATGTCTATCTGTAATGGAACCTGCCCGTCGAAGCCCGCCATATCATGTGTCCGCCGCTCTGATTTCGAGAGATTACGTGTTACAGTCCAGCACATTACGCGCCCCGCTCACACTGCCTGTTGATAAGGCCCCGGGGTCGCGCATCGCTTCCATGGCAGTGAGCACATACTCAAATTGAACGATCGCTGACGACCCTCCACCCTATTCAGTCTTTTCATTTGGCCAACTAAGCCCCAATTATCTACCGCTGGATTATCTCAACATTCTAGTAATAGCATCTCTGTGTTTCGTCGTCCCGACTTCACCGCGTGCGCCTCTCCCACCAATGCCTATACTAATGGATTGAGCACTGATCGCGCTGGTGACTACTTGCCTGCGCGCCTACCGACTGATGCAGACTTTGTCTCTGCACAGTTTCGTGGTCTGCGGAGGGTGTGTCACAGTCAACTTTTATTACGAGGTGACCTCACGTCTCGATTGACTTCCCTCGACCAAGAATCACAAAGCCAAGCTGTTGACTTCATCAGCAAAAATAAAGGACGCTTGGCCCCACCCAGCTACATGTCATAATACGAATCGCCTGTCACGCTACCAGAGATCTTTTGTCAAGAAGTCGTCGGAATCGTTTCGCGTCTATGGTACCGCTCCATTAACGCATGACTCACACCGGATGCAGGACGACTTGAATACTGCTCTTCGCTCTCAGTCAACGCATTGCTTTATTGGGCATATATTTTGTGTACTGAGTGAATTGCATGAAGAGGAGCAAGTAAATTATACTTTCCACACATAAAAACAAACACCAAACCCCCAAACCCTTACACAATATTGTGAGCTTTGCCAATCCCATCCGTCCATAGGTCCGCCCGTTGGTAACGCTCGGTAAGAGATGTACAATGGGTGAGGTGTGCAGAGTGGGGGTGACGTCAGCTAGATCCCTACTGCGGACGGAATCTTGGAGTTGAACGCGGGGGCACCGTCATGCAACAAGGCGCAACACGGTCTGGGTCGTTAGAGGCCTCTGGTCCAAAATGGTGCTGTCTGACACAACTGAACATATCGCACTCCGTACATTTGGCCATAGGGCTTGAAGAGAGCCTAAAGCGATCTTCCGTTAGCCCGGTAACATACCTGATACCCATAATTCTTTCTATCAAGGCACCCCCGCTCCCGTGGCTTAGCTGCATCTGCGATGACATCTATGCTGACACCTCTTTGCTCTACTAAGCTACCGCCCATGTAATAGTGTCGGATTGGTCGGACGGAAGACATGTTTCCTTGGGGCAACTTCTTCTTCTGCCGTCAGGTATTCATGCTCTCCAATCGCTCTGGATGTCGAATCACATGTTCAAGAAATTAGCGGCATCAGAAGGGAGGAAGCTAATTAACCTCCGATATAGGCTCTAGAACTGGCCAGGCACAGCGTGTTTATATTGTTCTCTGTTCGATCATAAAACATGTGAGCAAGGGCACGATTCACAGGAATGCTTCTTAAAATGCAGGATATAACCTCGTTTGTGTCAAACCTCTGCCTCCAGAGGAGGACTCCGGGTCCTTTCATTTCATACCTGCTAGAAAACGCACTACAGTGACAGGATGGATTCTAGATTTCTTGGCTAGGTGGAGAACGCTTAAAAGAGTAACTGATGCCCAAATCCGTCTTATCCGACAATGATGGTGAGGTTATCAGCCTTGAATGATACTCTTAACTTTAAAAGCCCCAACCAATGGCCTTCAATCTTTTTTGTGGGTCCTACATCTCTTTAACAGTGAACCGTGATTCTGGATATCAGCTGAACCGGCTACCCGACGTCAAAGACATATGGTTATGTCGATGCAGTTTACTGGATGATAGCTAGTCTATTGCAAATAGATCTTCTAGTCTAAATATACGAACCTAACAGGTTCGAGGCCAATCTCAGATAAAATTTCCAAGATAAAGTTGTGCAAACTACGTCAATGGAAGGTTCGGAGGCCCAATGTCTTGATGTAATTTTTTTTTCATAGTTCGTATTCAAAGAAACGATACTCGGAGATTGCGGAAGAAATGAATTCAATAGATGTCATCTTGTAGGCAAGAAATCAAATATAAAAGTGTGCGGATACACACTCCATGCCTTTTATTTGGTCAATCAATCTTCACACACCAAGAATTCACCCGTAAAAACATTACAGGCAATCGCTTATATCTCTCTTATTCTAACAAAATGCTCGTCACCATTGGGCTTCTTTTCCTTTCTCATTTGGCGGCTGTGTCACTAGCAGACTGCTGTGATGCGCACTTCGACTTCACCAATGGCCAATGGATCTGCGCAGATGGTACTGTGGCTACTCCCTGCTGTGGAAAGGGCCCATGTAATGCCTTCTGTTGCGATTGTGGTATGTTTCATCCCGATCTGTTCAACACGGTTCTAGAGACAGAATCCTAACCTTATTCGCAAATAGATTGTCGATATCCGAGCTCCAGGAAGCGAGACCTACCATTTTTAATGAAGCGGGCTGATGACGTCGAGCATCTGTTCAAGTCAGTCGACGTCGACAATTCAGGCGACGTCGATTTGGGAGAGTATATTTCATGGGTGAATGAAAATGTGGGCCATGAACATGCAGTATCGCCCAGCTTGTACCTCTCCTACATCGACCATTTTTATTCGTGAGTATACATATCTACACGAGTTTCGCAATAATGCCGTTACTAATCAGCGCAGGTTTGATACGGACAATAATAAGAAGCTTGATCTAGGTGAGGTTCTGGGTACAAAATAAGAAGTTGTTAGTAGTAAGCCAAAATCGGTTATGGTATTGAGTTGTGATGTTGCTGGGGACTCTTTACAGTCGGTCAAAATTTGGCTCACTAGGCAGTCTTGGGAGAAAGCTGAGTATGGTCCACTGGGCAGTCGGGGGAAAAAGCTGAATTGTGAGAATCAGTGAAACTAATTGACCGGGCGGTGGGATCAAAAAAGGACTAACTGTGTTGACGAATATTGTTTTTGTCCGTTCGTTTTTTTCTTGTAGTGGCCCTCACACAAATTGCGCAGATATTATGGCCACGCAGTCTATATATATCACACCCGAGGACCGAGATCAATTTACTTTATCCTTTACTTCTGAGTTTGTTCTTTGCTTTCATCTTGCTTCGACGGCCAGCAGATATCCCTCGAAGGATGGGCTGCTGCTGGATTGCCCCATTTGATCACTACATACTGTGTCGTCTTCTCGCTTTTGAATAGTCGCCTCAGAAATCCACTATGCGCTCCAAAACTGCCGTGTGGTATCTGACAGCATAAGCCAATCAATGCTATGCAATATTTGATTTACATAAATGGTATTAGCCTCGTGGTAGAATAAACTCGGTCTTTTCTCCGCCAGAAAGTGAAGGCTGATAATTGGCATTGGAACTGTAATAAAGAACAGTGACTATGCGCATGAATCTGACCACATACTATCTAGTTTGGTCAGATTAATATACAATAAGGTAATAGCCTTCCCGGGATTCTCATCAATTGTCCACCGATTAAAACCCGGTCATACCCCATCGTTTAAACACTTCTTCTCAAAATGACCCAAGGCTTTTGCCAACCGGGACAAGGCACCTTTCTCTTGGGAATCGTATTACGATAAGGTTAAATAGGAAAAATAGCGTAATCGATTCGCTAAAGGAAAAAAGGGACGGAGAGGGAAAAGGAAGAGAGAGAGAAACGGAGAGAGCTACTGCTATCTACAAACAGGATCTGTTAGTTAACTAGTTATAACTATGTGTTGCATAACAAATCAGGCATCTAACATCCCCCTTAACATAACTAACTACAGATCCTTATCCACTCTATAGAAAGATATTAGGGTTAAATAGTCGAATCATTCCGGTATATACATACTATAAAAACCTCTCAGAGGCGTGCTCACTTTTACTCAGTGATCAAAAAGCGGCAAGGGGTGAGCACTAAAGTGGAAAGAGAAAGCCATATCGATCGGCCTAAAATCCGGTGTGTATGTAGCCCTACATCCCTGGGGTATACGGCCCCGGGGAGTACGACGACACGATTAATCACTTATAAGCATCACTCTATTAAATCTCTTCTTAATACAAGTCTAGGATGATCTAAGGATATTGGGAAAATGCCCGACTTGTAGAGCTTAGGAAGACAAATATCAAGCTTCACTGCCCAGGTGGTTTTCAACAACCCGTGGACTATTGATATTATATATTATAATATAATGAAATACATCTTTAAGGAGAATCCCGGGGAGTAGCGAGAAATACATGTGCCTACCTCAGAAATGTTTTCCTTGGCAGTTTTATAGAAGTCCACGGTGCTAAGCATTACTTATATTCGAGATGACTTATTCCAGACATATAACAGCGGAGACCGCACTTGCCAATAAACCTCAGCCTCACCAGCACGTGCGTAAGCGAGGATAGAAAACACACAGTGCCTACAACTTCAACATAACAATCTAAGGGTATATGCCAACTCAACAGAGGTCTACAATAGAGAGACACGTTGATAGATATACGGGAAAGGAATCAGACGGTTGTCGGCCACGCTATGTCTTCTTGCAATTTCAACTGCTCAGCTCCCACCCCCGCCTTATCTCAAAACAGCGATATCACTGGAATTGGGGTATGAGTTTCCCCCTAGGCCTTTCTCTCATCGGCCATGGGCGCATCTCACATTCTTAGAACATTATCAACAGTATCGTGACTGCCGGCTTCGTTGTAGTGATCATTTCCCTCCATTACGTCGCCGTCTACGATCCAACCTGCGACCCGTTTCAAAAGGATGGCCAAACTCTACCAACTCCGTTTCGACCTAACCCAATCGACGAAGGTGTCTTAACACAGCTCAAATTAATCCTATGGCACGCACCATTCGTCAAAAATGGCGGCAAAAAACTTGCAGACTTCTTACTCAAGGTGGGTTAATCTTATGAGATCGGATCGGTGAACCAGGAATGATTAAAAATAACTTCGAAAAAAACAGTGCATCCGAGCATTCAGCGACATACAAATCGTGACAGGCTTCTCCATCCTGATCAGCGGGTATATCCAGCTCAGATGCGGCCTGTCAACCTATCATTGGCTGGTCATTGTCCACCTGGCCTGGATTTCCTGCCTGACTCAGTTATCTTGCTTAACGCTTCTGCGCAACCATCTTCATGACCACCCTATAGAGCGGATATTGAGGTTACTGGCAGTGGGTGTATTGGTGGTACTGTTGATTGTGGGGCTTAGTTTCACTGGAAACTATCGCTGGGCCTTTGACGCAGACAATGGCGATCATCCGACCCTTAGTGACCCTGCAGTCTGTTATATGCGCGCTCGTCCGGAGATGAATTCGGCGTTTTTGTCGATGCCTTTCTCGATGATATTGATGATCTCTGGATTTGCCTCGAGGGTGATTAATCTCTACGATACACGTTCAGTTGGTATTATTGGACGAGCCAGAACCTTCCTTGCAGGACACGTACGAAGGTTGCTACGCATTGTGTATAATTGGAGCCACCCGTCTGGCTCGCCACAGAGTCTGAAATTGATGCTTTGCTACCTTCCCCTCTTATCTGTATACTTCACGTGTTTGGTGCTCGTGGATGTGTGGGATTCCGCCATTAAAGAGGTCAGATATCTCATATGGGACGTGTGTTGATTACATCCCATGTTTTCTGACTTGGCCTTAGGTCGTCTGGTTAATTGTCGCCTTTGTATATGGTATTATCCGATTGATAGGGACCATATATCGACCGGAAAAGATGGGCCTCGAGGCTTCGTTGACTGGTTTCAACAATTGGTCGTTTGGCCAAGTTGCTTCTGCGGTATTACTGGCCGCACCGCTCATCACAATCATCGAGTATTTCCAGGAAGGTGAGTCAAATCTGGTGATTGCTATCTAGGATCAACTAAAAGGTCTAATACTTGCGTAGAAGATGACATTAGCGCACAAAATGAGCCCCTCGCAGACGACGAGACTCCTACACAAGACGAGACTCCCGCACAAGATGAAGAACAACCTCTCTCTGGCGGTCAAACCGTACCCCGGCCCGAACTCCTTTCTATACCAAACCCAACTACCACGGATCGCAACGACCCCGACAATGATTGGATGTCGCACCCCAACATACCCAATCTGATCTATATACATCTAGCCATGTTAATTTTTCCAGTTATCTCCTGGGCGGCAGACCGTGATCCCGGCAAGATGAACACGTTGTTATTAGACGGTACTATCAGCTTCTCGGGTCTTTGGGTGGTTGTACTCATTCTTTACTCTTTGATGGCGGAGAGTGCATTTGCGGAAAGGAAGCCTACACTCAACTTCTTTCTACAACATGGGATAAAGTTATACAGCGTTGCGTTTATGAACTTTTATATCTCCATTTTGGCAATGGTTGCTTATTGTATCCTGCCGCTCCTCATTGTCGGTGCTTTGGCATATCGATTTTGGGATTGAGAATCTAACATTTTCAGTATTTCCTTTTTCTTAAGTCTTACACTCAACGGAGATCTCAGCCTTCGTGCGGTTGGCATTGTCATAGATCCTCATTACACAATTCATGATGCTCTAGGATCACTGACATCATACTATCATACTCTGCAGCCTCGTATGTCTCCTGCCAATACTTTTCCCTGTGATAGCTGGGTCCCTTCTGCTTTGTACCGAATACTCCCTTTCAAATCCCCTATAGCCGGCCCAGCGCTGTAGCTGTTCGCTCCTCCATTACATCTCACTCCCAACAACCGGCAGCTTTCCTCCAGGAAAACGTTAATAAATTGCATCCTCGTCCTTGTCGCGACCTTTTATGACTTCGCGATAAATTCGAGTTGTGTCCAAGCTCGAAGCTTGTCAAGCTATTCCAGAAACTTGAAACCCTCCTCCATCGGCGTGGTCAGCGTTGGCCTGATATAAATCTCTAAGAAAGGTCTCTCCGTGAAAATCCGGTCCAAGCCAGCTGTGTCAGTACAGGCCCTTGACGTCGCCCTCTTCCCATTCCATATATGTGCTCGTCAACACAACCCGGTGTCGTCTTGGGTTCGATATACCATCGATTGATATCACGTAAAACATTACCAGCCGGCCGACTAGGGCAAATAAATGGGCTGGTTATCAGGTCCTAGCAGGAACTGGTCGTGTTGCTGGACTCCAAATGGTAATGTTTCCCAGTGTTACGATAGATATAGCCTCAGGAGCGACTGTCCTTCTTCAATTGACACGGCCATAATCGCAGTCCAGAACGTTCTGTGCAGGAACAGGTTGAAGAGGTCGATCGAGTGTTTTGTCTTTATTCATTGGATTGTGGACTTCCGTCTGACTTTGAGCTTCGAGCCGAAAAGTGCGCTTTTCTCTGGACTTACGTTAGAAGGCTTTTACAATAAGGCACAGATGCTATCACATCTTATTTTATCGTTTGTGTCAAAGTAGACAAGATGTCCAGATGCCATTGGTGCCGCGAACCCGAGTAAACGGGGCACGGCTATAGACTAGGTGATTCGAAATGACCGGTTCAAAAGACCAAATAGAGACATCACAAATCTCCACTAACATAGATACCAAATCCAGAGAGTATACTCCGAGTCCAGCTGGTAGTTTCGATATTGATCTATCCCTCATGTATTCCTCCTTTGATCCCCACCACAAAGCCCCCCAGTCAACCCGACGCCTGAAACGAGGCCTGCTACTCACAGCCGCTCAGTAGAAATAATCTATTGCTCGGTCTGGAAGTAGTTGAGGAGAACGGAGCGCTCCTGGGACTCCTCACCCCAATCCTTGACAACGACGCAAGAGCAGTTGACAACCTTGCGGGCGTTACCCTCACGGTCGAGAGTGCCTAAAGAACAAAACGTTAGCAAATATACCCCCAAATTGAATATCCTGTATCAATAGAAGGGGAAAACATACAGAGACCGACCCACTCGCCGAGCATCTTTCCGTCAGGAACCTTGATAAGGGGAATCTTGTGCTCGGAGCAGAGAGCGACGACAAGCTTCTTGTAAGCCTCCTCCTCGCAGCCCTCGTTCAGGACACACATGTGGGCCTCGCGGCGGTCGAGGGCCTTGGCGGCCTCACGGAGACCACGGGCAAGACCGTCGTGGATCAGGGAGACGCGCAGAACACCCTTGAGGGCGTCCAGGACGGACATCTGGCCGCTGCCGGCATCGGCAGAAACCTCGACCTCCTCAGCGGGGGCGATGGGGGATGTGGGCTCTTCTCCGTCCGACTAGAGTACTATTGTTAGTATTGTGTGCTTCAAAGGTTCTATTGCTTGGATCGTTGTCGTGACTCTTGAGAGTTGGAATTGGACTGGACCAGTGCAGCGCATAGATAAGACAGCCGACGAGGGGTAGCCTCTACTGCGGCGTCGCAATCGCTCTCGCCGGCCATGTCCATTCCAGCATCTCAATTGTCGTGACTAGATCTGAGGCGGGTGCGGGTATGGTGTGAGGGTAATTCGCGGATATGAAACATACCATTTTGTTGCTTGTTATGCTTGAAATCGGATGATCCTCGAAGAGTAGAGTTGTTGGAGAGAGAAATTAAGTGGTGGTGCGGGCGGCGTGAAATTTCCCGCTATTTCGACTTTTTCGGCTGTGTGTGCCCTACGATTATGTCATGCGGTCCCCGCAAACATAGTCACGTGATATGCTTATCCCATCCATGGATCTATACAATCCATGTTTGTATGTTAATGCGACAGGTTTGGTTTGATGGCACTTTTAATCTAACCTTTGGGTTTTCTAACTTAATATGGGATTTACTACCTTACTACAAATATCTACATTTATATAAATATGTACGAGGAGGTAAGTTGAGTTTGAACTGAGTGTTATTTGAACACGGGCATGCATGATTACATTCATGACCACAGTGACTACAAAGAAACCATAGCAAAACTACCTAACAATAGTAGAATCATCACTGAACGCAAGAGGTATCATAATCGTACAATCAGAATCCGCCCTGTACACCGCTTCGCTGAATTGCTGACATCGCGCCGGGTCCAGCGAAAAGACGCTGAAAACAAAACTAGACATATGTACTAGGCCTAGAAGGGCCATAACCATTGAGACCGGTTCCGTTGGTTTCGACTGAGGATCCCGGGCCATGGCCATTGAGTTGGGGAGTGCCGAAATCTGCGCCAGTCGTCGGCGGCTCCGGATCGACGTGCATGTTCAAGAACTGCAGTTCTAGGCCGTGCAGGTGAGGGATGTGTGGGACGAGGTCTGTGAAATCAGAAAGCTAAGAAACTTGTTAGTTGAGGAGCATAACCTGCAGGCTCAAGAAAACTTACTCGGATCCAGAAGACATGCTCCATCTCGAAATACTTGGGGCGCGTGTCACAATCCTTCTGCATGATCTGTCCGATGCTCGAGCTTTGGAATCCAACATCGTCCGTATGAGTCAACATGCGACGGGTGACTCGCCACAGATTCACACGTTGAGTCGGTGTCGCCTTTCGCTTCTCCCAGCTGGCGTATTGCGAAAGCTGCAGATCATTGGTAGCTAGAAGAGGCGCAACCAAGTAGTTCGGTATCCATTTCTCGTCGGCGACATCCACACCACAGCTAGGATCGAGTTGACGGGTGAGGGCAGTAACTAGAGGCATGAAAGACTTGAGCCACTCATGACTTTTCGCACGGGGGTTGTTGGAGCCCACGAGGTTCGCTGCAACACGAAGGCGACTGGGAAGTGCCTCACGGCGTCGGTGCTCTGCTGCCTCGCGATCACGGCGCATCTTAGCGGCTCGAGCGCGTTCTTGCTCCAACCGCTTCAGACGATCATCTTCGGCTTGTTTGGCGCGTCGTTGTTCAATCTCCTTGCGTTTGCGGTCTTCCTCTTCAGCTTTTTCAACCTGGGCCACGCGTTCGGCTTCTTCTTTGGCAAGTCGATCGCGCTCGGCTTCCTCTGCAATGCGCTTTTCGTTCGCGGCACGCTCCTCTTCCGCCTTCTTGGCCTGGGCTCGTCGACGCTCATGAGCTTCAAGCTCGATACGTTTCGCGACGGCCATTGTGTCTTCCATGGTGTCGGCTCTAGGCTCGTGCGATTCCCTTTTCGTATCGCCGTTCTTCTTGGCGGGATCATGACGGGGTGACGTTGGGCGGGTTGGGGGTTTTTTGGAGGCGTCGGTGGGTTTGTGTGGTTGAGGTTCAGCAGCTCGATTAGATTCCTCGTGGGGTCGGCGAGGATGGGGTTTGCTGGCATCATTAGGTTGCCTTGGTGCACCATGTGTAGCACCAGAAGACTTATCTTCAGAGACAACCCGTCTCTTCTTTTTGCGCGCCTCGGGAGATAAGCGATCACTATCCGTGCCACGCGAACGAGATCGTTCCGGGGACCCATCAGCGCGAATGCGCTTCAAAGACAATGTGTTATCCGGTGCTGTATCAACACGCGGCTTCGGTGCCTCTTCGCGTCCAGAGAGCGAATCAGATGAGAAGAGACTCGGTCTACGCTCCTGGGGGCGACGTCCAGCAATGAGGCGTCTCTTTCGAATGTCTTCGTTGGGTGCCACCCCACTAGACTCGCTGTCTCGTCTGGCGGATAATGAAGATTTGGGTTTGGAGGAATCCGATGGTCGTGATGGATCGTGCTCTTTTTGACGACGCTTTTCTTTGATTGGATCCATGTCTTTCAAAGAATCGCGATTTCTGTTGGCGTTGGGGCTGGTGTTGTGCTTTTTGCGCGCGACAGGGGAGGAAGATCCTCTGCGTGGGGGACGTTTCTCCTCCTTCTCTTTCCCACGAGCACGGCGGGGTGAGTCGTCTTTGCGACGCTTGTCGGAACCTCCAAACCTTTCATACGCCTCTTTCAGAATCTGATACTCGTCCTCCCAGTTCTCACCCTGTCGACCACGAGACAGTTCAAAATACGTTCTTTCTTCAAACAGTCGTCGCGTGGGGTTAAATCCGGGTTGGTTTAGGATGAGCTGGATAACAGCGCTGTTACCTCGGCCAATTGCAGCAAGCATAGGTGTGTTGTAACCCGGTTTTTGACCACGCAACGGGTTTGGATCCGCGTCTGCATTTCCCATCGCATACAAAAGAGAGAGGACATCGTGGTGGCCACCCTTTGCCGCAGCAATCAAGGAAGCATTGTCGGCTTTCTGCAAAATATTCAGAATGCTCACCACCCCAGCCTCATCGCCTTTGGCAGCAAACTCTCGAAGGTTCTCAAATGTGGGTTTCGTCCACAGAAGGTCATTTCTCGTGGCTTCGCTTCGCCCACCCTTTCGTCGATTTCCTGCGCCCACTGGAGGGGGCTACGCATCGGAGGCGAATCTCGGGGGCTAGCTGCCGATCCTCTGACCGCCGAAGCTCGTCGCGAGGAAGGTTCCTTGCTCTCTGGTCTTGTATGTTCCTCTGAGCGTCGACCAGGCCGTAAATTGACCTTGGCGTCAGCAAGCGCTTTCCGCATCTCGTCATACTCATCATCATCTACAAAGGACGGAACCAACTCATAAGGCTCATCGCCTTCGGCATTCACAGTTCGCGGGTTTGCACCTGCATCAAGCAGGAGTTTGACCACCTCCACATTCCCGTTCTCCACAGCATCAATCAACGGGGTGTCTTTGTCAATGTTTTTAGTGTTAATCTCGCAGCCTGCATCAAGCAGGAACTTGACAATTTCGGCTTCTCCAGCAAGCGATGCGATCTGCAGGGGGTGTTGCCTGCATTATCGGGGATATTAATGTCTTCCGGTCGTTCGGCATGGCGCATCATCACTTGATCATGTTTCCGATCCGCGCACGCCCGCGCAAGAGGAGTCCGGCCGCTCTTGTCACGCAGCTTCTTCGGTCCCATTTGCTTAGCAGGGGACGCGGACGCACCGACTCCAGAGCCAAGCTTGCGTAAATGCGCCCCCGGCAGTGGGGAACCGCTTTGAGAGGAGGAGGTCGACTGTCTATCTTCGGAGCTATGTCGCCCAGAGTCTGTGAGCACAGGGGTTGGCGCCTTCTTCTTCGGGAACCGAGAGCCCGAAGCAGACCGTTGGTGGGATGGTCGATTGGGTGAGAGTGATCGTGTGTTGGATGGAGGTCTGGAGAGGCGCGTATTATTGGTATGTTTAAGTTCCCGCACAGGATGGGATGCTGCATGGGAGTTTGCGCGACGACGATCTCGTTGTTCCTCGGCACTGTCACTTAAGCTTCGCTTACGGAAAGCGCTAGCTATCTCTGACGCACGGTCGATTCCATTGGCAACACCTTCCGTTTCTGACATCTGAGAATCATCGACCTTTTCAATCTTTACTACCGATGGCGAAATTGCTCGGTGGCTTCGAGAAGGAGGGCTCCGTTCCCGTTCCCGTTCCCGTTCGCAAGTGTCGCCAAACACCCGTGGTTTCTTTCGCTGATGTCCATCGGTTCCGTTAGGCTCATGGCGACTCGGATCGTGCTTTATATGCTTTCTTTTCTTCTCCGGCGACAAGGATTCTCGACCTGATTGGATTATTGTCTCCGCCTCCGAATCCGCCCTAGGACTAGGAGGCCCATCCTCCTCCCCTTCTGAATGTACACGTGTCGGTCCATCGCTGTCTACCCGTGGGTGGGGATCTGCACGAGCTTTGCCCGGTGATGAAGGACCAACAGGGTCTGGCTTTACTGTGGCAAGCCTATTCTGACCGACGTCCAGGGCAGCTGGTAAAGAGACTGCCTCGACATCACTCATAGCGATAGCACTCGAAGACTTGAAATGCCGCTCGTCATTTTGGGGCGGAAACGCGACCGACAAAACAACCGTGGTCGACAACGCCAGCAGTTGTGCGCGGACGTCGATCCTGGATCGCGGGTTTCACCCGCAAAGAGAGTCTTGAAACGTGGGCAATACCGCTCCGGGGTACGGGAGCGATACGGGATGTTGATCGAGGAAGTCCGGATATTGGATTTACTGGTATAGGTATATAGGTCGAGGGTGAAATCGAGGGTTGTTTTTTTACCTTGGGAGTTGAATGGGGGAAGAAAGAGAAGTGAAGAGGAAAAGCGGGAAGGGAAAGGAATGGGACTGGATTCATTGGGCGTAGGGCTCCTCACTGGGTCAGGTTTGGCCACAGTAGAATCATCGAGCTGCAGGTGGGGATTTTGACTACTGGAAACATGCTTGTATCTTAGAGGGGGTCGACGTTAGAGCTCTTGATATTTTACTCGTTTTTTTTTTCCTTTTTCCTTTTTTCTTTTTTCATTGAATGTCCTTCCTGTTCCGAAGGTGAATATCCATAGATACTCCATACGGGAGACGATACGACAGATACCGTGATACCGTGAAAAAAGGGGGGGGCCTCTGACCACTAACCCTAATTTGGAAATTGCAAACCGGGCAAACAGCGTATCCAGGCTAGACCAAATGCGGTCAAGTGGATTTGCCTCCAAGTCGCCACTCAGCGTGTCAGCCCATATCTCGGCCTGTGTGAATATCGTTATTAAATATCTAGGTATAGAATACACTTAGAACTAACTTATACTCCGTACTGGGTACATAAGGACCTCTATCTGTAATCTACCCCAATTGCCCTAATTCCCAAGCTAATCCCGAGGCCGAACTAACTCCAAACGCCCCCCGTTGGCGAGAGCTGAAGGATCGGCGGGAGGGCTGGGTTTCTCCACAATAAACACCTCCCGAAAACATCTCACTGATATCATCACAATGACACTAAATTAGAAACGAAATACGAAACAGAAACGGGAAAAAAACAAAAGAGAGAAGGGGGGAAAACCAAGGCTCATCCAAGAGCCATGTATCTAATCTCTCAATGGGTCGATAACACCCTGGAAGCCACCGGCATGGATGCCGTGGACGCTCTACGCGCGTTCTTCCTGCTGGCCGCCGCCACGGTACGATACGCCCTGTGATAGTGGTGATAGTGAACACCTCCTGCAGACGCACCCAACTAACGCCAACCCCTCTCGTATGCAGACCATCTCGATCAGCATCCCAACCTCATTACGGTCCCGCTTCCTCACCTATGGCCCACGCGCGACCTCGGCCACCAGCTCTGCACCACCTCGCGCCCAGAACCCCTCCACCGAGAGCAAGGGCTTCCTTGACTATCTCGCTACTTGGCAGGTGCCACATAGCTATTTCACGCATTTCTATGTTGCATCTGTCCTGTCGTCGGTCTTCTGGGTTGCCCAATTGCTATCGCGGGGTGTGGTGTTCCAAGCCATCGCATCCCGCGTTAGTGAGGACCATCAACGGCATTCCATGTCCCTGACTCAGTTGGTGATTTGCTGTGTGCTATTGGCTGTACAGGGATCCCGGCGTCTATGGGAGTGCCATGTCTTTTCAAAGCCTTCGTCATCGCAGATGTGGTTTATGCACTGGCTGTTGGGCTTGGGTTTCTACCTAGCGGCAGGAGTTGCCATTTGGATCGAGGGTTCCGGTACTCTGTTGACCAAAAATCTGACCATTGCCCATCTGCAGATGACCAACGCCCCAAGTTTGCGCACTTTCTTCCTCGTCCCGCTCTTCCTGGTGGCGTCTGGTCTGCAGCACGACTCCCATCACTACCTGTACTCGTTGAAAAAATACACCCTCCCGGAGCATCCCATGTTCCGCGGTGTTGTATGTCCCCACTACGGCGCAGAATGCGTGGTCTACTTATCGCTGGCGCTGTTGGCTGCGCCGCGAGGTGAATGGGTCAATAAAACTATGTTGTCTTGTCTGGCTTTCGTCGCGGTCAACCTGGGTCTGACAGCTCGGAATACCAAGCAGTGGTATACGCAAAAGTTCGGCAAAGACTCAGTGCAGGACTGGTGGTTTATGATTCCCTATGTCTACTAACATAGAGCTAAAAATAAATAAAAGAACCGGAATTTGGAAATGAGGTACTCGTTACCTCCCACCTAAAAACTTCAAGGTGTTCCCCATCTTCACAACATGGAGCACGTCCCTATACGTAAGGCTAGTCCTCGTCTTTCTCTCGTACCACCCGCTCTGGTACGGTTCCCTCTCCCGCAAGAGCTCCCAGTTGCAGATGGAGTGCGGGCCTAGATCCTCATCTCTCGTCGTTTCGGTGATGCCATGCAGAAGATCCGTGTACATCTTGCCCCTCGTGATCAGCAGACTCCGTCTCTCCTGCAAGATCCTGTATTGAGGTCTTCGATTTGTGTCGGGTATCCCGGCAACATTTCTTCCGGCCTTGGCTGGTGTACCGCTTTCTTCCCTGTCGCCTTGGGTGTGTTTGTGGTACAAATCGAGCACAATTGGCGCTCCTAGGCTCACTGTCGCAACGAGGGGATAGTACGCTGCTCCATCTTCGTGCGGCAAGATCCCTTGTCCAGGCTGGTACTCGTTTACTAAGACATGGTTGGGCGCCTTGTGTGGCGCATCGTTGAAGATACGCAGTGCCTCAAACCGCGGCTCAACGATCGGTGATCTAAGCCAAGCTGGTAGGGGCGATGCAAGAAGAGCATTACTCTCGGTGAGGGCTGATGGCCATGTTTGAAGTCTGCGGTGCGAGAGCTGGGTCCAGCGCGGCAGCGGCGCTGATTGTACCTGTGAGTTGGTGCAGTGAGTGAGATCTGAACATGAATAAGTGACATTCGGCGTCTATGCATCGATGGTCGAAGAGAAATGACATAATGACAAGCACATATATTCGTCCAGTATTTAACATCAATCGTTCAAGGCATGGTTTCTAAGAACACATACTCATAAGAAAAGCATTGGCGCTTACCTTCTGAAGTAACCAATCCTCCTCGTCCTCTGTAATGAAGTCCGATATATAGAATGCATCCTCGGGCAATGCGGTGATTCGTGCAGCTTCAAGATTGAATCCCATTTGCTTTCCAAGCTCGGACTAGTACTAGATACGTGGTTCCTAGTCCCTCGATTTTGCTGACTTCAGTGGTCTTTTGTCTCAGCAATAGTTATTGGTGAGAAGTTGGCAGTGTGGGCGAAGTCAAAGGAAAGATGAATGGTTTTGTAGAAAAGCAAGATACTGCAGCATTTGAGCGGGATAATTCCATATGTATAACTCTTTAGAGTAGAGAGTCTACAATAATACACCCGCATCCACGTCACACACTCTTTCTGCCTTGCAACCTCAGGCAACAATATTTCACCCCCACATCAGCTCAATCCGAACAACCAGCGGCCGAGGCAGCTATAACAACATATTGTTGAACCCTCTCGTCCAAAATGGCCCCCAAGAACAACGCCAAAGCCGCCAAGGGCAAGGGCAAGGATACCTCCGCCGATGACGCCAAGGGCAAAGGTGGAAAAGGAGGAGCTGTGAAAGGCGCACAGTCAATTAACGTGCGGCACATTCTTGTATGTTTTTTCGCTCTTCTCTTTCCAATCTCGGATCCTCTATCTATGATGCAGGGAGCTGGCCCATATACTACCAGATCCTGTAGACAGGGGAAAGGGTTGTTATATAGCTCATTCTAATCATGTCTAGTGCGAGAAACACGCCAAGAAAGAAGAAGCCCTTGAGAAGCTTCGCAATGGCACCAAGTTTGATGAGGTTGCTCGTGAATTCTCGGAGGATAAGGCTAGACAAGGTAAGTAGACCTCTCTGAGGGACGAAATGAACAGGACTGATTTCTTTTCTGCAGGAGGGTCGCTCGGATGGAAGACGAAGGGCGGGCTGGACCCTGCATTTGAGAATGTTGCTTTTGAGCTTGAAACCAGCACGACGGGAAATCCCAAGTATGCTGAGGTCAAGACCGGGTTTGGATATCATATCATCATGGTTGAGGGGCGGAAGTGAGCTTCTTCCCATTACTTACGCCTGTAAAAGACAAACGGCCACAATAATATACCCACAACAAGACCTGAGAAAATATGTAAAAGGAGAAGCCACGCAGAAGTTGTAACTTCGCTTTATATTTTGGAAATCTAAATGCTCTATAGATGAAATCCTATCTACAGAGCCAAGCAAAACATCTCACAACTCCTTCTTCGCAGCCTCAATCTTCGACCGCTCTTTTGCCTTCTTCTCTGATCTTTGTACCACTGCTTCAGCGCCAATGCCGCCGAAGACCAGACTGATCCCTAGCCACTGGCCGCCAGACAGAGAATGTCCGAACCAGAAAACGCTGAGGAGCATAGTCAACATCTTGCGTGTTACGGTGACGGTGACAAGCAGCAGTGAGGAGAAGCGAGACAGAGTGTGGAAAATGAAGAGCTGCCCAACAGCCCCGCATGCCGCGAACCCAAAGACATGCTTCAGCGCCTCTGGGTGGCGGGAGAGGAAAGAGAAGGCACCAATCAGCTCAGTCTCAGTGGACGGGGGAATGGGGAAGGGCAGGAGGTTATGCAAAATCCCGCTCTGTGATATATGCGGCATGACCAGGAGGTACGTAGAAGTTAGAATGGTCGAAAGAACATTCTGAGCGACCATCATCTGGGGTCCGGTGAAGCGGGTGTACAGCTTGGGCGAGGAGAAGACGTGGTCTTGCGTGGTGTTGGTCAGGCCATCCAAGAGGAGGTTGATGGACAACAAAAAGATACCCCATCCGGAGGATCCAGACTGGTCCTTGGCAGCGACTTTCTTACTTGTTCCTGGGTGGTGCAGACTGAAAGTTGCGACGCCGAGAGTGACCATCAGGACAACGCCGTACTTGTACAAGGGGTATCTCTTGCGGAAGATGGTCAGGTGCAGGACCATGACCGGGAGTAGCTTGCATGATTTGGCGAGGATGAAGGTCAGGTAGTCGATGTGTTCGAGACTGGCGTAGCCAAAGGGTGACGCAAGTGACGAGGAGATTGCGACTAGAAGCAGGGGGAAGATGATCCGACGTGTGGGGAAGATAGATGGGATCTTTTGGCCACTCGGGGTTGAGAATAGGAGGTATGTAAAGCCGGTGATGGCCGCGAAGAAAGATTGGACCGTATTCAGCACTAGCGAGTAGGTGAATCGCTCCGTTGGAGGGTTTGGCTCCGCAATGGTTGCAGGGCGAACGAGATAGCTGGTCGTCGTGATCGCCTCCTGTAGCACACCCCAAGAGAGGCTTTTGTCTTATTAGTTTCTTTGGCCAGTCTCAGAAATCAGGCGAAACGCCGGTCGAGGCACTTACAATGCCGCATATATACCGAGAACGCAAATCACAAGTTGCGTCAGCCCAGGGCTGTCAGCGACGGTCTCCAGGGCCGCTGATGTTTTTTCGGACACGATTCCATTGGCGGGGGAAGGTATATCTGTGTTGCCACTTCCAGAATTTCGTGGCACGTCGGACTCTTCTGAGAGGTGCATTAATTGAGAGGGGGCTCTCTGGAGCGGCGCTGCTTGCTTTTGCCGTCCCATTGCGACAAATTGGGGCGGAATACAAGTTGGAAATGCAAGCAACTCGAACAAGACAGGGCAATATGAATTATGCAAAAGGGACTGGAAAAGGACCCTGTGTCGAAAATAGTCTTAGGTTGTCATGAGGGTCCTGGAGGATTCCTGGACCTGAAACCAAAAGAATAACAAGATGCCATGTGTTCTTACTTCATCTTGTCTATGATCGCCACCCCACATAACTTTTTTGTTTTTTTTTTTACTTGAACTCAAGATCAAAAGATGAAAGGAAGAATAGACTTGACAGTCTCAAATTATCATTTCCAATCTCTCAATTAAACCAAGAACTTACTAACTTCTTATCTCAACTATACAATCTAATTGAGGAAGGCGGTGTCAATAAATCAGATCTATACAGGCGGTGAAGCTCCCAAGGTTTGCGGTTTCTCGACCGGAGCTCCCTCAGCTTAAGTCGTACAAGACAAAAACCTCCAAGAAAATATCCATGATGGCAGACACACAGGAATCCACAAAACGGCCCAATGCATCGGCGATCACCAAGCACATCACCGAAAAAGGCTACGACTCCCCCCACCTCGCAACAGCCGCCCAAGTCCAGCACAACCTCGAGCACCAACACCTCTGGACCTCTATAATTGGAGACATCATTCCTGGACAGGCAGATGACTCAAAGACATCAAAAAAAGACCCCAACCAACCACCACGAGAACCAATTCCTCTGCTTTCCGGCTACCCCCCACACCGCGTGTACACACATCCAGACGAGCAGCTGTACATGCTAGAAAATGGGATTCGCGAAGACGACCTCAAGCCGGAGCGTATGTTCGTGGTACCAACTACACAGGGTCAGCCGTGGACATTGCGCCATGTGGCTACTGTGTTTGATCGGCTTCCTGAGTTCAAGCAAAAGGCTGAGGAGCATGATCGATCTGTCAATCCTACAAGCATGAAGCCGGGGGCGGAGGGTCTGGATCCCAAAAAGGCAGAGAAACTGGCTCAGTACTATGATAAGAAGGAGGAGGCTCGTTTGACCAAAGAATGGGGCACGCAAAGGTTTTTGCTTGCTATGGTGGATAAGGGGATGGGTGGTGACGGGACGGTGGCGTATTATGTTGTGCATGACGGCGAGGTAAAGCCGAGGCAGAACTGAGTGTGCGGAGCTGGGTGGTTCTCATATGATTACATATTGCATTCTTACCCCTCATGGGTTAACGACATGATGTGACGAATACTCATTCAAACGAGCAATGAAATGACATTATCCATATAGTATCCAGAGTACATTCAAAGTAACAACGACTTGCATGATATGCGCCGAAATTATACACAAGAAATTTAGAAATTTTGTTGACACATGATCAGCTAGCCACAGGGTATAGTGATAAGCAATAAGCAAGAAATGCTAGATGGCTGTACAGAAGGTTTGACAATATGCGCAGAGGCAGCTAGAAACTGCAGCAGGAAGAAAATCAAGGAATTAGGTCACCACGATCATTGAATATGACCTGTTCTTGCTCCATTCGACAACTCGAGCAGTACTCCTCATACCACTGCTTGACGTTGTCTGCATGCTCGGCGAAGACACGCTCAGCTTGGGCCTTTCGGCCCGTCTGCGAGTCATCGCCCTGAGTGTCCTCTCCGCCAAGGAGAACCTCGACCTGGCGACAGCGCCGGACCTCCTCGCGGAGCCAACGCTCCCATTCGGTCTGAACGACCTCTTTCTCGATACTGTTCACGACACGCAATGCAACGAGAAGGTTGTGTCGATACATGCCAAGACGCTCACGGGTTTGTTGGAAGCGTTTAATGGCGCTCTTGGTCAATGCATCCCGGGGTCCCGATGGACTGAGCGACAGAGGCATCTCGGAATACCGCGTGGTCTGCTCGTGGAAAGTGGCAAAGCAATCACTGGCATTGCCGGTACCGGGCCAGATTGTGGAGTTTGCAACCGCATCATCAATATCCCGCATGTAGATGGATTTGCTCATAACGAGGTTTGGCTGTACGCCCAGCCGTGCCATGAAGTTTCCTGCATGTCTCTCGTGCCACCAGTCCCAACTATCCCGCGAAGAATAGTATCCGTTCAAAATTGCACTTGTGGCCAACATGATCAGGATGATCTTGTGTGCGCTCACGGTCTTCCAAGACCAGCGAACTACGCCAAAAGCCCACATAATTAGGAATGAAACACTAGTTTCGAGGAATGACAAGAAGGTCTCGAGAAGAAGCTCGTGCATGGCACGCTGTGTTCGAGGCTTGCGGGGTTCCAACTTCAGGTTGGAACCAGCGCCACTGAATTGGGAGACGTGGTTTTGGCGTCCAACGTGGCCGAAGATCGTGATAGCTTTTTTGGTGCGGCTGTGTGCACCCAATCGACGTACTTGGTCACTAACTAGGTCGACAAGATCTAAGGAGTCTTGTTCTAGATCATCACTTGCTTTTTTGTCAATCACACCTGGGTATGTTAGATTATTGTATTCTACTCAAGTGGGAGGACGGAGGGGAGGACTCACTTTTGAGGCCGTAGGGAGACCACAGCCACTCGACTTTTGTATAAATAGCAAGCTTACTCTTCGACTTGGCCTGGAACGTAATGACAACCTTGCTAACCAACCGGAACGAACGTCGGAAGGGGAGATGCCATGGGGTCTTCTTATCTGTGATCACGTAGCACAGATGGTCGTTGAGAACGTCGATGATTTGATAATCCGAGATTGCATTTTCGTGTGTACGACCTATACAAAATCAGTCGTGGCTCGACCTCAAGATCATCAATAATCAAGCCTACCAAGGATATCTGTCGTGCCGATATTGTAGTGGAAGTCACGCTTCAGATGCCGTAATTCTGTACTAGCCCATGGGCCTTGTTTGATGTCTTTGAAATGTCAGCCATGTATAAGTGATTGGGAATCTAGAATCGACGAACCTCGAGCTTGCCTCTCATGTAAAAGAAGCTGCCACACGGCGCTTTTGTCGCCAAATAATATATGGAACAAAGCTTTAGGGCTTATGTCGAGAATCTTTTCGGTCACCAAAACAAGATCACCTTGTGGAACATACTCCACGGGTTGTGTTGGGAGTCTGAATTTAGCAATATCCCGACCACGGCCAGCCCTGCCTCCATCTAGCTCAAGATCCTTATCAATGTAAATAGGGAGTCGAATGTCCTTTGCATGACCCAGGTCTGTAGCCCTGCCCCCGTCATGTTTGATGTCTGCAAGTCCGGACGAGAGATCTTCCCAGCTATCTGCACTGGAAGTTCGGGTTGGAGACCCAGTGTCCATCTTGATCAGTGCTTTGATCAAAGATTCCAAAGTCAATTGCTCAACGGCAATGGAGCCTTGGATCAAGAAGTTGAGCCGTTTTTGAAGAAGTCGGAGAGGTTCAAGGAAAGTTTTAATCGTGACACGGCCAGGAGTATCACTACCGAGGGGTGGAATAGTATGAAGGAAAAGGAAGTCACAGTCTCGTCCAGGAGCTGCAGTTACCTCCTTAATGGACTCCAAAGACACACCGGTAGTCAAAACCAGTCCGAAATGATGACTGTAGAAGTAGATGTTCCTTGTTGTGACATAAGCTCGCCCGGGGAACTCTTGCTGGTCGTTAGGGCTCCAGGTGGCTCTGAACACCAAGACCAATGCTTCCACTCTCTTGACGTCTGGGAAAAGCAATCTGAACTGGGCATCCTGGATCTTCAATTGTTGAGGATAGTAGCTGGGATATTCATGCCCGATACCCAGAGCAACTTGCGTGAGCTTAACATCATCTCCATCAAGGCTTACTGTCTGTCTGTGGCGTGGGCCTGATTGCTGTCGGGGTGCCGCTAAAGCACCCGCTGCATCAGGCTGTGCGGCAATCGTGGGTGTTGAGGTATCGCTCAAGGTGGAAGACGGCCGGCCTTCTGTGGTGTCATCAGACACTCCATCAATCTGGTGTTGTTCTCGTTGAAGCTTGTTCATGAAACCCCAGTTAGAGCTACCCCACAGGTTCGCCATCATACCACTAGGCATGCCACCTGTGCTATCAGATACACCTAATCCAATACCTCTTTCGTTGCTCACAACCACTGCTGCCTTGCTCATGCTTGTGGGTGCCGGGGGATTGGCGAGCGTGGCAGGTGCAAGACTTGAACCAGGCTCATCCACGTTGCTTAAACTGCGACCTCGTTTGTCATCGACATTCACATTGAGTGGACCGGTGTTGCTGTAAGGGAGAATATTATGGCTGGCAGAGATAAGACTGGCTATTCCACCTGCAGGGCCGGGGATGGAAGGAGATATTGGAGCCGCATTGTTGGATTTGCGGTGAAGATCCAACTTTTGGATGAGTCTAGAGGTATGCTCTCTTGCATGTTCTCTTGCGGAACTCTCGCTGTCCAAGCCTGTGGGTCTTCTGCCGTTTCCAATATCGGTACTATTTCTCATGGTATGTCCATCACGGTCTGGGACAGGAAGCGTCATACTGCGATCTCCCGCTCCGGGCTCATCGTTCGTATGGGGGGTAAAAGAGTCAGCAGGATCTGCAGCGAACTCGGAAGCCGGAGGTTGAGAAATTGAAAATGCAGGGTCTTGAACTGTGACTTTTCCAGAAACCGAAAGATCTGTGCTTGCGGGGTTTTCCAACGCTTTCTGCTTGGCCGCCTCGAAGGCACCAATCCATTCCATGAGTTCCTTTTGGTTATCTGCCTGCAGCAGAATGGTGTTGTTCTTGGTCTTCACTTGGAAGCAGAACCGGCGTTCCTCCTGGAATGCAGGACGAATACTGCAAAGCAGTACACCGATCCGTTCACTCTCTTCAACGCCGCCAGTACGAGAGCCCTGTACAAGACACCCAAATATGCCGTGCTTGAGGAAGGCCCACCGCTTAACCCAAACAGTGCGAGTGGGCTTTCCTGACAATGTGTGCAAATACAGCCATCCTTGCTTCTCTGGTCGCATCTCTTTGCTAACATTAAGTGTCGAAATAGGACGAGAGCCAAGGTACGGAACGGTCGAGATATTATA